GAGGGGAGGAGGGGAGGAGGGGTGGGCCGAGGGGGCGATATGCATCTCGTTTGAGAAGCTTGCCGGGTGTTTGGGCCCGATGATCCTCCATGATCCTAGCTGGAAGATTTCGGAGTGGCAGACGCACGCCACAACAAAGACTATTACGCCGCGGCGTCGTTTTTCATTCCGCGCCACTCTCCAGTTCTCAAGCTCCCATTCACGCGCCAGGCTCTGATCACAACACGCCTCGTTCTAACTCAGCCAGCCCCAGTTCATCCGCACACGCGTCTGAATTCACTCACGCCCTGACCCCCTTCCGCTGGTGTTGGACACCAGGGACAGGTTACTCACCATCGCCATGGGCTCCGGGGACGCCAAAGCCCCGCCCTCGGACCCCGACCCTTGGCACGCCCACGCTCTCTTTGTCCTCGACTTGCCCTCCCACTCGTGACCCATTGACCCATCGCGCGCTCTCGCCTCGTTTCCTCCCACCATGCTTCCATCCCTCTCCCCCTCCCTCTCGTCCTCAGAGGGAGAGAAGCACCGCATGCACTGCATTCTGACCTGAGCGGCGTCGCGGGCCCTCCGAGACGCGCCAGTGGACTATGAAGTGAAGCGCCGCCACCACCTCAGACACACAGACTCTTCAACCCCGTCCGCGCACATCTCTATCTCTCTCGCACCTCACACTCGTTCAAATAACCATCTGTCTCTCTTCGGCGTCCTCTCTCAAGACGCCCCAAATTACATCACACTCATTACTATGCTAGCGCTCCCGATTGCGCTTGCCATTGCCGCGCTCGCCGCGCCGGCCGCGGCGGATGTAGCATCCGGCTACAACGTGCACAATCCTCATCGCAGCCTTGTGCAGCGCGCTGTTACCAGCGACGCCGCTAGCGTTTCCAACAAGAACTTTGACTTTGTGGTTATCGGTGGTGGTATTGGCGGTCTCGTGACCGGCGCCCGCCTTGCCGAATGGTCAAATCAGACCGTGCTTATTCTCGAGGCCGGCGGCGATGGCTCTGATGTCGTTCAGCAGCAGAGCATCCCCGGTGAGTTGCTCCGATCCAGTCCGAGGTTCGCCGGCAAGCGCATGGAAGCTAATGTTCAGGCTTCACTTACCACCGCGGTCTCGCGTATTCTTCTCCCTATGGCTGGAACTACACCACCATTCCTCAACCCGAGGCCGGCGGCGCCGTTAAGGCGTACCCTCTCGGCCGTGGTCTTGGCGGTTCGGGTGCCATTAACGGCATGTTCTGGGGCAAGGCGTCGGCCGTCGAGTACGACTCGTGGTCTGAGAGTGCGTCCTGCTTAGGTTAAGGCTGATCACAGCTCTCTTCCCAGAGGGCAAGTACAAGTGGAACTGGGCAAGCATGGACGCCGCCATCAAGAAGGCTACCACGCTCCAGGAGCCTCCCCAGGAGCAGAAGGACCAGTTCCAGATCCCCGTCGACCCCTCTGCTCACGGCACTACCGGCCCCCTCCAGATCGGGTGGTCCAAGTACATCTACCCCGTTGTCGCAAACTGGATCCCGTGAGTCGCCGGAGGTCGGCATGAACCGGGACGCCACCACTGATCGCCCGTCCGAGCTCGAGTAAGAGCTGACATCAGCACCTGGCGCACCCTCGGCCTCCCCGTCACTGACCACTCGTCCGGTGACCCCCACGGCGGCACCATCGTTCCCTCGACGATGGACGCCCGCCAAGGTATCCGCTCCGACTCGCGCCGCGGCTACATTGACAACAACAACTCGCCCAACCTGGTCGTCTTGACCCGCCAGACCGGCACCAAGATCGTTTTCTCTGACAAAAGGGACAAGAATGGCAACCTCGTCGCCACTGGTGTCGAGTTTTCCTCTGGCAGCGGCGCGCCCTCCTATAAGGTGACCGTCAACAAGGAGGTCATCGTCGCGTAAGCCTCGGGCCATACACTCGAGCTGACGACAGTGGCGGTACTGTCAACTCCCCCAAGCTCCTCCAGCTTTCCGGTATCGGCCCCAAGGCCCACCTTGAGGCGCAGGGCATCACTTCCCTCATCGACCTCCCCGTCGGCTACAATCTTCAGGACCACGTCGCTACCGGGTTGACCTTTAACACCATGTACGTCACCGTCGCGAGAGCGGAGCTAACAGCAGTGAGGGCGTGGAAACCTGGGGCGAGCTTACGACCAACCCCGAACTCGGTGCCGCTGAGCTCGAGAAGTGGAACACTGACCGCTCCGGCAAGTGGACTTACGTTAATGAGGCCACGGGCTACGTTTCGATGGCGGACATTGCCGGCGCCGACGCCAACACCATCACGGACGGAATTGACGAGGCTGCGCTTATCGCTCAGATCTCGGGCCGCCACAACATCCCCGCCTCGGTGCAGAAGGGTATGGCCACTCAGTTCGCCCTGCAGAAGAAGTGGATGAAGTCGAACATCGGCCAGATCGAGATCATTCTCCACATGTGGGGCTCGACCGCCACCTCGATTGTCCTCCAGTGTGCGCTCCAGCACCCCTTCTCGCGCGGCACCGTCATGATCAACGGCAGCAACCCGTTCAACATGCCCACGATCAACCCGGACTACTTCTCTGCCTCGGCCGACGCCACGATGATGGAGTACGCGCTTAACTGGCTCCGCACTTTCGCCACCACCAAGCCTATGGGCGACATCATCACGAGCGAGCTCAAGCCCGGAGCCAACGTCACGGGCGAGGCGCTCCAGACCACCTTCCGCGCCGCCGCCGGTACCGAGTACCACCCCCTCGGCACATGTGCCATGCTTCCCAAGGAGGACGGCGGTGTCGTCGACACCAACCTCAAGGTCTACGGCACGGGCAACGTGCGTGTCGTCGACTCGTCCGTTATTCCCATGCACATCTCTTCGCACACCATGGGCACGACGTATGGTGTCGCCGAGTTCGGCGCCGACATCATCAAGCTCGAGAACACCAAGGACTTCCTCAACCCCCCCGTCTCGAGCTCCAGCTCCGCCAAGCCAACGGGTTCGACCTCGGGCTCAGCCAAGCCCACCGGCACGGCTACGCCCGCTGACGCGAACGCCGACGAGGGTCTCAGCCAGGGCGCCAAGATCGGCATCGGTCTCGGTGTCGGTATTGGCGGTGCTGCCCTGCTTGGTGCTATTGTGAGTTATCTTCATCGTCCAGCTCTAATCCCAGCTCTTCTTCGTCTGCTGCCGCAAGCGCGACAAGGGCCCTGGCGCCGCCTCGACCGACAAGGGCTGGTACGAGAATGGCCAGCAGAACAACCAGTGGTCCAACGGTCAGTAAAACCACCCCCATCCATCCGACTCGAGATTGTGAAAAGGACACTGTGCAAGGACACTCCCTGCGTTGTATGAGGAGTAGAATAGAGGCTGGGATGGATTTGTGAGTAGCATCTGACTCCAGAACGCGGCGAGTCGTACCCCATGCACGCGCAGAACGGGTTCCGCCAGCGCCCGTTGAGCCACTCTGGCTCTGTCAGCACTATGGCCACCGCCGACCTCCCCGCCGCACGGAGGTACGACGACGGCGGCCGCTACTCGAACGACTCGCGGGGCGTCCTCTAGTCCAGTCAGTGCGTTCAGTATCACATATTACATCGGGCCATCCCCGCACACTCGCTTTCGTCGGCCGGGCCAGGCCTTGATGGCTGGCCGACGGCCGCATAGACATTGTACATGCATAGGTTATTCGGGCGTGGGGAGATACTCCTGGCCGGTGCGCGACTGTGCTTGATACTCGTTATTGCAACGAGGGCTTTGGTGCACAATCCGTCCTTGCAGATGAGGCGCACGCACGTACGCCAGGACCTACTCCATTAGGAGGCCCACCCGCGCCGAGTCTGTGAGTACCGCTCGTCTGACGCGGCGCTGCGCGACCGCACTGCTCCAGGTGTTGCGCGATCCGGGGATTAGAGCGATGCTCACCCGCCCACCTCAAGATCGCCACGGCACACACCCCCCACGGGCGGCTCGCGCGCCATAGAAACGTTGATGCAGTCAAGCACAGCGTCAAGGGGAGGCCGATACCCATCGGGGACGATGATCTGGCGTCAGAGCTGTTCCGCTGCAATCCTCGTGGCAGCCTCTCAGCCTCCGTCCCTAACTCAGCCCTCCTCACTCACCCTCTGCGGCGCGACCGACGTCTCCAGCCATCCCACGACGGTCACCCACTCGCCCGGCCGCAGACTCAGTTCCGCGCGCGATGTGCCCGCGCCGCCCCTGGGTGCGGGGGCTGGCGCGGAGTCGGCGCGCCACCACTCCGCGGTGCCAACGCGGGGGTGTGTCCCCAGCAGGACTTGGTCGACGCGGAGGAGGAGGAGGGGGCGCGGGGAGACGGTGTGGGATGTCGCGAGGACATGTGTAGCCCGGTGGGACTGGTCGAGCCCCAGGATCCTGGTGTCAGCTGAGTGGATGGCAAGCTCACTGCACGACGAGGCGGAGCTTGCGCCCCACGTGCTCCTGGCCGACGTTGTGCAGGGACAGGAAGAGGGCCGGCGGGGTGAGGTCCGTCGGGCGCGCCGGCGAAGGAGCCAGCGAGAGCTTGGACTCAGCCATTAGGAGAATGAAGAGTCGAGAGAGGATGGCATTGTTGACAGTTGACCGGGCCAGGAGCCCCACAGAAAGAATCCAGGGACAAAATGCAAAACTATAGGTCACGACGGGGGTCGAACCCGCGATCTCCTGATTACACAGGTCGTAGTCAGACGCGATGCCATTTCGCCACGCGACCCTATACTAGTACTTCGCTAAGGAAGCTTGGTGACTGTGTGTGTGTACGATAAAAATTGGACCTTCGCCATCTGATGCTGGAGAGAAGCTGCCTGCCGTCGCGCCATGCTGGAATTTATGCTTCTGCCGTCGCGAACTTGTGCTATCGCAGGGTGCATCATCTATTCCGCTGCTTCAGAGTAGTGGCGCTTGGGCAGGGAGCGCAACCGCGCCGCGGCCGCTTCCGGTGTCAGATCGCGTTGTGCCTCTGCCAGCATCTCGAACCCAACCACGAACTTGCGCACACTCGCACTCCGCAGCAGTGGGGGATAGAAGTGGAGGTGGAGATGGGCTGCGGGGTTGGGCGGATGCGGAGACTGGTGCAGCCCCATGCTGTAGGGGAAGGGTGTGGAGAAGAGGTTGTCATACGCGACCAAGAGGGATTTGAGGATCGTCGCTAGGCCCGCGTCTTCGTGTGGCGAGAGGTCGGAAATGGACGAGACGTGTCGTGTTGGGAGAACCAGCGCTTCGAACGGCCACAGCGCCCAGTAGGGAACGACGGCGACCCAGCCCTCCGCTTGTGCGACAACGCGTTCGCCGCGTTCGAGCTCTTGGCGCGCGTAATCGCACAGTAAACAGCAGCCTGTGCGCGACGAGTAGTCCTCGAGGTTGGATATTTCTGTCGCGACCTCGTCGGGGATGTAGGAGACACTCCACACCTGTCCGTGGGGATGGGGCGCAGAGGCACCCATCATTGCGCCGCGGTTCTGGCATGAGCTATGAGACGCGGCATGCCCGCGGGCTGCCGGCTCGGCTCATGAGGCCTTCAGGCCCCGCCCGCGGTCACCCAGGCGCAGGTGCTCACCTCAAATATCTGGACCGTTCCCCCTCCGCCTTCTGTGAGGAACCTCCCCTCCTCCTCGTAAATGTCGCGCCATGATCGCACGACCGCCTCGATCTCCGGCACGCTCATGCGCGCCAGTGTCAGGTCGTGCCGCGGATGGAAGCAAACGACGCGGCAGCGGCCACGCACCGGCTGCGCCGCGAAGAGCGCATCGGCTGACGAGGGCTTGGGCGGTGGTGGTGGAGTAGAGGGGAGTGGGTCGGGGAGGACGGCGGGGTAGTCGTTGGGGAAGGACTGGGGTCAGCGGAACGCAAGCGCTCACCGCCCAACCATGATCATCTGTCATGGCTCCCCCATAACCTCGCACTCCAACACTGCCAGGTATCAGCACTCACAATCGTCTCCGTATACGTGGGGTTCACCTCACCGCCGACCCGCGCGTTGCCAGGACAAAGATGACACGCGGGATCATAGCGCGGCAGCGTCTCCTGCTTCGTCTCCTCAGTCTGTCCCTGCCGTCAGCGATTGCGCACAGATCAGCAGACCATCGAGAATCGTGAAGCGCGTGCGCGTCGCGTCTCAGCTGCTACGCACGGATCTGCGTCCGACGTCGCCCTTCCCCTGCTGCGCGATGTCTCATATCGCCACCTGCGCCCCTGTGCCCCTCCGCTCCTCGGCTCCAGGCCCTCCCCCCAGTCTAGTCCAGTCCAGACCCCGCCTCTTGTCTCGACCTCGCCTCGCGCACGGTCCCGCAGCCTCGAGGCCGGATGCGGCGTCCGCCCCGGCCCCGCCCCGCCCCGGTCCGACCCGCTCCTCCCCTCCCTCCGCTCCTCTTCCTCCTCCGCCTGCTCCGCCCCACCCGCGCCACCCGCTAGTCTCTTTGAGTAGCAACACGCACATTCCACGGCCGCTTCATGCGGTGTGGCGAGACGAGCACGTGCGTCCCGTTCAGCGGGTTATCTGGTGTGAGCGAGCCGTGCTCAAGCGGGGCATTGTCCGTCCGATCCGAGAAGCTGCGAGGCTTCTCAGCTTCTTGGCTTCCAAATGGCACACTCACAGCGGCGATGCGCGTCGTCGGCGGGGTCGAACATGTCTTGCGGGTCGGCGTGATACGGCTGACAATTCGAGGCTTAGAGGCTAGAGGCAAGGAAACGAAGAGATACGGAGCTGGCCGAAGCCGGAGATCCGGAGAGTGATGTCATGCACGTGATCTGCACCTCTTGGCGAGCGGTTGATTTGTATTATGATAATCCCAGGAACGTCGTGCCACCACCTGAGTGAATGTGTTCCAGAATTTTGGAAGCTAGCGCCATTCTGCATTCGTCTTCGGACTTAATGCCGAGGTCAAGAGGGCCAGAGATCGTGAGATTCGTGAGATTCGTGAGATTCGCGAGATTTGTGAGCTGCGTGAGAATGGAAAGGAGTTGGGGGAAGGGGAGTGAATGTCAATGGGACGCAGTCGTCGTCACGCGACCTGGTGACCTCGCAAATCAGTCGCGTCTCGGTGGATCTTGTTCTAGACTTGGCCTACTGCGCCCTTTGCTTCTTCTCAGCCTTTTCCTCCCCTTATCCATTTGCACCCTTTGCTGATCTGCTGACTACTAGCTCCATGCTGACTGGTCACTGTGTCGTGGTTAGCGTCCAGGCCGGGATTTCCAGCCTCGGTTCGCCCGTTCGCCCGCGAGCTGTCTCTCCCAAGCTCCCACCCAATTGATGTCCACGTACGATCAACGTCTACGAATATGGGGCTTGCTCAATGTACAGAAAGATTCTGGCAAACACATTCATGTCAACCGCGATTGAGATCATGGGTTGATGCTGAGTGCCACGTCGACATCACAGGATGCACCCGCTACTCCTTAACTTCTCACGGTCGCCACGCATGCATGAGACAGCTATAGGGCGCCAGCAGCGGCACTGGATACATGCTCCGCAGGCCTGCCCTGCGGATGGAGTGGTGGTACAGGGTGATCAATGTTCAAGGTGTGAATTAACGGAATGATGGCGAGGGATGTTGTGGCAGGAAGCTGCCGTCTAGCTCCAAGGCCACCAGCCCTTCTTGGCCGGAGCCGGGGCTGGATTGTACTCGCGCTGCATCTCGCCGAGGAGAGCTTCAAACGCGCGGTCTGGGGTTAGTCGCAAATCTGGCAGGTGTGTCGCCGCGGTACTCACCGACGTTCTTGTTGTCCTTGGCGCTAGACTCGAGGAAGGCCGCACCAAGCTTCTTGGCGAGAGCCTCCCCTTCAGCCTTCGAGACGCGGCGCTCCTTGTCGAGGTCCACCTTCTGGCCGACGATCACACAAGGCACCCGGTCAAGGCCACCCTGGTCAAGGATCTTCTCGTGGAGCGAGGTGATCATGTCAAAAGATTGCCTCGACGTGATCGAGTAAACAAGGATGTAGCCGTGCACGCCGACGGCGTACTTTGGAGGGAAGAGTGAAAACTCATCCTAGCCGTCAGCGATGGGCTATTGAATTGGTCCGTGACTCACCTGCCCGGCAGTGTCTACAATTTCGCAATCGTACTGGACGCCTTTGTGCGTGACCAGCTTGTTGGAGGTGGACTCAATGGTAGGATAGTATTGCTCATTGTATGTAGGCGGGGTCACGTATTGCTGAGTGATGGATGTCTTGCCTGGGAGTCAATAAACATTCAACATCCCACCAATTTCAGGGGCGCTACCCAACACAAATCGCCTCTCCCTTCTGGTATCCCCCACGCGGCCTCACGGGCTGTCAAACCTTCCCTGCCTCAACGTAGGCACTGTAGGTGGCAGGACAATGAATGATCACTGGACCAGGGCGTTCCCACGCCGCCAGCAAACAGCACAACCCGCGCCGCCCACACGCCCACGCGCTCTCACTCACCTACACTGGGCGAGCCCAGGATAACGATCTTGCGCTTTAGAGGAGCGTTGGCCATGTCGGGTCGTGGTTGCGAGTCGCGGATGAGTTGTTTGAGGTATTCAATGAATATAATCTCGATGCGACGGTCAATGATGCGCCCAAAGTGAGGCTCGGGGTGGTTTGCGCAGCGGTACGAAAGGATGGGCGAAACCGGGATAAATGGAGCCTCGCGATACGGCGACAAGGGAGGGAAGCTAGGATTGCGGGCTTGTGGGCGTGGGGAGCAGCCTGGGGGTGGTGTACGAGGACCAGTGGATTCTGAGTCGCGACTTGAGCAGGTGGCAAGGGATGGCTGACGAAAGCGCGACGAAATGTACTCTCCTAGGGGTGGAGAGAGGGAAGATTGAGGGGTTGTAGCGGTGGATGAATCAGAATGGCGCTGGTCGCGATTCGAGCTGAGCGTCTGGAACGAGCGAGGGCTGATTCGAGAGTCGTGGGCAGTGTATGTGCGCGAATATCCGCGAGAAGACTTAGTGCGGAAGACGCGCTCGAGATTAAGCTCGTGAGGCGAAGGGAGGTTGATGGACGAGGGATAAGTCCTCGTGCGGTGGAAATGAAGGGTGTTCTCTGGGGGTGTGGTGTGCTGCGAGGCAGTAGTTGGGAGTGAAGAATGGCGCGTCGGGGGCTCGGACTGGTTGAGGTCGCGCTTAGTCTGGTTGATCAGCGTGGGCTGAAGGCGCAGCACAGTGCTTGGCATGTGTATGATGTGAAGATGGATGAGGATAGGAGGTTATAGGGAAGAAGGAGAAATAGGGAGAGATGAGATCGAGAGGATATGTAGTTGAATGGGCTGCAGGCATGTGGGAAGGGTGAAGATGACAGATGAGAGAGAACAGCAGCGGCAAATGGCCTCGAGGCCTAGAGGCGAGAGGACTTGGGAGGGGCATCCTTTGATGGCGGGATACACTATCCGACCGAGCCGAGACCGTGTTCCCCCGCCGCGCGTGTGTACGAACGAGCTGATAGCGCGCGCGTGTGGGTCACGCTCGCGGCATGCGATTGCCTGCCGCCGGCTCGCGGTGCACCTGCTCACACGCGTCGCCTGAAAGTAGGTCACGAGGACAACACACCACGAGGAGCGATTGGCCACCCGGGCTAGTCTGGCCCAGGTGAATGAGATCCTCGCTCTGTAGGCGTGGCGCTGCGGGCGTTGCGGGGCATGTGGGGGGAGGCTGGGGGATAGTGGGGTGCGAGAGGCCGAGGGCCGAGGGGAACAAAGCGGGGGATTGGCCGTGGGCGATGGGCGATGGGCGACGGGCGATGAGCGATGAGCGACGAGCTTGGAGAGTACCGTGACTGCGGTCCTTTGTGGCTTTGGACGCCATCGCGCCATTGACATTGAGCCAAAGACACGCCAAAGACCGTGCACGTACTCTTTCAAGCCCCCAATGTCCCCAATTACCAACCTTCTGTTTGAGAGCCCAGCCCTCGTGTCACCGCGAACCATGCAGCCACCCAACACCTCCTGTCTCTCGATCTCTCGCATGCCCCCAGCCAGAGTTTGGCCGTCAACCTGCAAGAAACGCCAGTCACCGTGCACTTGATCCTTCTGACTTCTCCTCGCGTCGCAAGAAACAACATGAAGCGCGCGGTCATTACCAAAAGGCCCGCCGCCATCGTTCTTTCAACGGCTCACGAGGCCCAAGCGCATACCACCGCGCGCCCCTCAACACCCATCTCAACAGGCGAGATGATAGCCGAGCCGCGAACCACCTCGACCAAGTCTGCGCCGACATGCACGGCCTGCACGGCCTGCAACGTAACCGCTGACCACCGCCCCACGCGCTCGCCGCCACGGCCGCCACCCCCGCCCACCAAGGCACTCCACCCTCGGGCGGAGATCATGCTATTGCCGAGGAAGCGAGAAGCTGGATCGACATCGCGATAAGCTTTGGCCCGGTGGCGGCCGGAGCATGGCTGCGCGCTGCCTCTTGCCACCAAGAGAACACAGAGGGGCGCAGGCCACACGTGCGCGTGCCCGGCCCCTCCTGCATCGACGAGCGTAGGGGCGGGGCCGTTGAGGACGAGGACAAGGTGCGAGGGGGTGGAGAGGAGGAAGGTTGGGCACGTTGCGCCGTCGCGCCGTTTGAGCCCCCGATGCGCCGCTCGCGTCGGGATCCAGCACACGCGATGCACACATCCGGTGTGCCCATTCCCCGCCACCAGCCTCACACGACGCGCGACCCCGATGACACCGGCGTGGGGTACCCGCACCCGCACCCGCACCGCGGACTGGAGATTGATCGAGATAGGTGTGTTCGCCCCATTGCACGGTCGTTGCCACCCTCACGCCACGGCGGTGTGACTCACAGGCTTTGTCCACGGGCGAGATGCTGATCAACTCTGGGTGCGGAGTAGCAGGTGGTGCCGGTGACGAATGAGTTGTACGGAGTTGCCTGTGATCGGTGGGGAGACCAATGGGGGTGGGGGGGATGTTGTGAGATGAGAGATGGTGAGTGAGGAGGAGGAGGGGGAGTGGATGGAGTTGATGAGAAGAGATGTGGATGGCGGTGACTAGTGGTAGTTGTGGAGAGAGCGAGTGAGACAACGCCGGAGAGGGGGGAGAGTAAGGAGGAGAGGGAAGGAAGGCAGGGAGAAGAGCCCAAGCAGAGTGCATGAGGTGGAGAGAGGTGGTGGTGATTCGCCCCTGAATCTGCAGGGAGCCAGAGCGGCCAGGCGGCCAGGCGGCCAGGCGGCCACAATGTGTGATATGCCATAGGCCGGATCTATTCCACCCCACTCCGCCATCCTCCAGCCGCCACAGCTCAATCTCTATTGCTTACGGCACCCCTCCTCGGCGCTTGCTAGACGGGGGGCCAGACTCGGCCCTCCTCTCGCGCTTCTCGGAATGCTCGTCTGACACGGGATGGACATGTCACAGAACATGACTGCTCCTGTCACGACCAGCCGTCCATGCGTCCTACTCTTCAAGGGCGCAGCTGATCCCATGCCCCACGAGCTAAGAATGGAAAAAGAGGTAAAGGCTGGTCTGCATGGCCTGCTGCATGCTAATCGCGATCGGTTCACGGCCCACGGACGTTGGAAGGGCCGTCGAAGCGCCGAGGGCCGAAGAGGGGTACGCCTCGTGCATGCCAACGCCAAGATGGGCCCGCCCAGGCCCCACCCCCGCGCCCAGCCCTCACGCCAGCTCTCGGCCCCTCGGCCCCTCGGCCCCTCACGCCTCACTCCTCACTCCTCGCGCCTCGCGCCGCCCCATCCCCTCATCCCCATCCCTTCGCATGCCTACGATCCCGGCTAGATCTGCTCGACAGCTGATACGCGAGGCGCAAGTACGCATCTACAACGCTATTCGAAATCTGCCGGCTCGCAGATCCCGGTAACGGTTTCCGGGTCTGATTCCCGCGGTGTGGACGCCAGGCCGCCAGGCAGCTAGCCAGCCGAGAGCTCCGTCAGAGAACCGGGTGGACGAGGCGTACATGCACGGGCTTGGCGGACGGCCTCAAGACCGAGAGAGGGGGGGGGGCCGAAAGGACCCGTGTCGCCTGCTTGAAGCATGCTCCACTCGTCACTGAACAACTGAACCGCTTTGCCAAGTGGCCAAGTAGCCGAGTGGCCGAGTGGCTAGTGGACATTGGCAGATGGCATGATCTCTGGGAACTTTTGGGCAACATATGGTTTGCTGACATGACGGATTCATCAAAGATGACGGCCCGACGGATCGACATGAGTACGCGAACGCGAATAGCCAACGGAGCTTGACTATCCCCGATCTGCAATGTGCGGGTAAGGCACCGCGCACATGCCAAAGCCGAGGCCCGAGGTTCCCAGGCTGGCTCGGCTAGGCAGGCCGCGGCAAAGCCTGCGGGATCCCACGTCCACAGGCAAGAGCAAGCCGCAGGCAACGACAGCGCAAAAGCGGCCAGCGGCCAGCGGCCAGCGGCCAGCGAGCGCAGCACGGCCAACGAGAAACACTGCATTCTGCGCCAGATTTGGGCGCCACAATGCATTCAACACGCGCAGCGCCGCAGCTGCACGCATGCGCACGCAGCTTGTACGCAGCATAACTTTCGACGGGCACGAAAATCGCGCCGTGCGTGACCGAGCTTGACCGCGTTCCGCCATCGCGCGCGCCATCTTGCTCGTCACCTCTCTCGCCGTCTGCGTTACTACAGTATGCATTGCTCTACCACCTCACGTCCACCCTGCCCGCCCGCGCGCTCGTGCGCACCCCCTTGAATGGCTTGTACCCCACGTCCCCAGACACCTTGAGTTGGTCAACTCGCAGGCCCGAATATGTGTGGTTGGCGATCTTGAAGCCGACGGAGAATGCTGGATCGGGAGTGGGACGTGACGTACTCATTGTTAGAATCTAACACCGGAAGGAGGGCGTGTTTGGTGGCTGAAACATCTACTCACGAAACAAACGACCCCGTGAGGCTTGGGCTGCGCTCGTGCTGCAACAAACTTGACAGGGACCATCGGAGCACCTGGGTGTGTGGGTCAAACTCGGCCGTGCCGCCACCGACATGCCCTCCATCACCTTCTTGACCTGGTGGCCGACGGTCGCCTGCTGGTGTCGCACTGATCCCCGTCGTTGTTGAGCCGAGGAAAATCGAGACGACAACATCGTCCAGGCGTGCCACTCGCGATGTGAGGGTGAGACTGAACCGGCCGCCGGTTTCATCCACCTGCATCCCTGCCTTCAAAAGGAAGGGGAGTTTTGGGACAGAGGCCGCTTCGTATTCCAACAACTTGAACTTGCCATCTGGAGGGATGAAGCTCAGCACGTGGTCGCGTTCCCAACGCGAGTATCTGATATTAGCATCGATCGGAGAGGTTCTCATCGTTTAAGAGGGCCCGTCAAAATTCAACAGACACCTGATGTGCAGGCTGACTCGTCGATCCACTGCCATTCCAACTTACCGGATACAAGGGTGGAACGAGCATTCCGCCAGCGCCTTCGTGTTACTCATGTTCAGCAGGAGATCCGGATTCCCCGACAGGCGAGAGTTGCACCCGAGGCGCCCCCACACCTGCGCCGAGAGCACGTGGCCCTTACGATCCACAACGGCGTCGAGTGTTTCCTCGACATCGAAGAAGATCTCGTTCTGGGCGTGACGGATGCCGAGGCGACGCCACGGTATTGGCGCGGTGAATGGGGCGGACGGAGTCTGGGCCTGGAGGCTGGGATCAGCGGAAGCACGCCAGGTGTTGGTCAAAGAAGACCAAACAGTTGTAGTAGGTAATATGCGGAGAAGGGAAGGAAGGCGGGAAAACAACGGAGCTCCGCTGCTTAGTGAGGTAGGAAACAAGCAAACTCACCCGGATACGCCGGCAACGTTGAGCAACTTGCGCATCAGGCTGGGAGGTAGCACGATGTCCTTGAGCATCGCTGTCTCCATCGTCATCGGGTGCCCCTCGTCCAGCATCTCCTCAATGAGCTGGTGTAAGCCTTCACGTTCCTTCTCTCCATGGGGCGCCTTTGAGACACTCACCATGTAAACGACATCGAAGTTGTCCTTCACTGTAACCTCCGTCACGTCTCCGAGGTACTCTTTGAGAGTGTCGAGGAAGCTCTCGAGCCATGCAAAGGCGAATAGTGGATTGACCTCAGCGGTAAGCGGGATGAGATATCGCAGCCCGTCGCGCTCCAAGTGACACAATGCCACACCGTGCACCCAAAGCACGGGCTCGAGCTCGCGCCCGTCTTTCCGCGCGCGGCGGAGCTCATGATTGTACGCATCCGTGTATATTGCAGGATATGCGGACGAGAAGTGGGAGGTGATGAGCGATTTCCTGGTGTCAGCCACCCTTGTGCAGAGGGAAGGGAAAGGCAAACGACGCACCCAACGGGGTCGAGTATGATCACGCCGTCGACGCGAGCCATCGTGCACGGTGCAGTGGAGATTGTTGAGAGAAGAGGAAGACGGAGTTGCAGATGACGAGTTGGCGTTCGTGTCACTCCGTCGATTCAGGCACGGGTGCCCCGCGCCGGGCACAAATTTCGAGCAGACTCACAACAAGTTCACCACTGGCACCAGCACAGCACTGTTGCTCTTCTCCATCTCTCCAAGCATTATGGCGACATACCGCACAGCAGATTTCTGGGCGCCATCGCTGCACCCCAACACGCTTCTACAGCTGAGCGTGCCGGAGGGCGAGCGTAACCCTGTCGTCCGGCCACTGCCCATCAAGCACAACGAGCACGCGCCTGTGGGCGTCGTGAAGCGCATGCTGCGATTTGGCGACGAGGTGAGCCACTCTCCTTGATATAAGCTGACTTTAGCTTTTAGTTGCAGACGATGGATTTCGCATGTCTGCGCTCTCCCTGCCCGCCGACGAGGCGAGTGTACCCATTGTCACCTCGCAGAGCACGCACGCCGTGCCCTCGCGCGGAACCAGTATCTGGACTGGTCTTGCATCCCTATCCGACACCTCAGCCGTTTCCTCCCTGTCTACAGGCCGCCTGACACTCTACAACGGAAGCGCAGAAGCTGTCGGCACCAGGAAGCTCGGTGCGCCCATCCTCACCCTCTCCACCCCCGACGCCGGACAGGCCTTCGCCCTCGCCGGGAAAGAGCTCGAGCTTGGCGTGTTCGACCCCGAGCGTACATTTGCGGCTACTTCCACTGCAGCCTCACCGAAGGACTTGTACGAAGGCGAGGTTTGGCGCGCCAAGAACGTGCCGCACAACAGCCTCCGTCTCCGCGTCCCGGTGCACCACCTCTGCTCATCTTATCTTCCCGGCTCGACCTCATCCATCGTGACTGGCACGAAGGCCGGTAATGTGCGGCGGTACGACACGCGGCAGCGCAAGCCTACGGCCGACTGGAAGCTGGCGCGCGAGGGAGGCGTCGCGGTCATTGCCCCATCGAGGCTGGAGGAGAACACGGTGTTCTTTGCGGACCATAGCAACCTGCTCGGTGCCCTCGACTTGCGCACCGGCAAGCTGCTATACTCCGTCCCCGGACTGGCAGCCACGCCTCACTCGCTCTTCCCCCTTCCCAAGGGCGCGGACTGGACACCGCCCAGCATCGCACGCGAGCAGGTCGCAGGCCTCGCGACCGTCTCCAGCGACGCCACGCTGCGCATCTGCGGCGTCACCCTTGCGCCCAGTGAGACACCCAAGGGCAACTGGGGCTCTGGGAAGAAGGCGTCGGTCATGGCGAGCGTGGGCGGCGTTGGCGTTGGTACGTTTGTGTTCAGCGGGTTTGGAAGTGGGAAGGACGTCGTAGAGAAGAAGGAGGGAGAGGAAGGGGAGAGCGATGAGGAGCTCGGCGAAGACGAGGAGGAGGAGATCTGGGAGGGGATGGGTGAGGTCGGGCAAGGTGACAGTGACGAGGAGGTGAGTGAGGACGACAGCGATGAGGAGGAACAGCCACCACGGAAGCGGAGGAAGTAGAGCTAGTGCATAGATATATTTACATTGGGCAATAGATCATTTGCTGATTCCTTGCACGTCGTGCAGCATGTGCGGTCGGAGGCTATGATGCGAGAGGCGCGAGAGGATCGAGAGGAGGCCCAGTTGATATTGTCGTCACCTGCAAATGACCTGGAAGGTCGCCGAAAATGCCGCCGGTCAGAACCCTTAGAAACGACAACCGCCACCCAACGAATTCTACCTCCGCTCCATCCACCAACTTCAACACCATCCATGTCGTCCGCGCCAGGCTCCTCCCGCGGACCTCCAGGCCCTCCCCCCGGCGGACCAGCGATGGTCCCTCCCGGTCCTCCTGCTAAGTGAGCATCGCTGGCGGGAGGTAGCGCGGGCGTGCACCTCGTCGTGGCCTCACCCCTCCCCATTCCCTCGCCTGATTTACATCGCCTCCTTGACGCATCACTAACACCAGTGGTCCCGGCTTTCCAGGCATGCTTCCTCCGATGGGACTGCCTAACTTTCCCCCGCCTCTCCCTCCTAACTGGAGCGAGCATCGCGGTACGTCCGCCGTTAGTCCTCGCAGTTGACACCAGCTCCGGACGGCGTCACGCCTTACTACTACAATTCGGTGACGAAGCAGTCGACATACGCGCGCCCTACGCTTGCCCCACCCGTTGTCTCCGCTCCTCCAGTCAAGGAGAAGAAGAAGAAGAAGGAGAAGCCCAAGGAAAAGGTTCCTATTCCCGGCACCGGGTGGATGCGCATCACGACCAATGAAGGCAACACCTTCTACTTTGAGAAGGAGAACAAACGATCCGAGTGGACGGTACCCGAGGAGATTGCGGAAGCCGTGGCTGCCCTTGAGGCATCCGAGGCGGAGGAGCGCAAAAGGAAGGCAGAGGAGGCGCGCCTCGAGAGATTGAGGGAGCAAGAGCGCGTGCGCGCCGAAATTGCGGAGGAGCGCAAGCGCAAGGCCGAGGAAAAGAAGCGCAAGGCCCAGCCTGCAGAGGGACCTGCAGCCAAGAAGGCGAAGCCTGACGAGGAGAGCGGCGTGGTCGACGACGACGGAGCACCCGAGGTGGAGGACGAGGAGGAATGGAAACGCGCCGTCGCCGCCGAGTTTGACACCCAGGACCGGCAGAAGGCGGCTGCGGCCGCAAGGGAGGAGGGTGAGGCCGAGAAGGGCGCCGAGGAGGCCGCGAAAAAGGTGTTTGCCGTCCCGGAGAAAGTGCAGGTATCGGCTGAGGAAGGACGCGCTCTATTCAAGGTGAGTTTCAAGTCCGCAAGCGATGCTAACATCAGGCACTCCTAATTGAGAAGGAGATCTCACCGTTTGCGCCGTGGGATCAGGCGCTACCGCTATTCATCAACGATCCGCGTTACGTTCTCCTTCCGAGTATGAAGGAGAGGCGCGACGTGTATGAAGAGTACTGTCGCACGGCCGGGCGCGCCAAGCGAACCAACAAGCCGGCAGAGCCAACAAAGAAGGCCGACCCCGAGAAGGAGTATCGTGCGCTCATGCGCGAGGAAGTTACGTCGACCAGGACACGATTCGACGACTTCCGGCGCAAGTATAAGAAGGACCGCCGCTTCTGGGCTTTCGGGCGCGACGATAGGGAGCGCGAGAAAGCTTTCAAGGTGCACCTCCGCGAACTGGGTGAGCGGAAGCGCGCAGATGCCGACCGTGCCGAGAAGGACTTCCTCGAGCTCCTCTCCGAGGCGGACGTCACGGCAGACTCTGAATGGTCGAGTGTGAAGAAGGGGATCTCAAGCGACCCTCGGTATGACGCTGTAGGATCGAGTTCCCTCCGCGCCGAGCTGTTCAACACGTACCTCAAGAAGCTTGCTGCAGGGGAGCCAGAGGATGCCGATGCGCGTCGCGCTCGCGAGAAGAAGGAGCGGCAAGAGGCGTCTTTGGCGCAGCGCCAGAACGCTGTGCGCGCTCACCAAGCCGTGATTGGCGAGGAGGCAAGCAAGGCTCGACGCTCTGCGGGGCGGGAGGAAGGCGAGCGGCTCTTCGGCTCCCTCCTCGTCGACGTCGTCCGCTCAGACACGACCTGGGAGGAGATCTTACCTGTGCTGCAGCAGGACGGGCGCTACTCTCACCCAGCATTGCGAGAGGGCGACAAGCGACGAGTCTTTGAGGCACACATCGAGCGTATTCGCGAGACCAAAGCCGACGCTCTGTCCTCTCTCTTCAACCAGCACTCGAACTTGGAGACAGAGTTTGGTGACATCTACGACAAGATTGCCGAAGATCCGCTTGTGCAGCGTCTCGGTCTTGGCCCCGGTGCACTGGAAGAGAGGTTCAACGGTTGGAAGCGGACGCGCGAGATCTCCGCCCGCGCCGAGTTCTACGACTTACTGCGCGAGAACAACTTTGTTGAGTTCTGGGGCCGCATGCGCAACAAGGTGCTTGACGAGGCGGCGGCCAAGGTTAAGCAGGATGAAGACGACGTCGAGGAGGGCATGGACATAGCGGCGCTCGCAAAGCGAGTCGACCTGGCCGAGATCAAGACTATTCTCCGTCGCGACAGGCGATACCGGCAGTTCGACCACATCGCTGAAGAGCGCGAACAGTGGTTGAGGGTGAGTCGCGTCTGAGGAAGCTGATCATCGCGAGTAGTGCGTAGAGCTGACTGCAGGAATATCTTGAGAACCTCGAGGGGTCAAAGGGCACCGAGACGATCCACAAGATCGGATAAGGATGCTGTAGTAAATGCATATGCTGGTGCTCTTGCGATGAGGTTGAGTGTCTGTTGTGTTCAGTTCTCCTCGGGACATCTGATCAAGGTGACGAGACCTTGCTGTCTTCTTCAACGGCCGCCGCGTTCTTTGCTTTCCACTCGTCTAGCACTCTCCGCAGATCCTCCTGTGTGATGTTGTTTTTGAGAGAGCGTTCCCCATCGATGTGAAGTACAGGCTAAGGTCAGCTCGTACTGTGGTGACTGAGTGGAGGGGCGATGGTGGCTCATCTGACCGCCCTCTGATCACGCTCAAGGGCGCCTAACCCCGCCCCTTCTCACACACAGAAACCCGCCCCGTCCTCGTCACATTCACCTTTGACCCCCGCGCGTCGTGCGTTAGTACTCACAATTTCATACTGGTACGCTCGACGCCACTTGTGCACGTCCTCTGCCCCTACGTCCGCTGGCGGCTCTCGAATGTTCCACACCTTGATTTCGAATGGGTGGGTGTGGCGGACAGCAACGAGGTTGGCTTTGGCCACCTACAGTCAGCAGGAGACGGCAACGGCTGCGGACCTGGGCAACATACCTCGCAAAGACCGCACTCCTTGCCGCCTGTGAACAAGGTGAGGCGGGGGAGACGGGGTGGCATTGCAGTTGAGTGTGGTAGATGTGGATGGGAAAGGGATGATGTGCGCTGCAGTGCTCTGATGGAAGAAGATGTGAGGTGAACAGATGGCAGAGGGATAGAGAGGGAGAGGGCGTCAGAAGTGGTACACGAAAGGAACCAGAGCGAAGTGGAGGACAGGAAATGGCCGATCACAGATTCACGTCAACAATCTCTAAACGATCCACTCTCCCACTTCTCCGTTCACCTCACAGTCCACCCAGACGTCCCGCTCATGTCTGCCATGGGAGACTCGCAGACGAGAGAAAAGGCGCTCCCTCCTCCAGGAGCGGAGGTCATAGCGCTGGACGACTCCGATGTCGACTCGGAGATCGAGTTCTTCACCGCCAAGCCGATACGGCGGACAGGTGCGTGCTTCTTTCGGAAGCAGGAAGCAGCGACTCGCTTCGGTGGGATGTGCGCGTGCGGTCTGCTCTTGCTTCGGCGTTATCACCGTCCGCTCTCCACACGCGGGAGCGGGAAAACCTATCGCCTTCCTCCCTCACATCATCTCTATCACATAACATCAATGGCCTGTGCTGACGGCGTAGCCAAGAAGCGGCAGGCTCCAAGTAGAGTCGAGTCCACCCCGACTAAACACCGCGCGCCATCATACGACATACCCTCTGACTCCGAGGACGACAGTGAGGCGGAGAGACGGCGGAAGCGGCGCCGGGCGCAGGCACGCACGAAACAACCTTCTCTTCCAGACTGGACGCGGTCTCGAGCCAGCCAGGAGCCCAGGCGTGGGAGTACCGTGGAATCCTCTGTGGCAATGTGCGTAGACCTCACAGCCCGCTCAATACCGTGGCAGATGTAAGTTGGGGCATGGCTGACATCAGATCTGTCATTTCTGACGATGAGGCCACGCAAAACCCATATCGAGGCAAAGGGCGCGCGAGAGAGACTGGGAAACGGCGGATGCGGATCGAACTAACCCCGCCTCCCGCGCTTGCTGAGGAGGACCGGGCCACCATCGAACAGGAGAACCAGTGCGATACCGAACTTCAAGGGAAACGCTGACTACAGACGCTATTTCCAGGGAATAGGCATCGGACTCGATGATGCGAATGATGCGAATGACGCGATCGAAGTTGGCTCATCGTCTCCCGCACGAGATCGCAGCGGACCGCAGGTCCAGATCACGGTGCGCATGGTTGCAGACCCCGACAAGCGCCAGGCCGGCCGCGAGCAGGCTGTGGCGGCGTATGAGAAGCAGCGCACTTTCCATCTCTTCCAGGTGAGTACTTGTATGAGGGGTAACGCATTGACATTAGAATGACCCATTATCGATTCTTGTGCAGGCACTCGCGTCTCGCGTCCAGGTTCCGGCGGACCAGCTCGTCTTAGTGCACGAAGGCCAACGCATCTTCTCGCCAGACAAAACGCCAAAGCAGCTTGGCATCTCCTTCACTGGCGAGCTCAGTGAGACTCTTCATGTAATTGGGGCTAAACTAATGCGCAGAGGGCTATGAGCTGTCGGTGTACGAGAAGATCCAAAAAGCTGAGCGCCGCGCGCGACTGGCCCTGTTTGACAGCGAACCGCGCCAAGGCTCTGATGACAAGGAAAGGTCGTCCGCGAGGTCGCCTTCGCCACTGCGCGTGCCTTCACCACCAGCCGTGCAAAAGGTGAAGCTCCATCTGCGTGGTCCCAAGGGCGAGCTTCATTTCACGGCTGCTCCTACCACCCTCGTCTCCACGATTCTCAGGTACTACTGCAACAAGCAGGGAGTGGATCCCTCCGAGGTGGAGCGGTATAGACTCGAGTTCGACGGCGAGCATTTTGAAGGCGACGCAACGGTCGGGGACATGGAGTTGGAGAGTGGAGACCTTATCGACGTGTCGTATCGGTAGCGCTCGGGCGCAGCAAGCAACCCGGGAGGAGGCATATCCTGTGGCGCAAGTCGATGTGGAAGCTCGGACGCGCATCAGTCGAATGAGTTTAGTTAGTGTCAATACTACGTGTTGTCTGTATGTCGTGGCATTGCTTCTACATCAGTCATTCGTCTGACAGTCGTCTTGCTGGCTCGGTCACCATGCTTAATCAAGCAGCGCCTCGCCAAAGACGTCTAGGATTCCGGGCTCGTTGGGGTCGGCCTTGGGCTCGGCAGTGATCTGAGGCGCGGAAGGGTCGAGAAGGGGACGAATTACAGCGTTGAGCTCAACGGGCTTGACACCGAGCTTGTCGGCAAGCTGAAGGACGAGAGACTCGACACTGGGGTCGGGGACTTCGCAGGGAGGGCACGCGGCGCCGCGAGCAGCACGGCCCGAGGAGGCACCCGCCGCTGAAGCGGAGGTGACGGAGGACTGGTGTGAGTTAAGAGCGGGCGAGAGTGCGAGGAGCGGAGCCGCAAAGCGAGTCTAAACTGCAATTGCGGACTGCCACAACTTCGCTTTACAATAACTCACAACAAACTTGTCCTCGCGTGCAGAAGCCTTAGCTGCCTCCTGTTGCACAACGTCGACGAGGGTATCACGCCGTCCGGTCATGAGGTTCCAGTAGCCGCCGACCTCGGAGGCCCACACGGTGATCCGCCAGACGTAGAAGGAAGCCAGGGCGAGCAGGCCGAGGGAGAGGTATGTGAGGCTGGGTGTGAGCGGGGAGAATCGAGGCCAGTCAGACTGATGCCGGGGGGGGGGGGGGGGGGAGGGGGAAGCAAGGGATACCGTGGGCATTTGGCCTACTCCCTTCACCCTTCCCGATGAGCTGCAACTGATACTCACAAACGACCCATTGGGACATCAATGAAGGGGGGCTTGACATAAGGCGTGTCGCGCACCTGGTTGCGCTTGGCCGAGTTCATGCTGAGGCTGTCGGGGTTCCCCTCGGCGGCCTTGCGCTTGACCTCCGCAATCTTCTCATCTTCGGTCTGGGCAGCTGTGGACGCACGTCCGGCGCCAGGGTTGGTCGCGAGCGGGGCAGCAGGCGCGACGCCGACGGGGGGACCAGGAGCAGTAGAGTTGTAGGACATTGTCAGTGATAGTGAGCAGAATGTGGGCGAGGAGAGATCAGTCCGGCCGTCTCAGCTTTCTAAGTAGAGGTCGAGTGTCCCGCTCCGCAGCTCATCCTGCGAACCTGCGAAGAGGAGCGCGTCAGTGGACGACAAAGTCATGCAAGCGTCATCGACACCACCTTCCTTCGCGCCTGACGTCATGCCAACTCCGTCTTCATATTCCCACGTCAGCTGTCATACGCGGAACCAAACATATCAACGGGGTGGAGGTTTGCCACCCGGCGACCAAGCCGTGCCGGGCGGGTCACGCGGCCTTCATGGGACCTGGATGCCGTCGAGCGTGCGAGTGCGAGCAACCATCTCCATCGTCAACAGCCTCTCACACGTCTCGCATTACTACCGCACACTTAGCGTAGCGACAAGCTTACGCCGACGCGCGGCACCGACACACCGGCATCGACGCGCAACACGGCTGCCCCGCACGGGTCAGCTATCACTCCGGCACATCGACTCCGCCCTCAGACGCTCTTTAATCCGCACGTCGCCAACTCGTGCCTCCTCATACTTCCTCTGTCCCCAACTCGACTAGCGCAGCCCCCTGCTCGCACAACGCTCATCTCACGCTCCGGCCGCCATGGTTGACATCGCCGCCCTCCTCGATCAGCTCGAGGAGTGGATCGAGGCGCAGGTGCCCCAGAACCTCTCCGAGCTGCCGGCCAAGATGCTTGAGACGGCCGAGCGCATGACGAATGAGCTGAGTGAGTCCAGTGGCGCAGCTCGAGCGTCTTTTCGTCCAAGCGTTCAACACTGCCCCGCTCCCCATCACTCCTCGAGGGGTGGGAAGCGCAAAGGGAGGCCATCACATTATCGCTGTAACCCCCATATTACTCACTGCCTTTGTAGCCACTCACTCTTCTCTTTGACCCCTCTGCTTGTCTTCTCGAAGCCTCACTCACTTCTCTCCGTGCAACTCTCGCGTCGCTCGCGCTAACGACAGTGGACACGCTCACCATGCACGGTCCGCCCTCCATCTCGATACCCTTCCCGCCCTTCGCCAAAGAAGTGCCACCTCCGCCCCCTCCCCCGCCCCCAGCGGTCTACTCGCGCATCACGGACCTCGCTCGCCGTCACCCGTGTCTCGTCGCGGGCGCTGTCGGGCTCACTCTCACTGCGAGCATCGGTGCTATCGGCATGACAACGGGCGTCGGTGTGTTCGGCGCGTATGGGCGTGAGTGGCGCCTCCGCCGTCGATTTGGCGTCCGTGGCGTTGTTGAGGGTGGCATGTTGCAAGAGGCTATCGGTAAGTGTCGCATCATCAACTATCATCCATCCCTATCACCTGCTTTGTTATCACCGCGCACGGTGGCTCATACCCTCAGTTATCCTCGCCCCATCCCCCACCCCTCCCCTCCTCGTCCCCCTTACCGCCTCGCTCCTCAAGAACGGCTATGTTGTTATCGTCGCCGTCCCGCACGTCAAGGAGGCCGAGGCGCTCGAGCGCCGCCTCTCTGGCTTGGCCGAGAAGACTGCTCTCCGCGTCCTGATCTACGACACAGAGGACTCCACCACCTTCCCACCCTTCCACCGCTCCCTGCTGGCCACACTTACGCTGCGCTTCCCGGGTCCCTCTTCATCGTCGTCCAGCACGGGGGGCTACGCGGTGTCGGATCCGTACAACCCGGCACCGAGTCAGATCCCGCACATCCACGCCTTCATCAGCTTGTACCCCCTGAACCCGGCACCGCCCAGCCAGCCTAGTCCGCTGCCTGCTCTCCCGACTCTTGTGCAGCCAACCACCGGAAAGCCACCAATGCTGCTCACTCTCTACCCCGCCGCCGCAGGTCTGGTGACGCCCGACTCATTTGCCTCTCAAGTACTGAGCGCTACGCACCAACTTCTTGGGGCCAACCTCGCCGCCGCCACATCTTCACGTGTGGTGTCGCTCTTCTTGGGTCACATTACCCTGCCCTCTCTCCCTGCCATCATTACTGAGGGCCGTACTCTCTCGCGTCGCGAACTGGCGCGACAGCGCCTCCGTGAGAGCGCCGCGTCCCCCACCGCCGCATTCTCTATCGTGCGGGACCTCATTGCGTCGACGCTCTGCGGCTTTTACCGCTCCATTGCGGGTGCCCTCGGCCTGGCGCCGTCGCGTGACTACGCCGCGTTCGAAACCCGCCTCCTCCGCACGCTCAAGACTCGTTGTGGTACCAACTTCTATGCTGGCCAGCGCTCCTGGCTCGCGCACCGGCTGGCCTCCCTGCCGCCCACTGTTCTCCCGCGAGTGCTGAGCATTATGCCGCCCATGCCGTCAGAGACGGGCCCTGCGCCGCCTCCGCCGCCCAAGAGCGGTGGCGGCTCGCGCTCCGCCGGCTCCCGCAGCGCTAGCTCGAGCGACCACGAGGCGGAGGACCTCGTGAGCTCCATCCACACTGCTGGCACGACGCAGAGCTCCGCCGACAGCTCGGTGATGGACGGCAGCTGGGTCGTTGATGCCTAGTTGGCAGTGTTGTACCATCGATATTCTAAACAGACATGAATGTATGGGCCAATTGCAAACGAACTTGTGGGCCCTAAGTGGCAAGGTTTCGTTGGCCGGGAGGACGGGCAAACGAACACGGGAGTGATCGGCGTGATCGGTACGGCTTGTCAGCTTGTCAGAGAGCATGTGAGAGAATCAGCGAGACCAATGTGGTCTAAAACAGCACACTCATGAAATGGAAGTGTGGGTGGGGGTGAATGCAAGCACAAGTCCATCCACAATGCTGGACGTGTCGCTCACCGACGGCAGCTGGGTGCTAGTCGCCGGTCGCGGGATTGAGTTGATAGGGATGACATGGGGTCCAATCGGGATGACGACATGGTGCCTGTAGCCGCCATGCCAGCGCCAATACAGATGCAGTTGCCACCGTCTCATCTCGCCTCTACCCATCTCTTCATCAGTCCATCATGTCCCAGCCCAACCCCGCATCTACCGTACCAAGCAGCCTGCCGTCCGGGGCCGACGTCGCGCCTCCCGCGAGCACGGCGCCCGCGAGCGGCACGGCGAGCACTACCACGCCGCCGCCCGCCAAGGGCCCCACCTTCGACACCCCGCCCGCTGCTTCCTCTTCCGCCCCTGCCGGCGCCGGCGTCCCTCCCGCGAGCCATGCCGCAGGCGAGGCGGGCGAGGCGGGCGCGCACGGCGGCATCTTGCAGCAGGCGAGGGATATGGCCAAGCCTGTGAGTTGGGATGGCGCGCGGGTGGTGGGAAGACGTTCTCGGTGATCCGAACCTTCCTTCTCCCACCTCTCGTCCTCGAATAAGCTTGGATTCACCCCGCTGACATTAGTACCTCGAGCAGGTCGACAAGACCGCCCGGCCGTACCTCGAGAAGGCGCAGGCGAGCGCTAAGCCATACACTGACGCGGCGATGGCGAAGGGCCAGGAGATCAAGGAATACCTCGAGGTGGGTTGAGCTCGTCGCAGCGGCGTCCGGGTCAGAGTGCATTCCGCTCGTCAAACTGGGTGAAGGGAGTTGTGGCGTCTGGAGGGATCTCATCCTACTGGGATCTTGATACATCCACAGTGATATTCTCACTCACCCTCACCCACACACCTCGTTGCTGCTTGCAGCAGCCGCGCCGCTGACTTTGCTCATTCCACAAATCGGGCTGACTCCAGGGCAAGAACCACCCCGACCACCATAAGACGCAGACGGAGGGCGACATCGCCGGTATTGGCGGCACGGGCATCGCCGACACGCGTGCCGCAGCCGGTAGCCCGCCGGCTGAGCCTGGGACCTACCCCGCCGCTCCGCCGCAGAGCCTCGGACACAAGGCTCTGGGCATGTTTGACTACGGACTAGTGTCGGTGAAGGTACGTTGCAGCGGGTGAAGTCTGCGTTTTGCCCGGCTTCCCCAAACACTTCCTTGAGGCACCCGCTCACTGCAGTCCGCCCTTAACACTCTTGGCAACACGATCGACAACAAGACGGCGACGCCAGAGAAGCCTGGTCTTTACACGCAGGCGTCCACCGTCGCGTCCAAGGGCCTTGCGTCGATCCAGAAGGCCGTCGGCGAGGTGAATCAAGTCGACTTGGATTCTGCTTACGGTCAGCCGTCTGCGGGCGCTGGTGCTGGGTCTGCAGTAGGTGCGGGCGCTGGTGTCGGTGCTGCTGCAGGTGCTAGCACTGGAGCTACTACCGGTGCGACTGTGACGGCTGCGACGGGATCTGGCGCTGCAGTACCTCCGACGACTGCAACAGGGGCGTCTGCGGCCAACCCGCACCCGGTGATGACGACGACGAACACGATCGCACACAACAGCAAGGACGGGGACCCGGTTGTCTAGAGGGGGTTGTAGTGCATGTGTCGAGGTGTTACAGGATTTATGCACGCGGTCTTGAATACGCCACATGGGAGGGAGGCTGGGTGGATTGTTTGTGATTTTGTGAGGATGGGTAACAAGTGCCACACTCGGCGTTTAGGAGATTGAGTGGCGGGGGAGGGTGGAGGTTGACGGCCGAGAGCGGGAGGAGCACGCTTTGAGCCAGGGTTGAGAGCTCAAGCAACCCCCATCAGGCCCACCACCGTCTCCTCCCTTCCCCCTCCCACTGGCCATCATCAATCAACCTCCAACCTTCAACCTTGGCCTCTACTCGTCGTCCTCCATCATCTTCCATCCTCCCCCCACAAACATCCCTCTCTTCATCACCAACATCTCTCCCACCACCACCACAAACATCCCCCTCGGCTACCCCTCCCCGCCGAGCCACCTGCCGCTGCGCCCCGTGCCATCGTTCCACCTCGCCGCGCAGCAAAATCTGCTTACACCTCCCCTCTCCCCCCCCCCCGCTCCGGCCCCACGACTCGCGCCAGGTGCGTCTACATTCATTGGCATCCTCCTCCTCCATCAACAGACAGACAGAGACGGAGGCAGTGCCATCCCTCCCCCTTCCCTCACTCTCATCGCTGACACACTTGCCCTCGTCATCTCCCCCCACGCACTCAAACTCCCTCTCAACACTTGTCCACGCCATCGTCCAACGCCGCCCCCCTCCCTCCCTCCACGCGCCCACGACAACGCGCGGACCATTTCATCCGCCCATTCATTCTTCCATCACCCACTCACCTCGCCTTGACAAAACAGCGAGCCCATCCCTAGCGCCCCGTCTCCCCCCCCCCCCCCCCCCCCCCCCCCCCCCCCCCCCCCCCCCCCCCCCCCCCGCTAGTGCGCGCGAACCCACGTCGTCGCATATCGCCGCCGACCCCTTTGCCGCACAGCAGAGCCCAAGCCCGAGACTGAGCCCTTGGACTGTGCACGCGCGCCGTAAAGGTGAGTCCGTCAGCTCTCCATCCGTACCTGCACGGCGTTCCATCAGCATGCCCCGGCCGCGCACTGCCTTTGCTCGGCCGGCAGCAGACGCGCCGAACATCCGGGAGTGCATGCATTGGCTAGCCGGCCGACGGCGGCGCCGCGAAAGGGGAGAGGCCAAATCTGATCGGCGGCAATATTTGGCGAACGCTGGACGGTGGGGCTATTGCGCGGCGTGTCAGGTCCTTGTACGACGCACACGCCAGCGCACGCACCGCCGTCCACACTATCGACACCGCCGCCGCCACTCCCACCCCCCTCTCACCGCTGGGCGCCTTCTTGCCCTTTTCACTCTGCTCCAACACTCACCCCTTGCCCCCCCACCCCCCTCCCCTTTTCTCCGCTGCCACGCTAACACTCCAGCACACTCTTTTTTCCCCCATCTCTAGTCCAATTCACCCACTTTCCCATTCATAATGGCCGACCCCTTGCAGGAGATTGACCTCGACTCGGTCATTGACCGTCTCCTCGAAGTCCGTGGCAACCGCCCCGGCAAGGCCGTCCAGCTGCAAGAGTACGAGATCAAGTATCTCTGCACCAAGGCGCGCGAGATCTTTATCGGACAACCGATTCTGCTTGAGCTCGAGGCGCCGATCAAGATTTGCGGTGAGTTCGAAGAAGCGCAAACTGCATCCCTATGCACATTTAGCTGACGACTCAGGCGATATCCACGGCCAATATTACGACTTGCTGCGCCTGTTCGAATATGGCGGCTTCCCCCCAGAAGCCAACTACCTTTTCCTGGGCGACTACGTTGACCGTGGCAAGCAGTCGCTCGAGACCATCTGCCTCTTGCTCGCGTATAAGATCAAGTACCCCGAGAACTTCTTCATCCTTCGCGGCAACCACGAGTGTGCTTCAATTAACCGCATCTACGGATTCTATGACGAGTGCAAGCGCCGCTACAACATCAAGCTGTGGAAGACGTTTACCGACTGCTTCAACTGCCTCCCCATTGCCGCTATCATTGACGAGAAGATCTTCACCATGCACGGCGGCCTCAGCCCCGACCTTCAGAGCATGGAGCAGATCCGGCGAGTGATGCGCCCGACTGACGTCCCCGACACTGGTAAGTTTCGTCATGTGACTGGTGTGGGACATGCCTGACGCCACAGGTCTTCTCTGCGACCTGCTCTGGTCCGACCCGGACAAGGACATTACCGGCTGGAGCGAGAACGACCGAGGTGTGTCGTTCACCTTTGGGCCCGATGTTGTCTCGCGCTTCCTCCAGAAGCATGACATGGACCTCATCTGTCGTGCCCATCAGGTTGTGGAGGATGGGTATGAGTTTTTTGCAAAGCGGCAGCTGGTTACGTTGTTCTCGGCTCCTAATTACTGCGGCGAGGTGAGTTTGGAGAGCGGGCAGCGAGGAGACCAAACTAATTCCAGTTCGACAACGCCGGCGCAATGATGTCCGTTGACGACACCCTGCTATGCTCTTTCCAGGTGAGCATACTCTCTTGTGGCCACGTTTGTGCAGTGCTTACGACGACAGATCCTGAAACCCGCCGAGAAGAAGCCAAAGTACGGGAACTACGTTCGGCGCCACCAGTAAGGCGCGGTGCGCATGGCCGGCGTGTGCGACGACTAGCGAGCGACCAGCGAGCGATGCAATGCAAGACGTGCGACAATACAATACTACAACAACAACGTTGAGGGGCTGGGGAGGTGATTCTGCGCTATACCTTCCGGGTACGCGGAGTGGGACGCGGCGATCTGTTGTATCCTTCTCCACGTCTCTCGGCGTTCCGAGAATGGCAAGCAGCATAGAACGTGACGTGTACGAGTGATGCGCAACGGCCGAGAGGCAGGCGTAATGCGGCGAGACAGGACAATGGAATTCACTTGATCGCAAGGGATGGACTGATGAGCTCACCTTTGCGAGCTGCCGAGCAGCAGGGTGAGGCGGGGGCCTCGGATCTTGCGCAGGGTCACGACCGAGACGGCAGGGGTGGGGGCAGTCGGTGTTGTTCTCGGACTAACACAACGTTCTCAGCTCCTCAACTCGTCCCGTCATATCTCAGCTCATCTCAGCTCAGATCGACGACACACTCGTACTCCTCTCGAAATCCTTGTCGCATTAATCGCATCGAAGTACGACTCGTATGACCGCGCAGGAGCCCCGCCAACCGCGCATGCACACGGCGTCATTCGATGTGCCGAATTGGGCTCCGTGAAACGCGTCACGTGCCGAGACCGCTGACGCTCGCTGAAGCTGACAAGAGCGCATGACATCACCGCCGTGTCACGGCGGAGCTTTGGCCCCGAGCTGAGCGGGGTGGGCGGGTGAGCGGGCTTGTGTCCGATGCCGGCTCCATATTGATTTGGAGACATGTGGAGATGGAGGAGCGGCGGGGGTGTGGACCACCAACCGGCTCCGCGACGCACGTGACATAGCACTGAAGCAGGTGGAGAGGGAATCTGTTGCTAGCCTTGCCGCAGTTGCTCCGCACCACGTGACCTGGCAGAGTCCGGAGGTGGATGGTGGCTCGCGCGTCGCACTCTGCCGTTGACGGTTGACACTTACTGCATGCACGTCGTTGTCTCCGGCTACGCTACGGCTACCTCATCCGGCAGCCCATGTGTAAGTCATGAGAGAGGTACTGACTCTCCAGAAGTACGAAACGAAGGCCGCGATTGGACCGGATGTAGGCGCGCATCGTTTTCCTGGGCGAAGGTCCTACTCACCCACGTGAGCACCACTCATGAGCAGCTCCATGTCTCCGTCTGCCACCAGAATATGGGGATGGGCTTCAACTCTTGCGCCAAGCGATGCACTGAACGCCCCGCTACGATGCTAATACCGCCCGATGCCGCATGTTGCTCGCATTTTCCAGCATGATACAGCTGGGGGTTGGCTCAGCACTGATGACCTTCCGCGTGAGACTCGTGAGCAACTCCATCACCATCTGCCATGACAGAAACGGGTATGCTCTCAACTGCGATGCCTTGAACGCCCCGCTAAGACGCCAACTTACCCACGAAATTGAAAGGAGCTCGCATCTTCAGCTCAGACAGATGGGAGCGTGCCTCAGCGCTCATGACCTTGGTCATGAATGACTCCGCGTCCAGCGATGACAAAAATGGAGATGCTCTTCAACTGCGATCAGTGGACATCCCACTACACAGCTAACTGCCCCGCGAAATCGCCTGTTGCTCGCATTTTCCATCTCAGACAGCTCAGCGTGCCTCACTTTGGGAAGCTTCGTCCCACCTGTCTGAATTTCGCGCACATTTGTGCCACCGCTCAGTATGCATCGCTTCGCTTTCTCCACCAGCTTGTTTAGCGAGCAAATATGCCTCCGTATGTCCAATCAGGATGTGAATTATCAGTTATGGGAGGTGACGAGTGCGGGCTCGCTTCAGCGTCTCTGCTACGACGAGTCCAGCTGCCTGCCTCCCATCTTCTCTTCGCCCCCTCCCGCGCTCCTCTCACCGCCCGACGGTTTTGGGAGGTAAATCATGCCAAAATGTGCATGCACACAGCGCTCGGCGCGCTCCATGAACGCCGTTGTTGCGCGCACTTCGCGCCACATTCGCGCAGCGCACATCACTCCCCGAAGGACGCCCCTAATGTCGTATGCGGCCCGTGTAGCAAGAATTGGACAATCCATGCCTCCCGTTTCTGCGCGATGTCACAGCCGCTCTGTCTCCCGTTTTTCCGAGAGAGCGCTGTCACTTCGGCGTAGCCGTCTTTGCTGGGCGCGAAGTCGTAGCCGCTTTCGCTCCCCATTTTTCCGGGTAGCGCCTTGACAGTGACCATCTCCGCTCAGCGCGGCGCCGTCCACCGCGCACGATGTCATACATTCGATATGCTGCTCGCCGTCTGCCGGCAGATGACGCTGCATACAGCCGTTCGACACTAGTGCCGGAAGGCATGTGCACCACATGTCCCTCTGCCGAGGCTGCCACGGATCCCTTGGGCGGCGCGGTCCGACCTTGCTCCGCGCGACTGTGATCCCAGATCGGGTCGGGCGTCGCGGTGGCGCGCGTTCTGTGGCCCTGCGGCGTCGTCTGCGCCACTCGTCTCTTCGCCTTCGCGCTCGCCTTTACAGGCCTGGCGTCCTCTCCTACTCACATGCCTAGGACTGGTGCAGCAGTAGAATGTATGGGGGTCAGTGGCAAGAGGTGGCGCTGTGTCTTGGGCGGTGGGAATATCCCATGCCTCGTTTGCCTGCGCCACCCCCCTGCCTAGCCCTTCGCCCCCTCCTTCCTGTGTCCACACACAGTCACACATTTTCGCCCAACATTCTCGATAAACGCCGCGTAGACAGCTGACGAGTGCCAACTCTCCGGAGCGGGAGCGGAGGTTTCACCATGTCATGCTCTCACATCTCACGACTACGACAGCATGCCAAAAATGGACCAAGGCGATGCATCACGCTCCGATGTGACGACGTTGTGCGTTGGTTTCTGCGCATCACGAACGACGGAACGGTACGACAAGAATGCCAGCGAGCGGGGATAAGGCGTAGAATTCTGCGGCTATGGGCGGGGCGCGCCCAGATCTGCGGCCGCAGCCGCTGCAGCCGCCCTCTCCCGCCGGCTATCATTCCCCTCCGAATCCCTCTACAGCCCCGTCCCGCTGGGGCAAAGCCAAGCATCTATCTCTGCAGCCTCGTTAACCTCGGTGTCGACGTCATAGATCTGCAGGTCCCGATCTGGCCGCCCCATGTGATGCGTCCCGCACCGCGATTGCGTTCGCGTCTCTTCAGAGTGCACTTGGCGCGGCGCGGCGGCGCACCGAGATCCGCCAAGATCGATCTGGGATCGATGGCCTGATGCGCCGATGTGATGGACATGCGGCATCCGGCCCTGCTTGCACGGGCAGCCGTTCCTGCATTCCCACCAGCCCAGCCACGGGCGGGCCACGCACAGCGACCGATTTGGACGATCAAACTCAGTGTGGCGGTCGACTAGCATTCGAAAAATGTCATCCGGTCTTGGCACGACCTTTTCTCAGATCGCCGCGCCTCGGAGCCGCCCCACACATCTCCCCCTCGAGCGCGATCGCCGCGACGACCCGTCGACTGCCGAGCATTCCTGCCACTGCTCGTCACGTCCACGTCAGCGACTGGCCTCCGGAACGGCGGCGCGTCCCTGCCTAAAGCTTCTGCGCCTCGCTATCGCTCCTCCCCTGCCGCCGGCCCCCGACGATGCGCTGCCTCTACCGCCGAGCATCTTTCTGGAATGCTGTTCCAGCCGCCACACCGTCAGCCTCTCGTCGATCGTGATCGCCAGGACCTCCACGAACGTGTGTCTGGCTCAAAACATGGTTACTTCCCATGCAACCGATGTGATCAGCTGGCCGGGTGTATGACTCAAAGCTCTAAAGATAGCGCGAGACGAGGCAAACTGGTCGACGATGAGCTCATGTTTGGCGGCCAGCCGCCTCTGTAATCGCGAGGCATTTATCGTGGAGGCCTCGGCACGACGCCGACACGACACCGACGGGCCCCGGCTGTACCCTGCTTGATTGCGTTGCCTTCTAGCATCCGCAGCCTGGATGTGGCGCGCGGAAGACGCAGCTCGAGTGAGTGCTCAGAGTGCGGTTGGTTGCTCCAGGCACGCCACCGAGGCTATGGACGGGCCGTTTCAGGAACTGTGCCAAGGCGACGGATGTCAGCTGGTCTGCTGATCTGGTGAACTGAAGGTCTCTGGCTGCCGGGCTGCGGCAGCGGATGCGTCTCGCGACGACAATTACAGAATGGGGGGGAACAGGCTCAGCATTCCACTCTGACCCCTTCTATCGACCGGGTCAGAGCTGTCGACTTCCGCATTTCCGCTCCCACAAGTGGAATGAGGCGCACGACTGCTAAATGGGGTGGGGGTACCAGGTCGGGCACGCTCGGAGGCAAAGGAGAAGGAGAGCAGCTGTCTGTGCTTGTGCCCCATCAGCTGTCAGCTGGGAGGCGTGCTGAGCTTGTATTAGCGAGGGAAGAAGAGGAGACGCAGTAGCCCAGCCCATGTGCCCCGGCTCTCCATCGCGACGCCGCGACGCCGCGACGATCTGCCTTCCATTGCCCAGGTGGGCTGGTGCTCTCCCACGGTGGATGTGTAGGTCCTTTTCCGGATTACCGGACGCGGGCCGGTTTGTTGGCCCGTGACTTGTGAACCCATCTATCGTCCCTTAGGCGGAGGTCGCCACGCGGTCCACTTGCTGATGTGTCGTGTGAGACTTCCTACACTGCTCTGGCCCGCTGCCCGCTGCGGGCACTTGTTCCGGGGGGAGGAGGGGGAAAATAGGGGGGCTGCAGCGATGTACAAGAGGCTAGAGCGGGTGTCAGAGCATGCAAGGGAAAGTTCGCTGGGTCTCCGAAGATGGCGAGCGCAAGATCCGGATATGGGGCGATGGGGTGAGTTCCGAGACAGGGGCGTGCCTTCATGATCGCCCTCAGGGACTCTGCCTGACACTTGAACTGTGCCCGTGAGTTTACATTGCCTCCTTTGATCCTCTGCGCCCGCGCCCCAAGCGCAGCAGCAGTCATTCGGGATCGACAGATCGACAAGGGGATGGGGAGTGGGTCCGGTGGGGAAAGGTGGGCGCCGCGGAGGCAGCGGAGGCGGCGGAGTCAAACCAAGCTGATCTCGTGCGAGGTTGACGGCACACCAGAGAGGAGTGAGGGAGGGAGGGGAGTGAAACGGGCGCGAGCAGTCTCAAGGGGCTGAGGAGAGCAAGAAAAAATAGTGCGTATGCCGATCGTTTCACGTTGCATTCCCCGGCGGCAAAGGTATTAAGTGCCTCCTGGCGGTCCAGCCCATGCAGCCATGCAGTCAGCCATGCAGCCATCGCAGCCATCGCAGCCATGAAGCCAACAGCCCCAGCAAGCCAGCAAGCTCACGTCCCAGGGGCGCCACACGCAGGCCAGCCGCCCGGACACGTCCGAGATCCCATCGCAGGATCGCAGGGCAGCTGACCGAGCACGGCTGCGAGGGCCGAGGACCGAGGGCCTGCTTCCAGACCGGGGCGCGTTGTCAGCGTCAGTGGCACACTTGTTCGCCGAGGTAAAATCACATCCTCTTTTTGCCTGCTGCTTTGCTGCTCGTCCTCCTCGTACAGCTGCACATGTGTCGTCGTCATGCAAAGCTGACAGCCGGGCTTCTTGCATCCTTCTTATCTGCAGCTTGCAGGCCCTTGCGGTCCCCTTTCTCCTCCCCTCTCCTCTCCTCATTCATAACCCACTAGACCGTCAGCCACCCACCCACCCATCCTGACCACCATTCACGGTCGGTCAATAAACACGCGAAACCACACCAACGCGCAGTCCGTCCTCACCATACCGGACCCCTTCCACCCCTTCGAACACGCCCACCTCCCTCTACCCCTTCCACTCTTCGTCTCAATCACCCTCTCCGACGGCTCCAACGGGCGCTACCTCCTCGGCGTCACCCCCACATCGGCAATTAGAGCGTCACTTTGAACGGCGCCATCATCGCCCACATCGCTGCCGTTCTACAGCATTCAAAACGGCCCGATCTCGCCTCAAAACAACCATCGTCCTCCCTCATCGCTATCCCATTATCTGCTCATCACCATCTGTTCTTTTCTTGTACCTTCACTGTTCCCTCTCCCCTTCTTGATATCTTGAACTTTTCTCAGCTTGCCCAACTCTTCACTACCTCGTCATCCTCGGCAGCTGTGACCTCGCCGCTCGGACACCTTGCTCCCCGCCCGGCTATCATCTCCCCGTTCTTGCCATCTACACCTTCTAAAAGTTGCGGCGCACCGACCGTCTTCTACATATTGGCGCTTAGTATACTGCTCATCTATCTCGAGCGCTTGCTGGTCCCGCCTTATCTGACCAGTCGTACACCAGCCGCTCAACCGGCAAGCTTGTCTTAAGAGTCTCCCAAATGTCGTCGTATCTCGACTCGGTAGACTGCCAGCAATACCCCGACATGTTCGGCCTCGACCTCGCCCCCAACAACTTCCTCCAGGTTAACAGTGATTCGTCTGGAGCATCGTCGCCCGACATCGCCTCGCTCCTTCCTGCACGGCATAGGTGGGACTCGCCAATGCCCTCGGCGCCCATCGACATCCCGCATGCGCATTCTCACGCGCACTCCCACCCGCACGACTCGGTCTCTCCCATCAGAGCCGGCGCCGTCTCCGCTCCTCCGTGGTTCGGCATCACGGGCCAGGGCGCATACGAGATGCCCTCCGACACGGAATGGCGTGACGACCAGTACGTGCCCCCCAACGCCACCACTGATGCAAGCCGTCACCCCTTCATGTCTCAGACCTACGCGCCCCCTCGTCACCACCCCTACCTCACCGAGCCGCGCCCCGAGCCGCCCCGCAAGTCCGGTCGCCTCGGCGTCAAGCGGAGGCAGAAGTACACTCGCTCGCGCACGGGGTGTCTGGGTTGCCGCGCCCGCCGCATTAAGTGTGACGAGGCACGCCCCATTTGTCGCCGTTGCGTCGTTGCCAAACGCGAGGTATGCGCCCTTTCTATTCGTGCTGACATTAGTCGGACTGCGTGTTTCCCGACCAAGGGGTGAAGAAGCCCAAGGGCTCGGATAGCGAGTGCTCGTCACCTGAGCAGCGCAAGCCCTCGCCTGAGATCCCGGGCCTCGTCCACCGCTCATCCGATGAGAGCCAGCCCTCCAGCAGCAGTCTTAGTACGCATGGGGGCTCGGAGGACGTCCAGCTCGGCATCGGCTTCAAGCCAGATTTCCTCGGCTTTGATCTCATGCCTGAGGGAATGGAGCTTGGTCTCGGCTGGTCCGCCCCGCCCTTTCTCCCGAACAACCTCGAGACCGATCTCAACAACGCCCCGTTGAGCTTCCTCAACTCCGCCGCGCCCGTGCCGCACCCCCACCAGATGGTCGGACGCGAAAGTGGTGAGAAGAGCCCCAGTCCCGCAACACCAATGCTCACCACGCCCAACTATTTCTTGCCCTACTTTCCCACGGCGCACGAACAGAATCTTATCTTACACTATTGCGCGCATGCGGCCGCCCTGACGATTGCGATCCCGCTTGGCCCCAACCCCATGCTGGCTGTGTCTCTCCCCCTCGCGCTGGCGTCGCCCCGTGGTACGAATGCCGCATGTGATGCATTGCGGGCCGCGCTGCTGGGTGTCGGCGCTGCGCACCAAGCCTTCCTGCAGGCGCGTGGCGGGCACCCCTCGACGGCGACGACGGGACTGGCGGCGGCGTTGAGTTTGCGGGAGGAGGGCAAGGAGCTTGTGAGAGCAGCCGTCGCACGGGGAGATAATAGCGACGCGGCATTAGCCGCCGCCACCTCCCTTGCAACCATAGATATTTTCCTCGGCGGAAGTGGGTGGGAGGAGAACTTCGCCGTCGCCAAAAGTATTGTTTCCGCGCGTGGCGGGCCATCCGCCCTCCTCGCCGGCCCCACCACCGCCCTTCCGGATGGCAGCATCGTCACCCCCGCACGCCTCAGCCTCGAGATTCTCGCAATATACGACACATTCGCATCCCTCCCCTGCGGCACCTCGCCCAGCCTTCTCAGCGACGAAGACGACTGGTGGTTCAGCCCGAGCCTCGACGACGCGGACGGCTATCCCTCCACCCCCTTCGGCGCAGCCTCCGTCGAAACCCAGTTTGGAGTCTCCCGCGTTGCCATCCACCTCTTCGCACGCACCGCGCGCCTCCTTGCGCGCGTCACTTCCCCCCTCTCAGAACCACCCACACCCTTCGGGCCGGGCGAGAGCGCCATCCCCGGCCCCAGCGGTGGCGCAGGCAGTCGGCGCGGCTCCCTCGCAGGGCCACCCAGCCGGAGCGGCAGCATCGGCTCCCGACTCGCCACCGACGTGTTTGAAGCGCTCGTCGGCCGGCGTATGGATACGGCGTTCAAGAGGGGAGGCATCTTCGCACCGGATGCAAACCCTTTCGGCCCCGCCACGGCTGCTCCAGCTTCTCCCCTGGACGACTCCCTTGCTGAAGAAGCCGCGTGCTTCAAGCTCGATCTTGACGGTTGGATCGAGAGCCTATCCACCGCAAACACGCACGAGCGCGTGCACGCCGGTGACAGGGCATACGCGTTTGCCATGCGAGTAAGTCGCGCGCGCCGTGCCTGACTCGGAACCCTTGCTGATCATCTCAGATCCTTCTTCTTCGCATGGTGTTTGGCCGGGCAAGGACCGATGCGTTGGTCCAGAGAGCCGCGCTTGAGGTCATGCAGGCATGCAGTATCAGTACGGCGGCCCTCGGCATGAGTATAGACCTCATGTGGCCTGCCGTCGTGGCAGGCTGTTGCCTGAACGGCGTGGACCGGACGTGGGTGGAGACGCTACTCGAAGGGTTCAAAACACAGTGCTGCTTCGACGTCGACACAGCGTCAAGGATCATTCGCGAGGTGTGGCGCCGCGTTGATGCAGGTGATCGCACGGCTGACTGGAAGCCCGTGTGTGATGACCTGGGGCTGAGAGTTCTACTCTGCTAAGTGAATAGCTCGCTCGCTTGATGCGCACAGGCTGTACTCCCTTATATTATCTGTTGTACAATACTTCTTGCATGCATGTCACATGGTGACGCACTTGTACAGATCGATTGATTGATGTGTGCTGTGCAGTGCGTGCCCGCTAACTACCGCCTGAAAGTGGGTCTGTAAGTACATTCTTGCACGACGCAACAACTGAGATCGGAAAGAGATGGGTGGTGATGGCGTGGTTGTGGTGTGTGTGCACGCTGCCGACAATGAAGCGTGGGTGCATGCGTGTACCGTGTTGCACAGGGCGCCAGAATTGTACACAGAGAGAGGGAGAATGGGACTTGGCTCAGAGCTGAGGCGTGGTGGGATCACTGGAAGTCGTAGCTACCTCGGTCTGCCGAAGGACCTGCCGTCAATGACGGCTTGAAAGCGGAGCTGAAGTGTCAAGAGTGGACGTACTTGAGAGGAACGAAAGCTGAGAGGAGGAAGCTGAGCGCTGGCCTCGAGAGATGGAGTCTGACTGCTGTCAGCCAATGTCGGCGTTGGGTGCGCGTTACCTCCGGAAACGGTTCCGGCTGGCCTCGCAGAGCGCCGTCCGAGCTGCGGTCAATTTAGGTTTTGGCCTTGAGCTCACTAGAAGATCTGCGGACGCCACTCTTCCTGGACCGCCATGACTGCCGAGTTGCTCTCTATCAGCTTCACTCCTTATCGCCGATTACCGGAACTTGTTGACCAAGGCGATCTTTCCTTGAATGGTAGCGTACACGGTCTGCTTGTCAGGCAGTTCAGGCACACTCACCCACCTGAAGGACCTTCTCGCTCGAGAACATGTTCCAACGCTTACCGACTCGCGCACGGTAAAAGTGAAGAAGGGCACGAGTGGAAGTGAAGTTCACGAAGGCATATCCGACCTGAGGTCAAACTGAGTACACGCCTTGTTACTCACATTGCAGTGGTTGCTGAAGTCAAAGCGCAGGTAGACAAAATCAAACTCGCCCGGCACAACCTGTCTGTTAGACCCCCTAAGCAATGCGTACCGACCTGGTTGAGGATGTCGACGAGCTCCTGACGGGATAGCTTATTCTGAGAGTCAGCATAGTGACGGCGTATGACCTACGGGCACATCCTTTACCATCACTGTGGTACGCTTGTCAAGTCCTGCGCTCTCAGTTCTGATCCACAGACAGAATGCTCACCAGCCGTGATACGTTCAGGAACGATTATGTTCTCAGGGGGGATGGGCTTCGGCTCGCTCTTACCCCATATAGTATAGGATCGAGCGGTGAGAGCGGCGGGAGACAAAGGGGTCGAGTAAGAGCCACTGGTGGTATAGTGGCGTTGCATCGCCTGTGCTGTCTCATTCATGCCATTGAGGATGGTCTGCATGGTGGCTGAGTCCGTTGCGCGGCGAAGATTGGGTGGACGAGTTGCACGGGCCTCATGCTGCCCCTCAGTGGCAGGAGTTGCCCAAAGATGAACGGGCTCAGTGTCGAGCCGGTAGCGGCCGCGCGGAATTGTGCCGCTTTGAGTCCGACGTACGCTGGGAGACGCAGTGTCAAAGGGCTGGAAGCCATCAAGGCCACCTTGGGGCTCGTCCGTCGCGGAGAACGAACCGTTCATAAGTGACATGGATCCGGGTGAGACGGCCGACACATTTCTGCGGGGAAAAGTCCAAGATGTGGGCGAAGTTGCGGTGGCCGCTCTCATTGCGGCCGACTCTGAGATCGACACTGAACGGGCGACGGAGTTTGTCGAGCCGTTATCGATATTCAACGTCAGACGAGCAGGAGGATCCGCCTTGAGCGGGTGCTCAGAGTAATAGGATACAAGAAAAGTGCCTCCCGTGATGGTTATGTTGTTGTAGGTGCGAATGACGCTTGCGGCGACGCGGGTGTCATAAAACTCAGCAGTAAAGACCTTGAGCAGTGAGTTTATCAAATATGCAGTGACTTACATGTCCACTGCTGTCATGCGCCTTGAAGTGTTTGAGGTCACCGCAGGCACTTAGTTGAGCCTATGAGTCAGTCTAGTACTGCAGATGCAGGTCACCTTAAAGCCCTCGCACTCAACACCCAACTGAGCCTGGACTTGGATGCGGACCGCCGCCTCACTCTCGTTCCAGAGAAAGTCCCATTGCTGGCCTACCCCAGTCAGCTGCGGGTAAGCGTATCTCATATGTCAAGTGACTGTAACCTACCGCCCGGACTTCCGCCTCGGCAATACAGACGCAATGCAGCAGAACGGCGTCTGAGGTGGTCGAGAAGCGGACCGCTCTGCGGCTGAGCCCCTTGTACACCTTGAATGCTTCACGTGAATCCCAGAAAGCGGCAATGATCTGTAGGTCAATCGACGGAAAGGCGTAATCACCTACCCATCCATGCGTCCACAAATGATGGGTAAGGATGGCTTTGGTCTGGCCGGGGACCTGTTGATCAGTTCGGCAGCACGAGGTGTACTCACTTCAAGTAGTTCCTGTAGCTGTGAGAGCTGGGCGGTTTTCGGGACGTTCGTGACCTGTTGATCAGCATCCACTTCGGGCAAAGCACTAACGAGAAGCCAGCGAGTGGTGAGGTCAACTGTGAGGGGTTGAAATACATGACTGGAGGTACCCAGCACATTGTTTAGACGCCCATCAAGGCCAAGAAAGTCCGGCTCAGGGAGAAGCGTCAAGGCTTGCTTGCCTGAGCCGGCCGAGGAGTACACGCGGTTGGGCGACGAGTCCCAGGCAACTGACGAAGGCGTGGATATTGTGCTCAACGTCCGTCGGGACGACGGAGTGTGGGGAATCGTGTTCGAGCTCTGAACAGAGTCTGAAAGAAAGTGGTCAGTCGTTCGTCCGATGGCGCCGCGAGACTTACCTCTGTTTGGACCTGGAGTCTGAATGCCCTGCACGAGTTAGCATGCTAGCGATTATGTGAGGGAGCAAGGATTAGGGTATATGGTTTAGAACGTACTCCAACACTCGCTGCCCCTCCGGAAGGGATGGATGGCCGGAAAGACCGAGTGCGAGGATCAAGCTGTCCGTCAGCTCTTCCGACCGCCCCGGTTTGACGGATCAGACTGACCCCATTGTTTCGGCCTGGCGCCAATCCGTGGATGGAGGTATGGCCCTGGTGGAGATCGGGCGTCGGGATTTGGACGCTTGCACTGTGCGATCCCGAGTCCGCGGAGGTGCCACCGGAGCTAGAGTAAGCGGAAGTGGAGCCTGCCACTTACGCAGACGAGAGGTTCATGGCCTGGAGATGTTGACTGAGAGAGCCCTCCTGAGCGGTAGGCGAGTAAGACGCAAGGGATGGACCAAATGGCGGGGAAGGTTGAGCAGTCTGAGTGCAGCGTCAGCGACATGGGTGGTGTTGGCAGGTTGCGGAAACTATGAAAGTCGGGGAAGGGGGGGGGGGGGCGAGAAGGGGCGCCTAGTCGCCTCGAGATGCAGCCTCGTTGAAGCCACGAGGATGAGGCCCTCATCAGCACTTACTTCCGGGGAGGCGCGAGGTGATTTTTGGAGGGGGTTCATCGTAACGAACTCCATCGTCAACGCCGGCGGGGCGATGATTGTTGCAAGATGGGCGGGACCGACGACCTCGATGGGAGCGTAAGGGAAGGGTGGGTGAAGTATCTGGTGAGCGGGAGGAAAAGAATTTATATGGTGTCGAGTGACGGCTAAGACAGGTTGTCCGTGGATGGGAAGGTGGGAAACGATGTGACTAGCCAAGGGTGTGAGAGGCAGACAGCGGACGGCGGGGAGTGTGTGAGAACAAGTGTGGATGGATGGATGGATGCAAATGGGGCAGGCGAAGACGAGAAGGAAGAGGAGGAGGAGAAAGACGAGGACGAGGACGGGGACGAGTACGAGGACGAGGGCGAGGATGGCGAAGAGGAGGATTCCAATGATAGAGATGAATGGATGGAGAACGGAAGACAACCAAGGTAAGACGAGGAGAGGTGGGAAAGGGCGAGAAAGATTGAAAGAAAGAACGAGAGAGAGAGATAGATATAGGATGAGAAAGAGAAAGAGAGAAAAAGAACGAAAGAGAGTAAGCGATGGACGCGTATGTCCAAGGCGTCGCGCGTCGAGGAAGGTGGTCAACTTTTGAGGTGGTAGTAGTGTGAGGGCCGCACGTCCACTACCGCCGGCCCCACACAGGTACACAGGCTTCATTCACCCTATCGCCCTGTATCCTGGGGCCTGGGGGCATGATCATGGAATCATGGCCCTCATGGAGCCATAAAGCCATAGAATAGCGCCCCCGCGCCCCCGCCTCCTCTAGCAAAAGGATCCCCACCCTGTTTTGTTCGGGCTCCTTTCCGCAGAGTCTGCCGTCGCCTCCCGACTCGCGGGGCCGAGGTGTCTGTCGAGTCTCTCACGGCCACAATGGGACCATTCACTGCTGTGTAGCGGGAGCAAACAATACAAAGTAAGACACTCGCTCGCATCGACAATGCGACGCGCATGGCCGCACAGATCCTCTAGAGCAGGTGGCGTGAATTGATTTTGGTTCGTCCTCCATTTCTCGCAGGATCGCAGGATTACGCGACTCGGAGCGCCGACGCCTCTCAGAAAGCGCCCTGTAGTATGAGGCTATACTGTTCCACAGCGCCGCCTACTGAAATGCGGTGTCGACCACGCAGACGCACTCTCGCACCCACTGGTGTTCAACAACACCTCGAGGTGAATGAAACGGACCACCTCCACCACCCGTCCCTGACGGAACCAAATCGCACTGTGATCTGTGACGCGTTCCAACACCGGTGGCCAACGCCAGGACGCCAACCAACAACACACATCCACCCTCGGCACATGAGCAGGCCATCATGATGCGCAAGCAGCGCCCGACATTCACGACGGCCGAGCTTGAGCTCCAGCTTCAGCAGGTGTGTTTGCTGCATCGAGGGCAAAGAAGCTGACGACAGATCACGCTGGACCCAGCCTCGGGCGCCTCGGAGAACTTTGAGGCGCTCGCGCCCCTCATCAAGACCATCCAGGATACCGACAGCGAGCAGCTCTACCTCGGAAGTTTGGATAGATTTGTTGGAGAGAAGGAGAAGGAGATAGAGAAGATCTGCGAGGACAACTATGAGGTGAGACCGGTCAAGGCCGAGCTGGCTGACCCCCCAGGACTTTGTCAAGTCGGTACTAGCGCTGTCGTCGGTCAGGCAGGGGACGGGGCAACTACGCAAGCGCATTGGAGAGCTTGATGTGCAGATGGGAGATGTGGGCCGCGGGCTTGGGAAGAAGGTGAGCTTACTGGGAGCGAGTCTGACACCAGAAACGCGCGCTCCTGGAGCAGAAAAAGGTCGCGCGGAACATGGACGATGCGATCGAGACGCTTCAGACCTGTCTTCGCCTCCTCGACCTTGTGCACCGTGTTGGCGAGATGATCCGGCAGGGCAAGTACTGGGGAGCACTCCGCGTGGGCTTTCATCGCTCGATGCCTGGCTGACCCCAGATGATTGAGGACTTGTCCCACCTTCCTCCACCGGCCATCTCCAGTACACCCTTCTACCTGCACTTGGTGTCCTCTTTACCGTCGCTTCGTTTAAGCATCAAGGACGCCGTGACGGCCTCAGCCAAGTCGTGGCTGTTTGACATTCGCGAGGCGAGCGCATTAGTTGGCAAACTCGCGCTTGAGCAGATGGGAAACCGCATCAAGCGTTGGCGCCTGAAGCGTGAGAAGGACGGGAGTGCGCGCTTCGCCCGCATTGGAGGGGCCCTCGAGCTCGTCAACAACGAGCGTGCCGAGTGTAAGCCGGGCCATCGGACGGGAGCTGACGACAGTCAACGCCCTTGACAATGAGCAGATCTGCATCGACTTCAAGCCTCTTTATCAGTGTATCCACATTTACGAGGCACTCGAGTGCAAGGCTGAGCTGCAGCGCAACTACCAGGAGGATCGCAAGGTAGGCTGGCTGCCAAGTATCATCGGCTGACCTTAGACTCAAGCCAACCTCATCCTCGCATCGCGCTCGGCCTCATCGCCCGAGACATTAATGACCTCCCTTCCCGAGTTGATGCAGGAGCTCGTCGGCTTCTTCATCATCGAAGCACACGTTCTCCGAACTGTCCCAGACTTCCGATCTCAGCGCGACGTCGACGATCTCTGGGACGAGATGTGCCGCCGCATCATCAGCATTGTGGGCCTCGGCCTCAAGGGCTGCAGCAAGCTTGAGGTCTTCTTGGAGAGCAAGAAGCATATCCTACTCTTCGTGCAAACATTGGAGGTGAGTAACCCGAGCCTCTTCCTTTCTGACTCGTCTAGGGTTATGGCTATGACATCTCGGAACTGAACGGGTTGTTGATAACGCTGTTTGAGCGCTACTCTGAGCTGCTCCTCCGAACGTTTGGCGCCGACTTTGATCATATTGTTGCTGAGGACGACAACCAGCCAATGATGGTCAACGATCAGCGAGAGTTTGACCAAGTGTCTGGCGTGTGCTGGCTGGCACCAGGAGAAGCGGAGTCTTTAGCTATGTGAGCTTGGCTTCGAAGGCGTCGACTGACACCCAGAAACGGCTTCCCCCAACCCATGCCCTTCTCGCAGACGTTCCCAATGTGCTGCATCAACATCCGCAATTTCGTAGAGCAATTCTACCAGTTCACGGACGGCGTCTCGCAGCATCATGTCGATCTGGATGAGGTGCTACGGAAATCGTTAGATGGCCTCCTCACCAACCATGTCAGCAGGCAGATGGCGCAGCGCGTCAAGGCCATGTCCAATCTGTCGCAGATTGCGCAGGTCGTGGTCAACACGGAACACTTCCTGGTGGCGTGCGACGAGTTAGAGACGGTTCTTATGGGCCTTCGGTGAATACCTTCCTTTCCTTTTTGTGCTAACAGACAGAGCCACGCAGCGTGGGGGCCCTGTCAAGATGGCGTCGGCGTCTTCTTTCGCCGATACTCTGAAGCTCGCGCAGAGCCGCATTGACGCCGTGATCACTTCCAAGCTTGAGTCCTTCTTCGAGCTAGCCGAGTACAACTGGATGCCGCGGCAGTCCCCGCCATCTAACCCCGAGCCGAGCACTTACGTGTTCGAGATGATCACCTTCCTCACTGCGTACGTCGACTCGGTGCTTATCGGATTGGACGATGGCACAAAGGCGCGGGCGTATGAAAAGGCGCTGCAGCGCATCAACCAGTTCCTCATGGTAAGCTACGGGGTGTGTGCGATGACTGACAATAGGAAACCCTCACTAGTACGGAGGTACGGATGTACAACGAGGCGGCCCTCATGTACGTTCGAGCGGACGTACTCTTTATCGAGACGGAGATTCAGAGACTCGGCAAGGCGGGGCTGGACCGCGTCTTCGACGAGGTCAAAAACGTGAGCTTGAATGTTGTATAACGTGCTGACAATAGACAATCAACATTGTGCTCTCGGACGCAGTGTCAGCATTCATGGAACCGAGCGTCCGGCAGCTCTCGTACGGCTCTGTGCGCCCTGCGCGTCTCTCGGCCGTGCTAACTAGGCTTGCGGCGGGCGTCAGTGTTTCTGGGCAGATGAACAAGGCTGAACGACTTCGTGTCGAGGCCAACAGCGTAGCGATGTTGCGTTAGAGAATTGTTGTATATGCATTCTGTCACCGTGGTTGAGCCGGAGGCCGGTGATCAAACGCGAGAAGGGCTGGTCCTCCCATCTCGCCCGCCTTGCCAGCTAGCTGGCTGCCTGTCGGTCGGTAGGCCGCAGCCCCGCAGTGTGCGCAGTCGGAGGCACTCGTCTCCAGCCCCTCCAGGCTCGATGTCGATCAGCGCTCGAGCGCGCAAAACCTGAGGGTGGACTGATAAGACGTCGGTGATCTCGGACCCCGTGTTCCGGGTCACCACCTCCACCTCCACCATCACACTTTGCCCCACTAGATTAGAAATGTTCTGCCCACCTACCCGCCCTGCCTCTTGTTCCATGCAAACAAAAACAAAAAGTCTTGGATTCTTTAATCCGGAAATCGGGAACGGACGGACGGCGGAGGTACACCCGGCGCCAAGCGTGCGCACTTTACCTGGAGCAACACTTGGCGGATGGCGGAGGTGGCGGTTCGGGCAGATTTCATGTCCGACTTTCGGCTGGCTGTTCAACTCGGCGCGCTGGACGCGTCACACTTCGAAGAGGGGCACTGTTAGAGACGTGGCGTTTAGCGCCTGGTGGCGCAGTGGGTGGGCGCGCCGGGTGGGTTGAGCGATGTTCGGCCGGCATGGGTGCAACTGCTGGACGTTGACAAGACCGCCAGTTAGAGGTAGGACTCTTGGACTCTGCGATGTCCCGTTGCCGTTGTGCAGCGCAACGCGTGCACCACAGTCGAAAGCTGGAACAGGCTTGATCGCTTGCATCATGCCGCCGGCACGAGAACGAGGCCTGACGGATCGGAAGTCTCGGGGTCATCCCGAGGCCCGAGGCGTCCGAGTTGGATTGAGGGCTTGGGACCGAGAGGCGCGAGAGACGGCTGTGAGTGGCCCGGAAGAGTTCAGGAGCGGGCAAGGGGCGGCTGATAGCGGCACGCAATGTGTTTGGTCGGCAGAGATGCAAGTAGGGTCGCGGGCAACGTGGCTGGGCGATGGAGCGTGGAGCGTGGAGCGTGGAGCATGTAGGCCGTGAGGAGAGCGCATTCCCAAATGTTATGCAATGGGCCTAGCGGAGGGATGATGAGAGGAATGAACCGAATGAACCGTTACTTGCCGCCGCCATGTGTCCACGAGATTTGCTATGATTGGACCAGGGGATTAGGTACCGTTCTTTATGGTGCCTGGGATTAAGAGGGAGATGAGCGTCGACGAGAGCCAATTGAGCCAAGACGCCGCGTACGCCGCACAACCTGTTCCATCAGAAGTGGCCACTGTTCCCCGCCTCCTGTCATCCTGGGTCGGTATATGAGGCTGTTTCCGCGCGTTCTGTTCAGTGGGTGGCGGCGGCCGTTCAAATGAGAGAGCATAACAGTCCGCCGGAACGCCAGTCGCCAGCTCGCCAGTCGCCAGTGGTCACGTCGTCACTCGCTAGCAACAGCCGGCCGGCCGGCTGAAGCGACTGGCGCCTCTGAGCCTCGCCATAATCGAGTGGCCGAGACAGGCAGGACAAGCGGACCGTTGGGACCGTTGGGACCGTTCTCCTCCGACCTTCTATTCCACCGCGCATTCATCCCCGCATTCACTCTTGCATCTCCCATCGCCGCTGCTGTGACGCCCTGGCCGCCTCTGTACAGTGTTTTTGATGCAGGCATTCATCATTCAATCCTACCAACAACTACCCACTTAAGTCAGGTCACGTTGCGCATCTCGTGGCGTGGCAAGCTGGCTGGACAACCATTCATTTCCATAAGCATTAACAGGCACAGATTAGTAGTCGTGCTTGGAGAATTAGGGAGGGGTAGGAGAGTAGGCTTGGCATTATTATTGATCACTTAGCCAAAGGTCGATTCCATTTTCCACGCACGATCCTCGCCTCACGCCTTGCCTTGCCTTCCCTCCCCTCCCTCCATACCTCATCCCTCCATCCCTCCTCCTCTCTTTCTCTCTCCGTCGCTGTCGCGCGTATTTGCCACATTCAACAACATCACTCTACTCTACATAGCCTCCCCATCGAACACTACGCATCTCTAGTCGCCCTCTCAAGGCTCTCACTGCCAACACCGCTCTTTCACAGCTTGCGAGCATCACACACTCGACTCGATCCTCTCCCCTCACATCGGTTCAACCTTGCCTCACCACTCTGGCGCATCTATCATCCATCCATCCCATCCATCCACCCACCACCGCATCCCGCGGCCTTTAATCTTGGCTCGTACGCGACGCCTAGACACCCGCATCGCCGCCGCCGACCGACTCACGCCGGCCCGAGCTTCTCGGCGAGGCCACTACCAGGTACGTGACATGAGGTGCGGGATTTCGAGTCGAGATCCGCGCGCCGAGCCCATGCTCGTACAAGCGATGGCAGAGATTGAGGACGATCCCGTGTATTGTTTGTCTGCATCCCAGCCTCGGAGCACTCGGGCAGACGGCCGCGTCGTGACTCGAGGCATACAGCGGAAGGGGTTGCGCACTGACTTTGCGACGCCAGAGCCGCCCGCCGTGGTTCGCGGCCTGGCGATCTCGGCCTGGCCACCGGCACTTCGTGCGGCTACATCCGTTTCAGTGGTTGTGTGTCCACACGTCTCATTGAGTCGTGGCCGTTCTGCCGTTGCGGCCGGGATCTGGCGCCATCACGGAGAGACTGGCGCCTTGCCCTCCTTTGCGTTGCTTCCCAATTCCCTCTCCCCTTCCCTCCTTGCTCACTGTCCCACATCGCCGCTCACATCTCCAGTAACACCCCCACACCACATCTACTCCTGCCACCATTTCGGCCAACACTCCGTCCCCGCCCTTTGTCGGCCCGTCCCCGCGCTCGATCAGCTCCAAGGGGAGTCCGCAGTCGACCACATCCAGTAGCGCCGCCTCCTCTGGCAGCCGTCTCCGGGCTATACTTCCTCGCCCCATAGCCCCTAGACCAGGCGCCACTGGCACTGCTGCGGCCTCGTCCTCTGGATCTGCCGGAAAGATGAGCAGCAAACCCTACCGCCAGTCTAGCGGCAGCTCAAAAGGGCGCTTCACCGTCGACGGCGGCGGCGGGGCGTCAGTCCCCACCAAGTTGACGCCCATGCCGCGATCCCTACCATCGAGTGCAGGTCCGAGCCCCGCCGCCGTATCACCTTCCAAGGTCAACGTCTTCGCGCAGAACTCGAACTCGAACAACTGGGGCTTCCCTCAGCAGCAGTCAGGTAGTTATGGCGGCAGCGACTTTCTCAGCGAATTGTCGTCGACGCCCACAAGCAGCTTTGCCGCCTTTGGAACGTCGGCCTCATCATTTACGCCCACGGCGCAGTCAGGATTCGCCGCCCAGTATGCTGCCGCTCGCCAGAGCCAGAGCCAGAATGGCTCCGCCCAGCCTTCGCAGCACCCAACGCCAGGCTCGAATGTAACAACGCCCCTCGAGACACCTTCTTTCGACTTTGCGCCGCTCAACTCGCAGGCGTGGCCTGCCCAGCCACAGCAGCGTCAGCAGGAGCAGATCTCGGAGCAGAACAACTTGAGTTCTCTCGACCAGAACTTCCTCGCCAGCCTCGCCGAGATGATGAACCAGGCACAGAACAGCGCCAATGAGCCGCAGCTGCCGCTCGGCCTCCTCAGCGCTCTCGGCCAGCAGGCCCAAGCGCAGACGCAGACGCAGCAGCCAGTGGCCGTTCAGCAGTCCCTGGCGGCACAGATGATGCAGCAGCAGCAGCAGCAGTCAATGCTGCCCCCGGCACAGGCGCAGGAGCAGACCGCTTTTGCTGGCATAACGCAGCAGCAGCTTGTCCAGATGCTCCAGCAGGTCCAGCAGCAGCAGCAGGTGCAGGCAGCACAGGCGCAATTTCAGGCCGCTCAGCAGCAGCTCCAGGCCGCCCAGCAGCAGGCAGCACAGGCGCAGCAGCAGATGCAGCAGGCTCAGGCGCAAGTAACGAGTTCGCACCAGCACTCCCAGGAGCATGCCCAGGCCCAGTCGCATCAGACGAGCCTTCTAACGCGTCGCATCCAGCAGCAGCAGCAAACGCAGTCGCAGTCAAACACGCCCGCGCAGTCCCCTCGACCAAGTTTCACGACCTCCGGGCGCTCTTCTGGCTCCATGCCGAACGGCATCAGCGCCCCGCCGCCGTTCACCCAGGTCCGCCCTACCAACACCCAGAGGGTACCGTCGTGGCAGGGGGGCGAGCGAGCGTCCGACACTGCCGCTACAACGCCTGCTACTAGTGAAGCTTCGATGAGCAGCCCCGCAGACGTGAGTCCGAGGCACTGTACCTCACTGACACTCAGAGTACTGCCACGAAGGGATTCCGTCCCATCAAGCCGAGGCGCGCGCAGGCTCCGGAGCACCCGCCTGCTGCTCCGCCAAAGCCGTCGCCTAAATCCTCGTCCTCTGGCGCGCCCGCGCCTCCTTCCCGACCCCACTCTCGCACCGCCCAGGCATCCCACCAGCAGAAGCAGCAGCAGCAGCCCCAGTCGCCACAGCAGATTGGCGACCTTCCACCCTTGCCGCCCGGTCTGACCCTGGCTCAGTTGTCGCAGAACGGCAATTTGAGCCTCGAGATGGCGATTCGCGTCGGCATGGGGCTCGGCATGGGAATGGCGCTGGGACAGCAACAGACGACACAGCAGGCATCCAGTCCACAGCCCACGGATGAGCAGCTTGCGTACATGCACGCTGCACTCGCGGCGGCATCTCCGCCACCTGTGAGCGCTCCATCGCCCGAATCATCCTCCGGCGGTCCGTCTCGACAGCGGTCAGGCGACATTGTCTCGAGCATTCTTAAAGACAACTTTCTCGCCACCCGCTCCCCGCTTAGTACGTCCCCGCCGACCGGCAACCCCTTTCCGCCTGGATTCGCGGGGCCGCCTTCGCAGTCAGGCGATCAAGTGGTGCCAGCGGCAGAAGCCATGGCTAAGAAGGATCCCCTGGCTGCCCAGGTGTGGAAGGCGTACGCCCGGGCCAAGGACTCAATGCCCCATGGCCAGCGGATGGAAAACCTCACTTGGCGCATGATGCACCTCACCATGAAGAAGAAGGAGGAATCGGAGCGCGCCGCCGCCGCCGCCGCCGCTGCCGCCGCCGAGGCCAACGCGGGATCTGCGCCACCCAACATGGAGACGACCAGGCGCGAACACGTGGCGTTCCAGGGGTTGTCGCCAGTGCCCGAGCCCGAACACGAGAACGACCCCGACCGTCAGCACGTACCGCAGCAGCCAAGACAGTCAGTGGATTCCGACCACGAGGCGGAACGTGGGCGTCGCAAGGGCGTTTCGAGGGTGGTCGGTTTCAGCGCGGGCAACCGGGACTCGAGGTGAGTTGCTTTGCATGAGCATTGCTAACTCCAGTGCAATGGACATTGACTGGCGCGCTGCGTCGCGTTCAAGATCACGAATGGCGATAGACTGGCGTGCTGCGTCGCGATCGCGTTCGCGCAGCGCCTTCCCTGGCAGCCGGTCAATGTACGACGCAGGCAACGAGCACCACGCTCATAGTCTGCTGGCGCAGGGAGGATCGACAACCAACTCCAGCGCCTCCATGAACCCCTCGCCGGCATCTCTTGCGCCCTTCGCGAGATCTATGCCCAACAACTACCCGCCATGGGAGGCCGCCGGAGCAGAAATGGCCATGTCGCAGCCGCTCCAGACCGAGCTCAACATGGAGCAGTTCGCTAACGGGACGGCGAGTAGCGAAGCCAAGGACCCGAAGGTGGCAATTGGGTTCGACCTCGACCAGGCGCTTCGCTCAGCAGAGTCATCTGCCGCCGCGTCGGCCTCCTTCGCCAACGCCCTCTCCACTTCGGTGCCCTCTGCCGCCACCCAGTTCAACTTTACTGCACCCGCGCACGTCGCCCAGTCGATCTCAAGCAACGGCAGCGGCGTCACTAAGCAAAAGTACCCGACTCTTCCCGGCATCTCTGGCCCTGGGTTATACTCTGCGCTCTCTGAGGAGAACATCCATCCGACTTACGGCCTCCTCCCCCGCCGTGTGCGAAAGACCTCATTCGACCATACCTTACGGCCTCGCGAGGAACCCGAGCCCATGCACAACGCGCGTAAGCGCCCAGCCGAGGCATCCCCCCGAGGTGGCGACAACCGCCCGCTGCCAAACAGTCTCGCGCCGTTCCCCACTGCCCCCTTCACGTTCAGCTTCGACACGAACGCGGCCAGCTCCAGCACCAACTATGACAACTTCTTCGACCTCAATGCCGCATCGACGAGCTCCCATGGCGCCTCGGCGGCGCCGGCCTCCGGCGCCGACATGTGGGGCAACGATGGTCTCTTCGACACTGCCCATCTGTTTGCACCGTCAGGACAGCAGATCGACCCAGGGATGCAGGACCCAGCGGGCATCGACTTCTCGCAGCTCATGAACATGTACTTCGACAACGGCAACCCATACACGACGATCAACCCGTCCGAAGTACTTGGCATGCGGCCGGAGGCCTCGCCACAGTCGCCGCCTGAGGAGTTCCGGCGTCCCGCGCCTGGCCGCTCCAACTCGAGTCCTAACTTGCAGGGACTGCGCGCCATGAGCATGTCGCAGGCGACGCCGTCGCACTCGCGTCACCCAAGCCAGAGCAACCGCAACGAGCTGGCCATGTCGCGTAACCGCTCCGGCGGGCCTTCTGGCCCATCTGGACCGGGGACACCGACCGCCGAGCCGGAGGAGAATAGCGCGACCGTGTGCACCAACTGCCAGACGACCAACACGCCGCTCTGGCGCCGCGACCCTGAGGGGCAGCCGCTGTGCAACGCCTGTGGCCTGTTCTTCAAGCTGCATGGTGTTGTGCGCCCGCTCTCTCTCAAGACAGATGTCATTAAGAAACGGTGAGTCCTAAGAGCTGAACATGTCGGTGGCGCTTGGTGCGCGCAACGCTACTCGCGGGGGACAAAGGCTGCGGCAGTGCGCGCTCTGCAAGCCTTGCCCTCCTCGGACTCATTCACAATGACTTCACCGCTTCCCCCACGCATGATACGATGAGCAAACAAGCTGACTGCAGGAACCGTGGCGCGCCCTCGGCCAAGGAGACGACTTCTGGGCGGCGAAGCAGTAAGGCTTCCCGCTCTAAGGCTTCCAGCCCAGGCGTGGAACGCACGAGTGGCCCGAGTTCGCGTGACAAGCGCCAGCGACGGAGCAGTGGCATGGATCCAGACTCCGGGAACACGAGCGTTTCTTCGTCGCTCGGCACGGGCGGTGGCGGTCTTACCATGAGCAAGCGCTAGTGCTGCTTCACGCCAGGCCCCTTTCGCCCTCACATTGCCCGAGCCGAGCCGTGCCGTCAGGCCTGGCTCGCCTGGCGCACAGATACACTCGCGATAGGCGAGCCGAGATCTGCTTGACTCATCTGTTGCCCGCCCCCGTCTTGCACCCTCTTGCCACGGAACCACTAACTAATAAATAGTAGACCGGCCGCTGACCCGCACCCGCACACCGGGATTGTACCGCTAGATGGTGAATGTATTGTTGTCGTGCGGCGGCGCGGCGGGGAGGCATCGCGGTGAAGGGAGGGTGTGAGGCGAGGGGGGCTGGGGGTCGGTGAAAGGGGGTGGCGATACGGCGACGGGCAAAGAGCGGGCAGGGATAAGATGAATCGAGCGGGGTGCGGGCAGATCGGGCGGGCCGTGGAGGAGATAGCGAAGATCTCCGGTCGATAGTGAGGAGGTGGAACGGGAGTGAGCGCAGTCGAAGGGGCAGTTGAGGTCAGTCGAGAGGGGAAGTCGAGGGGATGGCATGTAAGAGCGACGGCGCCAAACGATGCTGGCCGGGGGGGGGGGGGGGGGGGGGGGGGGGGGGGGGGGGGGGGGGGGGGGGGGGGGGGGGGGGGGGCAGAGTAGAAAATAAGAGATGCAAGAGTGAAGTGGAAGAGGCAGACGCGGGCAGACGGCGCTTAAGAGCTGCTCGTAGGCGGCGACAAGCGATCGCCCCATCGAACCTCCCAGCATCCATCGGGCGCTTGGCACACTCGTACGCATGCGGGACTCCGTCCGCTGTCTGTGCGTCCAGTGAGAATGGAGAGCACGGACGTCTGGCGGGTCAGCTGACGGAAGATGGGCGCGGGCCGCCAGCTCGGAGCATGACCCGACGCGGTGACCACTTCGGCGCGAGGCTGGTCGCGTGGGGAGGAAGCGCGGGCGGTAGGTCACGGTAGGTTAGTGGCGTCAGATTGGTGCAGGTGAGGGGAGTACACTCCGTGAGCACTGTGACGAGAGCTCCTCTCGGTTTTGAGGGTGCACCGCGGCAAACTCGTGCAGCGTAGAGGGCGGTGATGGACCTCATCACATTAGCGTCGTGGGCCACTTTTGTACCCGGCTCCCGCCGTCCGAGAAGACCCACTTCGCAATCAACCCTACCAACGTGATCAACCCTCAACATTGTGTATCGCGCGGTCATTGTTATGCAAATTTGGTTGCTCGAAACACGCTGATGCAATCTTGGACGGAATGAGGCCAATGTTTCGTCATCACGTGCCGCATGACTCACATGCTATGTTCGGAAGTGGCCGGAGATGCTTCCGAGGCACCGGGTGTGCCCTCCTCATCACGTGTTGCCTCCAGTGCCTGTCCCATCGGGTGTGGCGCCACGTTCGTCAATCACTTTGCACAGACATACGATATACATTTTGGAAGGGAGATGTACATTGAAAATGAGTCCTTTGAGCTTATGAAGGCCGAGCCGGGCAACTATACAGTGCTGTGCAATCGCAGGCGTGGGCGTGGAAGAGCGTACGTTTCGTGCGGGTCTGTACAGGGCATGCGGCCAGCTCGCTGACCGAGACTTGATGCGCGCCAAAGCGAAACTGAGAAGCGGAAATCGAGAAATTGGGAAACCGCCATCGCGTCATATACGATGGCGGACAGATTGATAGCGACAACCCTGCGGACACGAAGAAGTTAGGACATGTGCTGGCTGCCGAAAGGGAACATGTGTCCTTCTTGCGGCTGGAAGTACCCGTCGGGCTGCACGCCGTCGTGCTCGAACAAGTAGCCGGGCGGCGTGCTGGTGTAGGGGGGCGCGTGAGACTCCTGCTTGACGGAGTCCATCATCCCCTGTGAGTGGTATGCGCCGAACGCGGAGGTGTCGCTCTTGCTGCGCTGGATATGCGCCTCGTGGTGTGGCGAATAGCCCTGCGGGCCGCTGGTGTTGGGCCAGCCGGGAGGCGCAGACGAGGGCTGCGTGGGCACACCATTCGAGAACGAGTCGAAAGCGGGAGATGTGAATGGCGAGTCGTTGCGCGACTTGGGCGCCGAGCTGTCGCCCATGTCCGACATGCTGTGCTTGGGCTCTGCACTGGGCGAGCCAGTGTTGAAGCGCTTCGCGTACCACGCCTTGCGCAGGCTGGCGTCAGCGGAACGTCGATAAAGAGGGCTAGGTACTCACTCCTGCGAGTGCTCTGACGACTTGGAGTGCACCCAGCGGCCCTGGTTGAGTGCCTGCAGGCAGATGTTGACGTCATCGTCACTGCCGCCACTGGCAACCAACAACATCGCGGCGTGGTAGGCGCCGTCGCGAACAAGGCCAGCGTCCCACTCAAACATCTGTCCGCCGACATGACGGCGAATAATGTCTGTCACCTGCGGCAGCTTGATTTCGCAACGAGTGCGCCCGAGCTCGTGGAGGTGACGAAGCTGGTTGAGATCGCTCATCAAGTCGCTGGAGAGGGGCGATGGAGGCTGCGAGCTAGGGTCGATTTTACCCATGCTGGTCTTGTTCTGGAGGCGCTCAAGGCGATCTTCAATTTGCCGGAGAATAGCAGTCTGCGCCTTGAAGATATTGATTTTCTGCTATGTCAGCGGACGCCATTGAAGGCAAAAGAACTCACCCAGCCATCAGCGAACCGCATCACCTCATCACGCTCTCTGAAGGGAGCGGGAGCGGGCTCAGACTTGAGTCTTTCAAACTCTTCCCACGACTGCTCGAGCGCCTCCCAGATGGCGTTTAGCTGCTCGACATTAGGAACATCGCGTTTGCGAGCCTTGACGCTGCTGAGAACGGCATGGATACGACGGCATGCGAGCTGCTGATCAACAAAAACACTCCTTCAAAGCTCCGACAAAAATGAAAACAACTCACTGCAAATCGCACTGGTGCTCCTACCATTCCCGGCGAGATGTGGAAGTGGCCGGGTGACGACATGAGAGGCTGCTTCTCAAGCGCCTGCTCCAGGAACTGCAGGTCGTTCTCGTCGTCGTCGAGGCAAAGCTTGCCGCCCTGGAGCCCAACGGAGAGGCTTTCGTGGACGAAGGCGTACCAGAAAATCCGCTGCTGAATGACACGGATGGTCTCTGCCTTATTGTCGTTAAGTGAGACGTGAGGCGGAAGTATCACGGGTAGTCCGTCATATCCAAAGCTGCTCGAGGTGCACAGCAGCTGGACCTGGGAAAGGGCGGCTTGATACAGCGCCTGGCGCTCGACGGGAGTTGATATGCCTGCAGTGTCAGCCAGTGCAATTGATGCCGGAATAATGGAGAATCACCTTCTGTGAGAGGGAGAATGAGAAGAAGGACCCGAATGCCGTCCCACGAGGGCCTGCGGAGAAGGCCGCATTCGTCGATTTCGCGCAGAATGGTCCGGACGACGCGTTGGAGCTTCTCCAGCCGGCGCAAGCGGTCTCGTTCACGCCTCGCTTCCAACTCGCCGGCGTTAAGAAGGTTCAAAGGACTGAGAGGCTCAGCACTTCCTTCCGCCACATCGAGTTGGCCGCGTTCGTCGACGCCATAAGAGACGCCCCACGCGTAAAGACAGTGGCAGAGAACAGCACCCACTGAGCCCATCGCAGCTGCACAAGGTATGGGCTTTGAAAGATAGAGTGTCACGAAATCAAGCGAGTCGATAATGGGACCTGTATCGTCAGCCAGTCAAAAATGGAAGAATAAGCGTACGCTGGATGAGGAAGCGGCGGAAGAAAGGTGACTCGAAGAACTCGCGCGACAACTCCGGGATACGGTCCATCTTGCGTCCGCCCGGGCTAAGGGAGCGCTCGCCTTCGTCGCCCTGTGAGGCGAGAGCCGCGTCCGTCGCAGACTTGCCGTACAGCATTTCGATCTCCGAAATGCGCTTGCCGCGCCGAAGCTGTTTGGCTGCCTTGAGTGGGGCATATTCATCACTGTAGTCAGCCACTGTTTGAAAATGCCATAATTGGTCCGAGTAAAGCGGGGATCGCTGGTCCACGTCTCTCACACTCACACGCAATTTGTTCCCCGCTCCTGGCAGTTGGTGCAGCTGACTTTGCGGCGTCGCAAGGGGTTCTGGGTGTCCTCAAGCATGGCGTCGCGCTCCGCCTCCTCCTGGCGGGCACGAAGGTCGCATTTGACGCGACGATGGCGACAGGCGCCGCACGCAGTGAACTGGTGACGGGGCACCTTGTTCGGGTTGCCCTTGGTCCCCTTGGTGGGCCCGGACGAGGCCGATTGCTGAGCCGAGTTTCCGGGAGGCGGCTGGTTGGGACTCCAGTCCATTGGGGGGACAAGGTACATGGAGCCGCTGGCCTGGCCATCGTGGAACGACGAAAAGGGACTTCCACTGTTACCTAAATTGTTACTCGGCTCCGAGTTTCCATCGACCATGCCGTTTGGGAAAAACTGGTGCTGCTGTTGCTGGGAGCTGCCGTGCATTTCGAACGTGACAGACGGTGCCATCCCAGAGGAAGACATGTGGTCGTGAGGGTGGGGGACACCCATGTGCTGACGACCTTGGAGACTGGGGCTCGGGTATGGGAGGGAGCGGTGGGATGGCGATGTGCTGGCTTGCGAGCCGTCGTAGTCGTAGCCAAAGCCTTGTGAGCCACCTGGATATCCACCGACACTAAGGTATTCTTGCAAAGGCGAATGCGGTGCACTGCTAGCAGGCAGACGCCGATGCAATGGGTCCGAGGGCGACCCGGAGTGATGGGGGTAGCTCATGAGACAGAGCACGGTGGAAGAGTTTGTTGGGGTGATGTGCAACGAAGGCGAAGGTGATGAGCCAAGTGTTTATGAAGATGAGGAAGACTTGAAGGGTGACGAGCTGTAAGCATAAGAGTCAGTCAGTCACGAGGTGATCGACAGTGTGGAGGATGTGCGGGCGGTGCTGGGCGGTGTTGGAATGGTCCGAGGCGCGGTAAGCACTGCCTCCGAGGAGGGTCCGCATACCCAGCCATGCAGCCATGGCAACCGCCACAAGGAATTGGAATAGGGGGAGTAGAAGGGGGGTGGGGGGGAGGGGGGAGGGGCGGGGGGAGGGGCGGGGTGTGCGGGGGTGGATTGGTGTTGTGAGGTGCGACTCACCAGGAGATGTTGCTATCGATTGATGGTGCGACAGAGACAAAAGTTCAAAAAAAAAAAGATAGAGATGCAAGGATGATGATCTCAACCTTGAGGACTGTGGATTGTGGATTGTGCGCAAGCGGGAGGAGATGAGTCGACCCAAGGAGGAGGAGGGTGGCGGACGAGAGGAGAGGGGCGCCCGAAGAAGGGGCTCGGACGACGATGAGTGAGGGGGGCGGAACAATTCAAAGGAGGGCGAGGGAAGATCGTGATCGGCGAGGTGCACGAGAAGCACAGAGCAGAGCACGAGGGAGGTGCGGGATAGGAAAAGTCAAGGAAAGGATGGACAGAGAATCAAGAGGTCCTTGCGTTGGTTTGGGGCTAGATGTGTCTCGTCACACAGCAGTGAGTGCGTGGGCGAGACCTCGGGAGTGCGAGCGCGCAAGCGAGTGAGATTGCGCGGGCGGGCGAGTGCGTGTGTGCTTGTGGCGACGGGGAGATCCGAGGACGAAGACGAGGACGGCGCACAATGATCGGTTGACCTGGCGAGGGTGAAGCCGGTCAAGAGGGACGAGCAGGGTGACCTGGGGGTCCGAGCAAGTAGTTGGCGTGCTGGTCGTGTGCTCGAGACGCTATGCTGGATGACCTCCACTCTAAATGCGGCGTAAACAAGGTTTGCGCTGGACAGAGGCGAGGGCGCAGTTGGAAGCTTGCAAGTGGAGGAGAGGTGACGAGTCGATCAACGAACAACAAAAGAGTTGACAGTGAATTGAGTACGCTCGTATTGTGTGCTTTGCGCCAGACGCAAGGTAGGTAGTGGCTGTCGCTTGTACTGGCTAGCGCGGAATCGCTGTGCAGAGGCTAGCCGACGACGACGATGAGACTTGACCGAGGCAGCGGCTTGTGCGCGAAAGAAGTCTGCGGGGGAGGATGTTGGAGGAGGAGGCCCAATTTGTAGTGTGGGCGACTGCGGATCGTTTGAGATGTGGGGGCCCTATTGAATGCCTGTGCCAAGAGGCAATGCTGCCGACAACGCGATAGTCGTCGCAGTCGACGCGTTCGTTTTGGTGAGATGGGACGACGATCAATTGCAGACGTATGCTGCGCTGTCAAGTCGTCTTATCGGTCGTTACGTTGAGCGTTGCCGGAGGGGGGTGGTAGTGCGGGTACGGGTGGTGTGGATGCAGGCGGGGCTACAGGAGCCGGATGCCGGGGCGGGTGGACGAGGGTTGAGGGGGGGGGGGGGGGGGGGGGGGGGTAAGGGGACAGGTCGAGGGGCGATCGGGGTAGGCACCTGGCTCCTGGAAGGCGGTCAGGTGCTGGGCTACAGGCTAACTGCGAGCTCGCAGACGACTTGCGCAGAGAGCGTGTCGTAGATGCCTCTGTGCGCACACGTTCCTCTACCCTTTGCTCAACAAAATGCCCGCTATCCAGGCCTGGTTGAGTTGAGACTAATAACGACGCTTCCTGTGATCCTGTGCTGTCCGTTGTACAGTCCAGGGGGTCGACGCAGAGGCGAGCGGCAACTCTTGTCGACTAGACAGCGCGATGCGTTGGGAGGATCGGAGGATAGGGGAGCGAGGCCCGAGTTTGGTGGAGGAGGTCAGGATGAGAGGGAGTTGGTTGAGGTGGGTTGGTTGCGTGCCGCGCGAATCGGGGGCACTGGTGCAAATACTAGGCGTAGGCGTACCGTTCTGTAGGTACGACGCGCGAGGGCGGGTGGTTGGCAACGTGCCCACAGGTGCTCGGAGCGTGTCGCGATGATGTGAGCAAATGCGCGGGGTTCGTCGCAAGATCTCTACCCCGCCTGGAGCTTCGGCTGTTCTTCGGGTTGGAGGGTGCGGAACTACCTCTCCACTCAACCGAGGTGGGTCGGGGTCTTTTGGATGAGGATGAACCACGCTAGGACCGGGCCGCAGAACAAGGTGTCCGTGAGCCACGGAAGGTCTGTGCAGTGGTGCTGCAGGCGTGCTGGGTTGGTTGCGAGGCGAGGATCCGAACGCAACAGAGAGGAGCAGAGTACCCTCGGCGTGTGTGATGTTTGGCGGAGGGGAGGTAGACAGCCGGCCGTTGTACCGTCGTCGCGGTATGTGGGAGTGAAGTCTAGAGACGAGGTGAGGAGGCGATGGGGAGGGGAGGGGCGATGATGGAACGATAGAAAGAGAATAGAGGTGAGTGCGCGACGCAGGGAAAGATGGTACCGAGATGGGAGGCGTGTTCTCTTTGTATCAGAGCGGATCGCGACAGCTGGTAGTCAGTGGGGCGGGGGTGTCTTGCAGGCGGTAGGCAACCAGGCAGCCAGGCGGCATGGGCCATGGTCATGGGCGGCATGAGCAGGCCATCAGCCTCAGCCACCAGGCCATACGGCGGCTAGGACGGGCATCCAAACCGGATCAACGGCTCAACGGGCTCAGATACGCCAGTCTGCCAGGTCAACAGGTTACTGGTGTTGGAGACAGGAATTGGTAGATCTCTAGCGTAAGGGTGTAGAGGCCAAGGGGCTTGTGGATGCAAAAATGAGGAGCGGGGCCTCTGGGTCTCGGGGATGGGGGTCGGAGAGTGGGGCTGGGCAGCTCTGCAGGCGGTGTGCAGCGCTGCCTGAAGTGCGAGGGGAATAATCACGGTACAGCTGTGCATGTGAGCAGGCCCGATTAGAGGCTGTATTACATTGCCCGTGTCCGGGCTTTCATGCCTTGCATGGGTGGGGGCAAGAGGAGTAGCGGCATGGGATCAGCCAAGGGGATGTGAAAGGCGGTGGGATCGGTGGAACGAATGGACGTCGACATTCGGTCGCTTTGTCGATCCAGAGCCGAGCCGAGCCCGCAGCGCGGCGCGCGACCAGTCTAGCCCAGTCGTGCCAACGCAGCCTTACCACTGGTCTAAACTTGCCTACCTGGCGGGAAGCCTCGCCGCCTCGTCGCCTCGAGGCGTGCAGCAGCTGTCCAGGCCTTGCATCGTAGGATAGCAGAAAGAGGCGTTTCAGGGTCAGCAAGGAGGCTACGTCTAACCTGAGCCCTCAGGCGTAAATCCCACGATAATCGCCTTATCAGGCACTAACATACCAGGGTCCATGGCCCAGATGCATCCAAAGTGCCTGACACTCCGTCTTGCCTATCCCTCTTCCATGCCGCTCGCGCTGCCACCACTCTTTCTCGCACTCTTGCAGCTCTCCACCACTTGAAGCCTCGCTCAGATCTCCTGGGTCTCCCTCGCTGGACCAGTGGATACAGCGAATGCCTGTTCACGTGCATCCTGAGGCCGCCCCCACGCCCCTTTCCCCACCACAGTCTCCAACAGCAATGCCAGGGCTTCCGCTCCAAACCCAATTCTTTCCCAGTCCAATACCAGAACAGCGCGATACAAGCCTCCATTTGGTGTCGGCGTTCCCACCCTCTGAGCTCAGCTGTCGTAACAGGCTCTTCGTGCCGCGGGTTGCATGTCTCGCCGCCTGCCTCCGCGCCTCCCGCTCGACTCGAGACAGATGCCCGCCTGCATCGCCTCCGATCTCCCCATCACATGTCACAGCCCATTTTTGTCTGGCATTTCGGTGTTTGTATACTTTACTCGAGCCGTGCGCCGCGAGCCGCGACGCGCACGGCATGGCTCCTGAGCTCCTGAGAGTCTGTAAGCCAGTGAACCCGCCCCGAGGCCGATGGCTGAATTTGGTCAGCGGTCGGGTTCTGGGCCACGGGGCCTGGTGATTGCATCTTTGGCTGGCATGGCTGAGGTGGGCTGGACTGGATGGCAGCATCGGGGACTGGAGATGTGCGGATTTGCAGTTCTTTTCGGGTACTCGGAGGTGATCGACACGTGCGCCCTCCCAGGCACAGAAGAGGTCTTCTTTAAGCGTAACAAGGACAAGGTAACGTTTTCTGGGCCAGCGGCAGCCTGACACTGATAGCCTCTGTGTCGCTGACATGCAAACAGATCTTGGTATTGGGCACCTGACATTGACAAGAGCTCCGAGAGCGTCCTGCGCTGCCAAGAGGCGTCGGGGGCTTCGGGGCGTTGAGCGCCTCTCTCTTTCAGGCTCCTCATGATCCCTTGGTGTCCTCTCGAGTCCCTGCAACGGAATTCGCGGCGTCGATAACCCGCAGGCCACACAACCCACAGGCCCCGACCACAAAGCTCCACTCGCTCCCCCTTCGTGGTGATGAGCAGCGAACAAGCTGCATCGCCTCCGATCGCTGTGATCTGCAGAACGACTGCTCCCGATCAGCGCGCGGACGACGCTCGATTGCGATCTGCACTGGGTCACGCCCCATGCAGACTGACGCAAGCAGGGCTGTGGGGCCGTGAGACCGTGAAACCGTGAAGCCGTCAGCGGCGCGGCCGAGCGAGACCGCGAGCCTACAAGCATGCAAGGACACGAGACTAAAGCATCCCAGCCCACGGCCCACAGCAAAGCAAACAGCCCCTTAGCCTCACAAGCTTTACGGCCAGCCAATCCCGGCATGCCGGGTGCTTTCGCTATTTTCCGCTAATTATCCTCTTGGCACATTAGCTGGGCACTTGGACAGCTGGAGCAGGACAAACCCCGCCGTTGTCGGGGCGGGCACAGAGCATGCCCGCACGCCGGTGTGTGGGTGTGGGAGACAGCAGCATTTGAGGACGTGAGAACTGTTGGGTAATGGTGCGGCGCATGCCGCCGCGCACTTGCACTGTTCACGTATGCACTCATGCACTGGCGCCAGCACCTTGAGTCATGAGTCAGGCGGCGGGGCCAGGATGCAGCCTGGTATGGAGCCAGGTTGGGCGACAGGTAAGTGGGCCTGACGCGTCATGCAGATCAGCAGGAGAACAGGAGAAATGATCGATCATGCGCCCGATGCCAGGCATCTCAGGGGAGCCGAAGGGATCTGTGCCACACTCCTTCTGCTACCCTGGTCTTCTTCTGTGTCAGCGAGAGCAATATCATTGTCAGCTACAAACGATGGCGCGTCAACAAGGTGGGCAGCGGCCAGAATAGCAGCGCGCCAGCAAGGCCACAGACGCGAGATGGAGAGGGCGGGGCCTGTCCAGGACATGCACGCGCCGGGAAAATACACAGGGGCTCAGAAAAAGCCTTTGTGCATGTGCATGTGAATGGGGCGAGACATAGCCGCTGCGTAAGCAGCATGGGCACGAGACCTCTGATCACGCAGCGATTAGTCACGACAAGCCAACCGCGAGATCGAATCCCACCCCCCACTGGCGATTTGTCACCTCTCAGCATCAGCGGAATGCTCACGAGGTCTGGGCTCGCGCTGGTGAAATGCCGCATCCCGCATGAGCCTGACTTAGCACCCGGTCTCGGATCGGGGACTGTTTTGTCAGGCTCGTCTCATGCTTCAGGAATGTTACTGCACTGTAACGTGTAACGTTGTCGGATATGCTTTGACTCTGGCCGTCGCCGAGACTGACGCTCCACCTCGGCTTGCACGACGGGTTCACTACTGGTGTACACTTGCGGATCGAGCGATCCCATGGCTACATATGGACCTATGGACCTACAGTACATTGCGCGCGGCACGCAAAGGTGTTGCAGTGGAATCTAGGTACAGCGCGATGCTATTGTCGTCGACCGAGAGCACGCTCGTGCGTGCTGCCCCCGCGATCGCGTGCGCCCGCCTCCACAAGCCAGCGCAGTCCTGTGAGCGCATGCCGCGCAAAGAAGAAGATTGGCACTTGGACGCGGCTTGCCGTGGCCGCGGCAGTGGTTGCTCCGCCGCCAAGGATCGGGCTGTGGAAGGTGTGGGTTTCCTTGGTCGGCGTGCTTGCCCCCGAGCCCGGCGTGCCAGCGCCCGTTCCGCCCGGGAGAACGGAGGCGCTGGGCGGCCGGCTCTGTAAGGCCTGGATGACGAAGAAGGGGTAGATCAACGAGAAGATCGCCATGTTGATCAGGGGCGGTCCAAACGACGTCAGGAGCGTCGCCGGTAAGCCTGGCGTCAGAGACAGGCGTTTCAAAAACCACGGCGGTGCAGAACACGGGCACTCACCGAAGCCGAACATGTACCACCCCCGTGACGAGATGTACGCACAACGGGTGTCTAGTGACCACTGCCGTAACACGAAGATCCACCTGTGACGTCAGGAATGTGATCAGAGGCGGTGCGGATCGACGGAATATTCCACAAGGCCGTTTTGGCGACCCGAGTTGCACTCCGGGAATCTAAGCCCGTTCGGAGGCCGCCGCCGGTGCACAGCCCCCCTTTCCGAGACGCCTTCCGAGCGCAGCACCCGGCCCGAAGAGACCCAGTCGCGCCCATTACGCGGTGAGGCGGTGCGACGGGCAATGGGACGGGCATTATGACGGGTATCGGGACCAAGGCGGAAGTGGGCATTCTGTGTGATCTGCATACTTCTGTGTGATCGACAGGGGAGCACGCCATCTTTGTGGCATCTCGTTGTGGCACTCAAAAGTTGCCGAGGGGGACGAAACAGGGAGACAGTGCTGGACGGATGATGAAAGATGCAGGGGAAGGGGACGATGGGCGCACATAGGGACCTGACTGGACTTACTCATACGCGTAGTAGGAATTAATCAAGCTGATGAAACTGATAGACAACAGTCTTCCAATGACAGGGATGAGCGCCATGGACCGCGCAACGAGAGTGAAGTCGGCGATTAGGAGGAGCCGGGTGAGGGTGAGCCATACGCGATCCGTAGTGGTGGGTGTCGGAGCAGCGGTGGTGTGCCCGGTATGGAGGGGTTGATGGCGGTAGCTGGCATGAGCTCGGTCCCAGAGCGCGTGACAAGCAGGCTGAAGCTCGAACCAGGATCAAAGGGCGCAGGAACGGGTCGCAGATGCCAAGACGGTTGGCTCAGAGGTGGTGACTGACGCCAAGCCCAGCTTGGCGCGACTAACATTCCACACCCCTATTTCCTCCGTCGCGCTCACAATCTGCTCAACACTCACCTGGGATGCATCATGCCCTGCGCGCGGCGCGCAATCCCCGGGCCCCAGATCGCGTTGACCCAAAAGCACACGGCAAAGAGGGGCCAGCTGAGTAGCGCATTGAACCAGCCGCGCACCTCGCGCGTCGTGGCCGTCACGGTAGAGAGATCGTGCTGCGCATCGCGCGCAAACAAGGGCGACAGGACGAGCGGGAACAGCGACAGTAGCGTCAGGGAGAGAAGATTGATGAGCGTGAGCTTAACGACTTGAGAGCGCAGCTCGGGGTCACTGGGGTCAGCGGCATGTGGGTCCGCCGAGGCGCTCGGCGCATGTGAGCGGAGAAGCGCGCGGGGCACAGGAAGATGAGGAGGGCGTGGCTTGGGCGTGGGCTTGGGCATGGATATGGGCATAGGAATGGGAACGAGAGACAGACTGGAGCGGAGGCTAATACAGCAGTAGAGTGACCGTCTCACATTTGTCAACATGCCCTGTCACGAGAAGTGGGGCACAGATCATGCCGCGGCGCCGGTCCGTGTATCATTTGACGCCACCCGCGCCATGTCCTTTCCGCGACGCCGCCGCGCTCAGACCCGGAATGGGGCGCGCAAGCGCGCCCCGCTGATCCGGTGACGCTGAGGATCGGGGAAATCGCTCTCTCCTGGGCATACAAGGGACCCCGGGCACGGGTGCTGGCGATCTGGATGGCGAGACGATGAGAAAGAGAACGGAGGACGGGGGAAAGGCCATAGCGGGCTGTGACGAAACGCGGTGAGAGATCAGGAGCGCACGACACAGACACATGACAAGGACACGCGCCCCAGATCTCGATCGAACGCATTCCGATCCCATCCCTATCAGATCATCGGAGGCATAGACCCGAGTGGGGGGGATAAGAGAGTGGGGATAGACGGGACAGGTTGCCGACGGCACGTGCAAGTCTGTGCGGAGGATGTGAGGGCGCGAGGGCGTAGTCAAGTGCAAGGCGTTCTTTTGTTCAGAGCGTCGTCGAGGATCGCATCGGACATGGCACCGAAGAGCCTGACACGGAGGGTCTTGCTCAAGGGCCCGAGGCCGACGGCCGAGGGAGGATGAGGACGGCGGGTCATGTCTCCTCCACGATCTGGCGGCGAGAACAGGAGGGACGCCAGGAATAGAAGGAGACATGCCACTAGGGAAGCAGAAGATCAGGCGACGGCGAGCGACCATGGCGAAGCTGGGGACAGCCGGGTGAACGGATGGGAGGCATCAGATTATGGGAGGAGGAGATGATGGACACGAGCCAACCGCAGCTAAGGCAGACGCCGCCGCACAGTCGCCATGAGTCGGGGACTTCACACAGGTCTACGGCAAAGCCTGCATCCCCAGACTCATCCGCTGCTATCCTCAATCTTTCAAGGGCTCCATGATGTACGCTCGCCTGCAGACTTGCTGGCGGCGGCTGCATGTGCCCTTCCATGGCAGTTGGTCCAGGTTGCGCAAAGCAGCCTGCTCAATGTCAGGTAGTCGCAGCCCAGCCGGCAGCCCCTCGATGCCGGTCCCCTCTCTGAGGCCTTCGTGACCCGACACTGCACGCCGGGAGGAGTATATGGCAGGTTGCTGCTCTCCGCCGCTCTCCGCAGCACTTCGATGCCACCCTTCCCAGCTTCATGGAATTCAACGTAGCGCGGATGGAACGGGCCACTGTAAGGGAGACCGGCGCTCCAGCACTCGCGGGACGGCCTGCGCCGCGCCGCTGTATCCCTCGTCTGCCGCTACCACACTCCGGCTTTCCTCCCGCTCCCCGATCCCCTCCCGAAAAGGTACTCACCCCCAAACAAGCCCCCAGCTTCGTCTCACGCGCGTGACGTCTCGGACGCCAGAAAGTACCGCATCGCGCGCACGCGCGACATGTACAGCCACATCGGCGCCCGTCGTGCCCGTGACGCGATCCTGAAAAGGTGTCTCGATGCCTAAGCTGAGGCCGCCGCCACTGTAGGGAGAGCTGGGGTACGGCGAAGCGGGGTATGCAAAGGCGTAAGCGCTTGGTTGGGAGGCGGGGGAGGCGGGGGAGTGGCCGTTTGGGAGTCGCGAGCTCGCTTGCAGGGGGCTGGCGGGGAGTGGTGAGCGGCCGGGTGAGGGCGAGGGTGGGGGTGACGCGCGTCTGCGCGGGGGAGGGGGAGGGGGAGGGGGAGGTGGGGTCGCGGGGTCATCGGACAGGTCGATCGCGCCGGGGCGTCGTCGGTGGATCATCCTGCTTACAGGTGTGGATGGTGTGAAAGAGGGGGCTGCGGATTACCTGCTGGTTGGGGTTAACATGAAGGCGTGCCTGGTTGCGGGGTGGAGGTAGTCCGACGCCGACGCCAGACACAAATCAGCGCGGCGGTCTGCGTCATTACGGCGGCTTAACGGGAAAGGAAGTGTGGTGCATAAAGCGGAGAGAGGAGCATCCGAGCATCCCAGTCAAAGTACAGGTCCGTGATGGTGTGACTGATATGATCGTGTCCCTCGCTCGCAGTGCCGTCCTCTCTGTCGACATCTTCCCACAAGGTGAAGGCCAGCTCGCCGCCGCCATCCCCACATCCATCGTATTGTGTTGATGCTACGTATTCTGCGAGCGGCTGCACCCGCTCAACCCTCCCAGGTATCTGTGAATCCCAGCCCAGCTTCTACCGCAGCCATCCGAGCCTCGAGACCCAGGTCTAGCCACCGCTCGTAACCTTGGGTGCGCATCGCACGCCCGGTGCGCGGATTGATGCGCGCTTCGCCGTTCTCGGCGGCCGCGCGATCAGCCATTTCGAACGCGTCGTCGACCAGCACCATTGACCGCACAATCGGAACCACATCAAGGAACAGCGATGGGTGGGGAAGGAGGCGCGCGCTGAGGGGGACGAGCGGGTCCAGGAATGGAAGCAGGCCGCGGACGTATGTTGTCCTGAGGATTAACACAAGCCGATGTTCCAACTCACTGGTCGTAGTGAAGACGTCGCGAAGCGCGGGACAAGCTGCCGCCGGCGCATTCCACTAGAGCTTCCGCCATCTCCTCGGACGCACTGTACGCTGCCAGCTCCGGATACAAGTCCTGCACATCCGGCTTACACACAAGCCGAATGCCGTCCTGGTCGTCGCCGGAAGGCATGAAGCGGTCGCCCTCACAGACCTGCGGATGAGCAGGGATAAGTCGCGGCCACATACCTCCAGCCTCGCCCAGGGACGCGGCGCCACGAACGTGTCCGCGTAAGACTCGGCATCTAGCTGACGCGTCAATGTCCCGATCTCCCCGAGACTGCGCTTGTCGACGCCATCGTGGCGGCGGCGGCGTGCACACGAAAATTGCCGATCGAGCTGCATCTGCATCAGGGCGGCTCGCAAGTCGAATCGCTCCTCTGGTTCGTTGCCGTTGGGCGGGAGTGGCTGCTCCAAGAGATCTGTAAGGCAGGGCCGCGAGCAGTCTTGGAAAAGCCGTGGAACGTCACAAGCCAATCCGTGTCTGCGAGCGATGCTTGCAAGATAAGGCTGTACGAGGTAGGAAGGGGCGGCTCGGAAGTGTAGGATGACCTGGAGAGGGAGGATGTCGGTGGGGATGGTGGCGAGATCTGGATCAGCTATGGGAACTGTGTACTCAGCTCACCATTGCATGTGATGACCACAGGTCGGCGCGATTCAGCTATGAGCGAGACAATGGCAGGCCAGAAAGTGCTGGCCTCGTCGAAGAGAATGTCGGCCTCGTCGATGAGAATCAGTGACTGCTTCGTCTTGGCAGTCGTAGCTGAGGGCTCTGGAGATGGGCGAGTGTCCCCTTCGAGATCGATCGGCTCGGTCTGAGACCCTTGGCTCCCAGGTACTGTCTTCTGGGGCTTCGTCTTCGCATTAGAGAACAGGGCCTTAGCTGCTGCTGCTGCCGACTTCTTCTGATCGCGCGAGCCAACGGTGTGATTCCTGCTGACGTCGCCAACTAGGTTAAGGAGCTGGGGGCCGGTCCGCTTGCCAATGCCAGGATACACCTCGAACACATCCCATCCAAGCTCTGTTGCAACGGCATGGACAGCGGCGCTCTTTCCAGTGCCACTTGGTCCAGTGAGGATGATCGTGTTGCCCACAAATGCGCCCAGAGGAGGGTATGAGTTAGGCCTCTCACCCGGCCCGAGATACGGCTCTGTGTACGGTTCTGGAGGCTCCTCGTCGCCGTACTCCTCCACTGGCTCGCCGAAGATGCCGATGTCGTCAACAATCCAAGAAAGCTCGGGATTGGCTATCTTCCGGCGCGGCACTCGGCGAATGATCTTACGCACGCCTGCCTGACCGATGGAAAGTGCTTCGAGCCAGTTGCGCAGGTACTCGGCCTCAAGCTCATTGCCCAGAACAGCTCCGGCCTCGCAAGGTCGGTGGCGCTCACACCAAGTTTCCCTGTTATTGTCCGGCCTGCTGTCCGCTAGAACAGCAGCGATAGCTGGGTGCTCAAGAATGAATGGCGGGGCAGAGATGGGAGGTGGGGAGGGAGCCTTACACGGCGCCTTGCGCGACGAGGTCTTGGCAACTATGCTTTGGAGAAATGTATCAGTTGCGTCAGCAACGGCAGGCTTTGGGCGCTCGCGGTAGCGCAGCCGGGTCGTCGGAGTGGATGGTCCAGCCTCAGCCAAACCAAGGTGGTCAGGCCAATCGCCGCCTGGCAGCGGAGCGGCAGGCTCTTCGCCTTCTCGACAAATGCCCCAGCCGTTCTTGATGGTTCCGAGCTCCTGTCTTCTCCCATTGGCGAAGAAGGAATGGACCTGGGGCTTCATCGAGCCCCCGTTCACAACCTTAGGGGTGTTCGCACGGCTGGCCACACCACTGACTGTGACGCTGTTGATTGGTGTTGAGGGAAAAGCCACTGCTGGGCTGTACTCCTGCAAGATTTCAGATGTTCGCGCTGGTGGGCGGGGGCCGAAGAAAGCATGGGTAGGCTTGCTATCGCTGGCAAACACGACATTCTTTCTCTTTGGCGCGCGCGGCGTGTCTTCCACCTCCACGGGGTCGTGCGCCTTGCCCGTCCCTCTTTGACGGACCTGCGACGCAGGCGGCGTTCCTCCGGTGAACACGACCTCCGTGTCATCTGAGTCGCTGATGGCGTGCACAGAGTCGGGGGATAGCTCGACGCGGCTTCGAGAGGGCCCTGCGCTGGGTTGGGACTCAGAGTGTGAACCAAGCTGATTCTTCACCACTCGGCGCTTGCGTCCAGGCTTCGACGCGGCTTCTGTTGTCAGCCCCCTCTCTTTCATCAGAATGCTCCCCTTCCCCACCAACTACTCCACAAAGCCCACGGCCCGTCCAGGCATCACGACAGCCTTCCCTCTCACCTTCAACAGTCGCCTCAGACTCGCGCTTCCGACCTCTCGTCTCTTTCTCGGGAGGCGGAGCTGGGGGCGGCGGAGTTGATATGCTCATCCCATCGGCGCCAAAGACGAGCCGTCCTTGCGGCGGCCCATCCTTCTTACGCCGCCTGCGCGGCGCTTTCTCCTTCTCTTTGCTGAACTGCAGCTGGACAGGCTGTAGAGGTTGACCCCAGAGCGCGTCAAGCGTGCGTGGCTGGGGGTCGGGGGAAGCTGGCCCGGACGCGGACGTGGACGCGCCGGGCTGTTCTTCAGTGTGCATGCTGGAATCAGCCCAAACTCTGCAGGCGGTGCTTGTCTACCTGCTCTATTCTCGGCGCATGGATAAGATAAGGGCCTGACACGAGCGAGTGATCACAATGAGTAAAGGGGAGTGGAGTGGAGTGGAGTGGAGGAAGGAAAGTGACATACAACGCGTCAGATGAGTGGATTCGACATTGACGCGTCCGTCCCTGAAAGCCAAACGTCGCATTTCCCTCCGTCATTAACTCCGTTCTGATGTCCTGCGACACAACGCCAACACGCATTCTACGCGCTCTCCAGCGCTTGATCTCGCACTAACTCATGTGACGATGTGCATTGAGTCCTATGTAATACAAACATGCTGCCCAGTAACTGGGTTATTTTCTAACGGACACACTAGGCGAGGGCATTCTCGACATCGGCGCTGTCGTCGCCCTCCATCTGTGTGAAGGTGAGGAACGCGGCGGGGCGGTGAATAGGCGCCCAGAACGGCTGCGGCCGGTCGAGCGTCATGTTGTAGTGAATTTTGTCGGTCCAGCTCTGGGTAAGACCAACGCCGTAGTTCCAAACACCACCCTCCGGCACGAGTGTCATGCCAAGGATGCGGTCGGTGAGGAGCAACTGAACACGAGTCGCCATGCTTGCGTTCCAGCCGGGGAACTGGCCGCTCTGATCCTCATTCTTGCGGCCCCATTCGAAGCCCGCAACCGTGAGCTCCCATGCGTTCAGCGAGACCGAGCCAGGCGTGAATGCCGCCGTGACACAGATGCTTGTCGGCGCCCAGTCCGGATTCGCTGCCATGATCTTAGCCTGCGTGGTCACGTCCTGTGGCGCCAGATGGTTGAGTTCCTGGCTCTGCGTCTTGATCCAGCCGAGTGGCTCAAGGCCCTTCAGAAGGAAGTCGTGCTGCGGCAACTCGTGCGGCAGCTCGATTGATGTAGCAGTGCCACGCTGGGGAACCCACGCGATTGCCTTGATTTCCTTGACCTGAGAGTTGTCGGGCGGCGACACGCCGTACAGGAAGCCAGCGACCTGGGTACGCAGGTCCGCCGACACGACGAACGTCCGCAGGATGTTCTTGGGCATAACGAAGGTGAGCGCGCCGGCATCATCCTTGACCTCGTCGTTACCGACGAAGAGGTGGTTTGTGCGCAGCGGCAGGTTGGTTGCAGAGATTGCACGCACGCGCCAGTCAGACTTGGACGCGAAGGTCGCTACCTCGTACTGCGTGGAGGTGACTGTCTGAATCAGGTCGCCGTGAATATTCGTCGTCTTGTGCTGGACGGCCGTCACGGCAGCCGACGCCTCAGTCGACTTCTCGATCTCGGCCATCTGCTGACGCTGAATCGATGGCGCCTGAATCTCCATACCAAGAATAATGTCACGGATTTCCGAGGCCGTAAGCGACGCAATATTGACACTATTGCGCTTGCCGAAGTCGGTTAGAATCACGTCCTTCAGGGCGACTTCGACCTTCATCCACTCCTCATCCGAGAGCGTCGGCCACACATGGTACGACTCTGTTATGGTGTTGCGGTCGGGGCGCAAAATGATCTTGGACTTCTCATTGTTGACGTGGAGCGCACGAAGGATAAGAATGAGACGCGAGAACGCGGTATAACTCGAGATGCTCTTGAGCCAGTCATCGTAAAGATTGAAGAGCACGAGCTGTGGCTGAGTCGCGCGCAGGATAAGGTCGCCAAACTTCTCCATCTTGAGCGTCGCCTGGAAGGGGAGCTGCAGCTCGGAACCCTTGATGACGATGTTCGGGAAGTCGAGCAAGTGAACCTCTAGCGGGTCAAGCATACCCTTACGCGTAACAATGACCTGCTTGGGCTGCTCCTCTACGGGGAGCGAGCGGATAAGCGCGGCAACCTCTTCGGCTGTCTTCCACTTGGCAAGCTGGCCGAGACGCTTCTGGCCCGCCCACACAGACGTGTGGATGATCTTCAAGAACAGCTGGCCGGTACGTGGGTTGAAGATGAAGATGGCACCGTTGATCGGCTTGGTCGTCAAGTTACCCTCAAAGGTCTTGTGAATGGTGACGCGGTACACGTTGGTGTCATCAACAAACCAGATGACCTGGTTCGAGAACAGTTCCGAGTAGTTCGACGAGTTGAGGTACGGCTCGGTCGGCTCAGACGAGTAGAGCTGGAGCGACTTGCGGATACGTTCACGCAGGACATACAGCGCAGGGTTGGCCTTCATGATCTTAGCCATGGCCTGTTGCATGAGTGGCTTGAAGCCAGGGAACCAGCAGCCGTAGCCCGAGTAGATGTTGTACGCAAGGTCGACAGCGATGAGGGTACCGGTTGGCGATGGATAGATCGACTGCGAGTCACTCGAGTAGTCAAGGTACTTAGCACGCGCGTAACGCTCAATGTCGTGGGAGTCGAAGTCGCCCCAGCGCAGCTGAATGTCGATCCAGAACTTGTTCGACGTCGTGCCGTCCATTGTGTCACGGTTGTCGTTGAGGAGCGACGGACGCGTGATGAGGAATTTGTGGGAGGCGAACAAGAGAATGTCCGATGCTGACGAGTTCATCTTGTACGATTTACGCGGGTGAATTTGCTCCTTCTGAACAGACTCGATGCCGAGCGCCTCCATCTCTTGGTCGAGGACCTGGCAGATATCCATGCAGAGCGACTCGTGAATCTTCTGCCACAAGTGGGCACGGAAGATTTGAATGAGCGAAATCTTCAGCGTCGGGATCTTGCCGTGCATGAACACGCCCGTCAGGTCAAGCTGGACCTGGAAACCGATATAGACGTTGGCACGGTTGATCGTCGGCGACCACCAAAGCGTGAAACGACGGTTAGGCAGCTGGGACAGACCGGAACGTTGCGCATTTGTAAGCCTGGAAGTCAGCAAGGGGAACAGATAAGGTAGTGGGGCAAGCCGGAGACGGGGCCGATGCCAGATATACGCACTTCTTGAACTTCATCGACTCTTCCTGTCATGTTAGCTTGCACCATGCAATTATAACTCACAAATCCACTTGAACGCTCCCAGAACAGACTGAGGAAGTCAGTAAGGATCTCGCACATAAGTCATAGAACAGGGGAGCCGTGGGTAAGATGGTTGAGGCCGCAAAGGCTCCCTCCACCCTTCCACACGCATTCTCCTCGCTGCGTCAGTTTAACTCACCCTTCCCAGCTCGGGAAACCGGTCGCCTTGAATGCCGAATGCTCAAGGATGCCCTCGACACCACCGAGCGCGGCGATGACGTCGACACGGTATGCGTTGAGCTGCCACAGCTTTCCGTCGTGACGCTGGTTGGTCCAGTAGAACGGGTTCGCGCGCAAGCGGTGGTACTGCTGGAACGCGACGCGCACGCGCCAGCCCTTGTCGTACGCCAGCGTGTGTCGGTCCTTCTGGAACAGCGTGTTGATACGCGGGATGCCGCGGTCCCACGAGTCCTCGAGGTCCTCGAGTGTGAGACGACGGTTCGCCGCCGTCGCCTCCTTGCGCTTCATCGCGTACTCCGACCACACGCGGGCCGAGTCGAGGAACTCCGCCTCCCAAGGCTGAATGTAACGGTACAGGTTGGGGATGAGGGCATCCTCCTCGTGAGTCATACCTGAGCGGAAGTGGGAGATACCGCCACCGTCTGTCTGCTTGCTCCATCGGAGGTCCGACGTTGGAATAAGGACGAAACCCATCGACAACATGCCCAGACCACCCAGCTCCTTCGGGGAGTAGAAGACAGCAGGAGGGAAGCGGCTCGGCATCTTCGAGTTGAGACCGACCTTGACACGCGTCTGCACCTTGTTCTCGGCCTTGACGAGGGCGTCCAGGAGCTCGGGAGTCGTGACAACCGCCTCGCGGTAGTAGGTCATTAGGCCAATGAGCGCCGTGTTCCACTTGTTGATAATCTTAGCGAACGTGCCCGAGCCCGACGACATAAGAATCTGGCGGATACGGTTGTTGAACTCGGCAATGCCCTGGTCGGAGACTCGAAGGAAAGCCTGCGCCGTGCGCTCCTTAGTGTTCTCCTGCACGAGGTTCCACACGCCATCCTTGAGTGTGTACTGCTCGCCGTTCTCGGTGCGCACGCGTGGGAGGATGCGCACCTCAAAGCCGCACATCGAGAATAGCAGCTGCGGATTGTCCTTGCTGTATACGCTGCACATGGTGTCCTCCCACTCAATCGTAGTGAGAGAGCGGGGTAGCGAGTTCTTGACATTCCAGAACACTGCGCGGCCAAGGTTGACGTCGTGCTTGTTCAGGCGCATGCGGCAGTCACGCGGCCAGCACCGTTTGTTGTTGTACCCAATGACATTCTCGTTGTTTGGGTCCGGGTTGGCGGAGAGGAAGCGCTGGATGAGGTCGCGCGACTCCTCGGCACTGAAGCGGAACAAGATGTGAATACGGTCAACGTAACGACTGTAAAAGCGGATGGGATGACGGGTCTCGGTTGCCGTGTCGCGGTACTGTAGGAACGAGTTGGGCGCGGCGGGAGGGCCAGCCATTTCCGACGCGCGTTGCAGGCCAAGAATGAGGAGATCTAGCACAAGGCCGTAATACTGCGTGATGAACGACGAGAACTGCAGCCCACGGATCATGCCGTATGCGTTGACATGCGACATGTCCTTGAAAGTCAATGTCAAGTTGTTGCGTGCACTGATGTAGTCGGCCAAGTTGTGGTCCATGACCAGGCGAAGGAGACGGTTGAGCAGGGTCAAGTCGACCTTCTCCCACATGCGCGAGAGAACACTCTCCATCATCACGACACACTCGCCATCGCTTGTGTCCCAAATGTCCGTGAGGTTGTTGATTCCCTGGCACCACTTGTACACGAGGAGGGGAGGCGGCTCGGTATCAGCCGGCTTGATCCATGCTGGGAAAAGGTGGCGCTTGTCCGCCTCGTACCAGAGGAACTGGTCAAGGTAGGCGTCGGTGATCTTCTCAACCGGCTCAATGTCATAACATGGGATGAGCTTGTCGTAGGTGTCGAAGAACTCGATGCCGGCCTCCTTGAAAGCGCGCTGCGTCAACAGCAGCCGCTTGATGCGCGACAAACATTCGTGCGGGTTGTCGTAAGCCTGCTCGACCAGCGCGAGCTCTTCGCGTTGCGATTGGTTCAAACGCCCGTGCACGCTGTACGCCTCCTTGAGCTTCTCGAGTGCCAGCACCAGCAGCTTGGTGTCGTGCTTGTACGACAGCGGCGGGAAGGGGATTGGCGCAAACTTGCGACTCTCTAGCCAGTGCACCGTCGATGTGTAGATCGCCACAGCCTCCTCAGATGAGATGTATGGCCCATCCTTGAGGTAGGAGTTCTGGCGCTCCTGCTCCGCCTTGAGGTACAATCGCGTGAGACGCCCGAGATTCTTACGCACAACCGCCTTGTCGACAGTGGCACCGCGACGGATACGTTCACGGTTGTAGTGGGCCACGGAGGTCCACCAGTCGGCCTTGGACTTGATGTATCGGAGGATGATATTCTCGATGGGCGCCGGCATGCCAGGCACCTTCCATGGAATGTTCGCCTTCCAACACCCTGCTTGTCAGCACAGATTGCTCCACCTCAACTTACGCCATGCCTCGGAAAGATGTTGCAGAATCGTGCGCGCCTTGTTCTGCTTGATACCCTCAGGCATCATGTCGAGGATATCGTGCATTACAGCGGCGCGCAGTTCAAGGTCGAAGTGTGATTCCACACGCTGCTTCGTCACAGTCTGGACGTCAGCGTGCTCCATGTTTCCTCTGCTCGGTCCGTTTCGCTTCGGCCATCACGTCGAATGCCTGACTTACCTTCGCAGTACCCTTTGAGTTACGACCCTCGAACTGACGTGCCAACAGGTTCCCCAGCCAACGCTCAAGCAGCGGCACGATGCCGCGCATGAAGAATAGCCACACGCGCCATCCAGGCTGCCAGAAACCAACACCAGGACCCTTGCCGACCGGACCAGTGTTGAAGCGCGAGTAGATCAGGTGCTTGAGGTCCTTGCACATGCGGATTTGCCTCATAAGCTTGTACTTGTAACGGTACATGCCAGTAAGCTGACCGACATGCGCGAACATGTACTGCAGGCCATCGGCGAGCTGGAATGCGTCGACGTTGCCGAGGCGGAACTGAACGTGCGCGTCCACAATCAACTTGGTCAGGCGCAGGATTTCGCGGACGAGGTGGAATGCGTTGCCGAAGCGCGAGCGCTTACGCTCCTTTGTTGTGAGCGTCTTGATAGGCTTTAGGTTCAGGTTGTAGTCGAGGTGGAGATAGTTGAGGTTCTTGCGGTGGATGAGGAGGTTGAGCATGTTGTAGCCCTGGCGCACGACCTGGAGACCAGCCTCAACCCAGTCGAGGCGCGTCGACTGGAAGAACTTGGTGTTCTTCAGCGACTTGAACAGGTTGCGCTTGGCCATGGCCTTTGGAGGCTTCTTGTGGAGCTCGTTGAGAACGTACACCTTGAGCAGCTTCTGATACGACACGCGCACCTTGACGGCCTGGTCAGGTGGGCAGTGCTCGAGGTACAGAGTCTTGACCATCGGCACGTCCTGAGCACGGCGCATCCGCCCACTTCGCTGGTTGTACGGGTATGGCGCCCAGTACAGCGCGATCGCGTCGGCCGTAAACTCATTCTCAAGCGGGCGCGAGTCGAAGAATGGGTCCAGCTCCTCAGGCATCTCAAACGCGTCGTCCTCGTCCTCGTCATTCCCGTACCCAAACACCTCGTCCTCGTGCGACACCAACTGACTGTGTGCGTCGGCGACCACCCGCTGCGAGATCGGATTGATCAGCGGGTCGAAGTAGAACGCGGGCAGATCGGGGTCGTCCGTCTTGATGTACACGTTCTTGGGCTCGTGGTACAGATCGATGTGGACCGAGCGGGGGAGCGAGTTGTAGAGGTGCGGGTACGCAACCTTATACTCGGAGCGAATCAGGCCACGGATGATGACTTTGTTGATGTCATTAAACTCGTTCCAGTCCTCGTCGTACGGGTCCGTGTCGCGGAACAGGGGCTCGAACTTCGGCCCACCAGGCAGCGCAATATTGAGCGCCTTGGCTGTAAAGAAGCTCTTCTTGTCGAAGAGGTAGAAGGCATTACGGTCCGTGTAGTCGCTGAGCAGCTGGCGGCCAATGCGGAACAGGTTGGCCATTTGCGGCAGTGTGAGCTGGAAGTAACGATAGCTGGGGCCGTTAACCTGCTCCGTGTCTTCCAGTGGCTGGGGGTCGTAGAACCAGTCGATGATCTCGGCGTCGTCCTCATCGTCAAGCTCGAGCTGGATAGCCTCGAGTGGGTCCACGTCCAGCACGTTGTCACCATAGTCCATCGGTGGTTCCTCGTCGTCGAACGGTGGGAAGCGCATGCGCTTAAAGTGCCGACGGTCGCGTTTCTCTCGCCTCATCGCCAACCACATCGATGCCCACTGGGCATGGTACACTGGCTCGATCACGCGCGGGATCTCGTTGACGAACGTGATCGCGCCTGAGATGTGATAAAGCACTGGCACCTCGCGCACCTGCTCCCACGGGTTGGGGATGTTCTCGAGCAGCTTCATCACCGCGTGCGGCACGTACTTGAGCGCGCCGAGATGTGCGCGCTTGTCGTTCCGGAACTTGCGGTTGGACATGTCACCGTGGTCCTTGATGATCTTGCGAATATGCTCTGCACATTAGCTATCGCCTCGCGCCTCACGCGGCCAACAAATCTTACCAGGTGGGAGGTCCTGCGGAGTCAGCATCAATCATGGTGACAACCCCCTCCACTCTGCACAAACAACTGCATCTGCCACTCTGCCACACACGCGCGAGGGACGCGAGGGACGCGAGGGCAGCGCACACTGTGCATGACTCACCGCCTTTCCCATGTCTATGCCGCCACCGCCGCCGGTGCGGCGCTTCATGTCGAACCGGCGCTTCTGGCTCTGACGCCATTTCCTTGCTTTCTTCTCGATCTCGGCCTGGGTGAGGGTGCCGAAGAAGTCGCCCTCCATGCCCGAGTCGCCGTTCGGCTGTCCGCCTGACGGCCCACCGAATCCTGGAGGGGCTGACATGGCGAGCACCGATTGAAGTGGGTGGGGATGTTTGTGGGTGTTGAGGATTTCGATGCCTTCGAGTGGCAACTGGTGAGCAACGTGATCCTTAACGGTGGATCGGCGGACATTCGGCATTTTTACGGTGTGGCAATCTTTCAATTTTGAAGAGTGGGGCAGGAAGTGCTGAAGGATGCCGACGTGATCGGGCCGAGGGCGAACCACCCCCGCGTCGCTGTCGCCATCGTCGGCGCTCTCCGTCTCCCCGTGCTGAAGCCGCACATTCTAGGCCTGGGACTACATTCCGTCATAACCCCTCGATCCTCTCTCATCTCCTCTCCGCCACTTCTCCTGACAACTTTCCACTCGCCACTCCACGCACGATGCCTCCAGTTCCCACACTCGGCAAGCGTCCGGTAGTGCTGCTAACCGTAAGTTCAGAAGGGTTTGGTGTGAGCTCAGACAGAACGACGACGGGCCTCCTTCAGACCACTCTCCAAATATCTTCCAGTTCGCGAAGCAGCTCATCAACGACTTGGGATGGGAGGTGCGCGTGGTCATCCCGGACGGCCAGCGCTCCTGGTGTGTGCGACGGCCGAGTGGCGCTAATCGCAGGGTCGGCAAGGGCTTCGCCATCAACCAGATCATTACCGCAGCATTCTTTTACCCACTGGGCAGGTCCAACGTGGAGCTTTGCTGACCACAGAGCCCGATGGACGGCAAGGCGAAGTTACTACGGCGCGTCGGCCATTGAAAGAGGGCGAGACGATGGAATGGGTCCTCCTCAACGGGGTCAGTGGTATACCAGGCTCAAGCTGACTTCAGACACCAGCCACGTGCAGCAATATCGGACTGCACAATCTGTATCCCGGCGAGGTAGACATGCTAATCTCGGGGCCGAACCGTGAGCCCGCAATTTCAAGGTGAAGCACTAAAGACAGACGGACGAAACTCGTCGGCGGCCTTTGCGCTGAGCTCCGGCACCATTGGGGCCGCCATGGCTGGTGCACTTGCAGTGCCGATCGCGGGGCCAAGCGGGCAGAAGCGGACCTTCATGCCCTCCATCGCACTCTCTTACGGTGTGGTGGAACGGCCTGTACCGCCGCGCGCGCTGGAGTTGGCCCACGAAGTAGCAGTCGGCGTGTGCAAGCGTCTCTTCGACGACTGGGGATGGGAAGATGAGGCAAAGCGCAATCCTGTCCAGGTGTACAGTGTCAACGTGCCCCTCGTAACGGAGGCCATCGAGCTCGCGAACCGCAAGGTCTGCTTTACCACCATGTGGCGCAACACGTATGGGCAGTTGTTTGTGCCGACGCAGAAGCCACCGCAGGAGGAGACCAATTGGAGCGCCGCAGACAAGGTGCAGCAGCCAGACGACGCAGACACGCTGCAAGACGTCGACGGTCCGCTCCGTTTCCGCTTTGCACCGAACTTCCACCCCCTCCTTCACCCTTCACCAGAGGCTGTGCCGGAGGGCACGGACGCGTGGGCGTTCTATCACGGATACACGAGCGTCACTCCTCTGTTGGCCAACTTTGCCGAGCTCCAGGACCCATGCCAAGGGTTTGGAGATGCATCGAACGGCCGTTTCTGGTAGGAGTTGTTGATCTGTGTGAGTCGATAGACGCAATGCATAGGTCGGTACGTGTACATTGGCGTGGGCGCACGCAACGCTGCTTGCTTGCACTGCGCCCCATCGCACGAAGGCGAATGCCCGCGCACGCGGCATGAAAGGCGTAAACTGTGCATGCCGAATAATGTATACAGAACGGAGACGTCTTCTTGTATTCCGTGACCCCGGCGGCCAGAAGCTGTCTCGATCAATCGTCCTCCTCGTACACGTCGTCGTCACTCTCCTCGCCCCTACGAGGGTAGAGGACGTAATTCTGCACGATGAACGCAATGTCAAACCCAATCGTGATCAGTGCGAGACCAAGCTTGCCCGGGTTCGCCCAGATGCCCGCGACCTGCCCGTCGATAAAGACGCTCGAGATTACGAGCTGGGCGAGCGAGAAGACCCCACCAGTAAGGTCCTTGAGTCAGTTCAGCGCCACCAGGCAGCTCACGGCTAGGATGGTGGCAATAGCGAAGCCCCGCACACTCTTGAGTCTGTAGTTGAGGATGAGCTGCGGTGTGTACTTGATTGTCGTAATCGCGATCTTGAGCGAGCTGGCGAAATAGAGGAAGTCGAGTAGCTCGGTGCGGCCGAGCAAAGTGCTGGTACCGACCCACAAAGCAGCCAGGGCCATGATAACCAACGCAGCGCGGGTGAGGCGGTGTGGCGAGACCGGGGCACGCACCTTCCTCCTCAAGAGGGGAGATTGCTCCTCTACGCTCTTCCTCGCGCGGTGTGCGCGATAGAATAGCCAAGCACTCTGAACCAGCGTGAGGGTGGAGAGGAGGAGTGCGTGCGCGGAGAAGGCGAGGTCACTCTTCGAGACCTGGGGCGCGTGTCCGTCATGTCGGTCCGCATACTGCTTACGAGCGGTACGGGAGAAGTACGCGCCAAAGGACCAGATGGCTAAGCAAAGGAAGCCGATTGGGTTCACAACGACAAAGTCGGGCGCGAGGCCGAGCGCACTAACGTCAGCCTGCATGATGGGTAAGCATACCTCTTTCGCCTGTGGTTGAGGATGAGCTGCGGGTAAAAGCTGGCGCTCCAAGCCGTGAAGTAAATGACGCCGCAGGCGGAGGAAACAACGTTCCAGGCGTTTGCCATGTTGATGGTGGGGTTGTGCGGAAGGCGGGCTCGGCGGGGGGAGGGGGGATTATGAGCTGAACGTGGCCATCGAGAGATGGTGGGACGGCGTGGGATGTGTCTGTGCTGGTATGCCGTGCCGGGTGTCGTGCTCGCCGCTCGATATCTGTTGTTGTGATCAGAAGAGAAGCTTGGCGCTTGGAGAAGTGGGCGATGGAGCAAACGATCCCCGCAATGGCGTGACTACTGTCTCTCGATTGCTCATGTCATCATTTCGGCGATCAGCGATGCGGGTCAGCGGATATCTATATCCGGCATCTGAAACGTGCTGTGAGCGTCTCTTCGCCACATTGCATTCACAGCGCCCTGCGTTTCAGGTTGGCGAATCCGATTTATTACTCTCCGATCGTCCGACAGCGGGGTATGAAGTTGCAATAATAATAATAATGACTCCCATTCCTCTACTCATACAAAGATCCAGGGCACAGTTCTCATGAGACTTGCCCACTCTAGTACTTATCGGTGTCCTTGATGGGATGAGCCTCAATATCATTGACACCAGCATTTGGCTCGTGCTTAAGCCCGCCGCCAATCTTCGCGTCCCTCTCCGTTGCAGACCACTGGAACTCGAAAGTGTTGAGCGAGCGGTAGTAAGTCGGGAAGATGAAGCAGGGCACGAAACAGGCGCACGCAAGGACGATCCACGCAATGACGAGGTTGGGGTCGGTGAGCGCTTTGGAGCACGCCAGCGAGATCGCAGACGCGATGGCAGTGTTAAAGAGCGAAAGTGAATACACGAGACCCTTCATGCGGGGAGGAGAGCGCGTGTATGCAAGCTCGTAGGAGGTGACGTTGACGAAAAGCTCGCCAATGGCGGGGAATATGATGAGGGGAATCTGCCACCAGAGCGAGACGGGCGAGACGGCCGTCTTGCCGTCGATGATGCAGTGGGTCGCAAACTTGCCGCACGGCGAAGTCTTATAGATTCGGTCCTGGATGACTGCGCCAAAGATGCAACCGATGGTGCCCAAGAAGAACCCGATCGACATTCGGGTCATGGGCTTGAGCGGCCACCCAATCTTTTCGAAGAATGGGTACACCAGGAAAGTGACGATGGGGGAGAACACAATGATGGAGATCGAGTTGAAGTTGTTGATGAGGTCGTTGGGCATGCCGTTGAGCGTCATGGCGACCGACATGTCATTGACGATATTGCCCAGGCCGACCGAGCCGCCGTCGGCAAGCTGGAAGATAGGGATGAACATGAACACTGCACAGGCCGTGAATGTCTGGCGAATCTCCTCCACAAACTTGTCGTCCCAGTATACCTTGGTTTCGTCAACGTGTCCGTCGCGATCACGGATGAATGAAGGCTTCGCCTTATTCCAGAAAGCGTCTCCGCCACGACCAAACTTCTTCCAGCCGCCGTTGCCCATGCACGCCTTAACCACCGCAAAGGTGTCAGGAATAACGGAACCTTGGGGTGGAAGCTTCACCAGGCGGGGGCTGGCCCACCAGAGCACAAGCGGCATCATGAAGTAGAGAATGCCGGGAAGCAAAAACGCCAGCCAAAAGCCGACATAACGCGCCGAGTAGGTGGTGGCGAGCTGAAAGAGAGCGCCGACATTGATGCAGAGGTAGAAGAGGTTGAGGTAGCGTGTGACGGTTGCCTGGGGGTCGATGATGACCCTTTTGCCGCTCTTCGTGTAGTGAATCGTCTGCTCCTTGACAGGCGACTGGTCACAGAGGAGTGGGGCGAGCGACGGCTTGATGAAGCCCGCGGCGAAAGCGAGAATGATAACCGAGACGATGAAGACGCCGAGGGCTGCCTTGGGCACCGCAAGAACCTGAGGGATTGCAGGAATAACCAGAATCACGTGTGCAATACCGCCAATGGCTGTGCCCCAGCAGATCGTCTTGAAACGGCCCCAGCGCGAGTCCGCAACGATGCCACCATAGATCGGAATAACGTACGCCAGAAATTTGAACATCTGGACGATCGCCGAGGCTGAGACTGACCCGAGACCGAGCGCACCGGGGGAGTCGTTCTCGTGGTCTTTGCCGCGTGCGACAGCACCGGCGCTGTTTCCGCCTGGGGGAATGGGGTTGTTGACAAAGTTGTTGAACGGCCCAGATGTCCCGTAGTACGATGCGCGCTCGACGAGCTCAATCAGACACATTGCGAGCGCGACAAGACTGGTGTGTTAGCAGATGTCCTTCAGGGGCTACCAGACTGAAAGCAGTACTCACGGCATGCCAGCGGGGACACGAGGGAGTGTTCGCAAGTCCTCCTCAGTGGGGATGAGGGCGGGGTCGCGCTCATCATCGGCGGGAAAGACGTCGGCATCGTGCACAGTGTACCCCGGTTCTGCTTTCTCCTTCAGGTCTGATGTGAAGTGGCCAGCGGACATGTTCTCGACGTCGTTCCAGCGCTTCTCGACGGTGGCCATAATGGGATGAGTGGGCACAACCTCGCTCTCCTGCTGACTTATATTCTTGCGCTGCAGTCGAGTCGCTCATCCCGCTCCCCGCCGATGACAGCGCTCAACTTTCATTCCAAACCGCATGGTAAGTACCTGTGTGTATTTTCGAACGCCGCTCTGCTGCCAAGACCCGACTCGACAAGAATATACCCTGTGCGACCCACATGGGTAATTGAGATGCCTAGGTGTACTCACCCTCCTTCGCGATCTGCGCCTCCGCCTGTTGGCTTGTAGGGTCACCGGGCATACGTCGATGCCTCTGCTCCAGAGGTAGCCGTTTCTCCGATGCCGGCGGCAAAGCCCTGCAGTGCACGTGTTTGCTTATCGCGTCAGCCCGCCGGCACTGCAAGACATCGACCAAGTGAATAGCGTGCTTCAAACATATGTGACATGCCTAAGAAGACTGGGCGGTTTGTACAGACACATTATCTCAGCTTTATGCCGTACTCTGTATCTGCTTGCGTAAAACTGACGGCTTGGAGCTTGAGAATGACGCATGCAATGTCGCGCGACCTCGTAGATCTTGCCCTGATGGTCGTGCGTAGCCCCACCCTACCGACCGCCTCGACCTCCGCCTCACCTGCTCTGGTCGTACCGAATGCCGCGTGCCGAACGTAGCCCCTGCTAACCGGCTCTTGTCTTGGACAAGCTTCATCGTGCCTGCGGAACAGCACGCCGTGCCACACCCCAGTTACTTGCCGGATTAGACGAGCGTGTCGCCGACCAAAGCGACCGCCGCGACCCCGTGGTGCCCGGCGATATCCGTAGCCATGCTCCGCCCGGCGACAGCCCTGGGCCCCGCGTGTCTCCGCGGACAGACCGCACGCACTTCACGGGCTTACACACTGATGCCAAACCTACGGAGGGGCATCGCGCTGCTGACACTGGGCCCCAATCTGGGCACCACGGTCGCACTACGCTCAGGCCTCAGAACACGAAGACAGAAATCTCTCTGAGAGAGTCTAACGTCGGGAACACTTTGAGCAATGCAGCGCAAAATGCCGCCAGCTGAGTAAGCCTCTATAGACGGAAGCGCAGCGCCGCCCACCCAAGAGCAATGACAGTGCCATGAAGTTGCCCTTCAAGCCGCAGTACGTTGGCGGGGACATCACACCAGGGATGGAGGTGACACGCTCAGTAGGTACAACATGCATCGGCATCTATTCACACCTAGCCTCTGCGTGATCCCCGTCCAAGCCACTTCCTGCATTAGGCCTCATCTGGAAGGTCATCGGCATGGTATACACCCCACATGACGCGCGCCTGAAGGTCTTCGACGCCGTCCTCGCCGACAGTCACCCCGTCAGGCATGGCGGTAGCGTAGTTTTTCTAACGTCAGCGCGGCGTCTAAAAGTTACCCACTAATCCGAGCGTAAGCTTGAGCATGGGCGGGGTGGGAGTGTAAGTCTCCAACTCATCGGACTCGGCGCTGGGGCCGTGGTTCTGAGTGGCGTTCTCACGCGCGATCATCTTGAGGATGTTCTTGACGGCCACGACGCCTTGGTAGTACGACACGTGTCCGGCCTGAATGGCGGTCGTGTCCGCGCAATCACCGATCGCGAACATGTGGTCGAGGTCGGCGTCCTGTCCCGGCTCGCTTTTCGGCTCCTTGTCATCCACGGCGAGCCCCTCCATCTCTCTGGCCACGTCGAAGCGACGCACCTGCGTCGTGGGCCGCACCGCAATTCGCCCGTTCGCCGGGTTAACGGTGTGCGCGTCCATCGCCGCCATGAGCTCCGAGTGTGGCCTGGTACCGGTGCATGGCAGCACAAGATCCGCGGTAAAGGCCTCGCCTGCATCTGTGCGCACAATTTGCTCGACACCCTCGGCATCGCTGGCAGGCCAATGAACAACGCGCTGGCCGAGCACAACGTTTACGCCCAGGCTCTTGAGCCCGTCAATCGCTGCATCGTGCATCTCCTGGGGGTAGCGTGGGAGGACGCGGGCGCGCGAATGAAGCATCGTCACCTCCTTCTCAGGCCAGATGCTCTTGATATCGCTTGCAAATTCTAATGTTAGCTCCACAGTTATGAGAGACACTCACGGATGCCAAGTGCGCCGCCTCCGACAATCAGAACGCGCGGCGCACGCTCGATCACGCCGCTCTGCTTCTGCATCCAGTGCACGGCACCCTTCTTCGTACCGGGTGCCTCGTTGTCGGGACGCCAAACGTCGCATGGCGCAGGAAGGCTTGCCCCGAGGGCGTGGATGCAGTAGTCGAAGGAGATGGTCTCGTCTTCCTCTTCTCCTGAGCGGCGGAAAGATACACTACTTGTCGTGAGACGCGAGATCTCGCCGTGCACGAACACGTGAGGGCCGTTCGTCACGCCACGCTTCTGCGTCACCTGGTACGATGCAGGCGATCCGGGCTCCGGGTCCACTTCGGGAGCTGGCGGGAGTTTGAAGAGATTGGTGTAGGGAGGGAAAGCTTTCGGAGCATGCTTCGGTAGGGCGATAACGCGCGGGAAGACGTAGACGTCTGCGTGTTAGCCTTCTTAGTCCGAGGGATTGGTGGGAAGGGAGAGGGCCTGTCGAGCAACCGCCTTCGGCGTGCCGCTTCGCACTCACGGTTCATGTGAGTGTTGCGGTCGATGGCAACGACGCGCCACCCTTCCGGGAGCTGGGACGCGAGGAGCTTTGCAGCATGTCCGCCGCCGTAGCTCACGCCAAGGACAGCGACAGTGCGCAGAGCCTGAGAAGGTGCGCCCGCCAATTCTGGCGCTGGTGGTTGTGCCATCGTGTCGTTGTCGCCTCGTCGCCACTTTTGGTGCTTGCAGAAAAAGAGGGGGTATGGGCAGCGCGTGCCCGGAGCTGAAATAGCTGAGAGTTGAGTTGAGATGAGAAAGGTGCATATCGGTGTCGTTGGGCATGGTTCGTCAAACTCGGCGATTCAGGGTCATTTATCAGATAAATCTCGCCCCGTGGCGCCGGGGGTGAGGCACACCTCATCGGCCGAAATCCCGTGTCATGCCACGTTGTGTCGGGTCCGAGCCTTGCTAGCCACTCATCGCGCTAGGATGAGCCCGGTTGATGCAAGCATTCAGATGGTGGTTGCTGATCAGACCTCGGCGAAGGCGACTGCTTTTCTTGCACGGACGATGTGAGGTGGACCGCGAGTTTCGAATCACCGATGAATGCCGAGTATCCTCCACCCATCCTCCGATCGACACCAAAGGTGGCGCTCGCAGCCGCCCGGACTGCCACTTTGCATAACTACGGCCGACGTTGCCACAAACCTCCTCGTCAACCTCGCTAGAGTACATGTGCATAGTGACTTCCGATGGCTGCTCTCTACCCCTATTTAAAGCTTGGCACGCGACTTGTGCGCTGCATAGGCCGCCTGGACCGTCTTCTTTATGTCGGCCTTGACGAGCTTGCCATTGATGTTGCGGGCTGACATTAGAGTTCTCGGATACACACTCACGCAGAAGTTGATCCGAAACATACACGAAGACAGGGCGCGCGTCACGGCGCAACCTTACGTCAACTTCCACGCTCAGAGCGCCTGCTCACCTGCTCTCTGCCGCGGCCATGATGCTCTCTGGGGTAGCCTTCTTGCCCTCCACCAAGCTGACAGCGATGGCGACCAGCTCGCCGAGGTAGTCGTCTGGCACTGGGACGGATGCGCACTCGGCGATCCGGTCGTCCAAGTAGATCGCATTCTCGACCTCCTCCGACGAGATGTTCTCCCCGCCACGAATGATCATGTCCTTGACTGACGTTAGCACAGTCAAACAGACCACTCACTCCGGTCTGCGATGTACAGCGCGCCGTCCTCGTCTACGTATCCGCCATCACCGGTACTGAGCCAGCCCTCGTCATCAAGCGCCTCGGCTGTCGCCTCTGCAACGTTAGCGAGCTCAGACACATTCTCCCCGGGGGGAGGGGGGGGGGGGGGGGGGGGGGGGGGGGGTTCGCTCACTGGGGTTGCCGTAATACTCCTTCATAATGTTGGGCCCACGCGCCTGGATCTGTCCCACTTGGTTAGGCCCGAGGACGTTCTTGTTCTCGTCAATGATGCGCACGTCGCAGATAGGCACGGGCGGCCCACAACTCTTCGGCTTGGCGTAGTAGTCTGGTCCAATGTGCTGGCAGTGGAGCACTGTCGTCTCCGTCATACCCCAGCCGTGACTCCCCGCCGCAGTGGGGAACTGATCGCGGATGTCGTGGGCGAGACGAGAGGGTGGAGGGGCGCCACCGTACGCGACACCCTTCATGGGGTAGTCAGGCGGAAGGGCCTTGGTCTGCATGATCGCCACGGCGATAGACGGCACACCACCGATGAGATTGATCTTGTGCTCAAAGATGAGCTTGATGGCGTCTTTGACGCTCCAGCGACGCATGAGCACAAGCTTCCCGCCGTCGTGTAATGTCTTGCCTAGCCACCCCACGCAGCCTGTCCCGTGGAAGAAAGGGATAGCGAGCAGGCCGACGGTGTCCACGTCGGGCGGCCCAGTAACCATCTTGATGACGGCGTCAGGGGGTGCGCCAGCACGGATCCCTGCGCGCATCGCCGAGAACATCGAGGAGACAAAGTTGTGCATGTTGGCGCGCTGTGTCGCCAGCACTGCCTTGGGATATCCAGTGGTGCCGGAGGTGAAGAAAATAGTGGCGTTCGAGTCGGGGCCGAGGTTCTCGAGGCCGCCTCCGCGCCCAGCCTCGATGTCGGCCACGATAGCAGGCCTGCTGAGCTTCGAAAAGTCAACGACCTCGATGTCCTTGGGACCATCGAGGTGATCAAGAGGCTGCCAGGACACGATGGGTCCGCAATTGAGCCCCTTGAGCTGGGAGCGATGGGGCGTCAGTGCGACAGCGCTGACAGCATCTGTGAGGATGATCTTTGGGTGTGTGATCTTCAGGCAGTGGATCATCGAGTCCATCACGAGAGAGCTGTTGACCATGATGGGCACAGCGCCGATGAGCTGGCACCCAAGCCATGCGATCGGCCACGGGATGCAGTTGAAGCCGACGATGGCGACATGGTCCTCATAACCGACGCCGCGGGAACGAAGCATCGCTCCCACCTCCAGCGCTTGCCGGTACGCCTCCGCGTGCGTGATTTGGTAGCGCTCGCCGGCGGGGGCGGGGTCAGGGCGAGGCGCGTCGAGCATCACCTTGTCCCCATGCTTCGGCATCCGCTCCATAATCATGGCGCGGTACGACGGGTATTGCTGACATCAGTGCTGGTGGAAGAGTCGACGCACGTTCTTCCATGAGCGCTGCGTTATGCCCTTAATCTTGATCTCCTCGATCTCAAAAAGCGTACCGGGTTTGCAGATGAGCTTGTCGCCTGGAGTCAGATGGCAAAAGCGAGGGCGGTGACTGAAGGATAGTCGCCGAGATGAGTGCGGGGGTGTGGGGGAACACGCGACAGTGCGTGAGCTGCTTACATTCCTGCCACGGCAGCTTGCCAACGGTGTCCTTAAGGCTCATGTCAACGGTCGAGTTCATTTTGCTTGTAGTTGTGCTCGCTTGGGGGGGGGTGCCCACCACTCTCACCTTAAGTATGTCCAGCACGTACACACCGAGCCAACCCCAAAGCACGCAGCCGGTCACGTCCGGCCTTGACCGACTGTTGCTTAAGCGGTCACATGTCTTGTCTAGGACCTCCCCCAGTGGCTCAGCTTCGGCGTGGTCCGTCGTGCCTCATGCCGGCCGGCAGCCCATGAGCACGGCCGGAGGAGGGCAAACGTGTGGGAGAATCTCGGCATTCACTTCCCGTACTCCCCGGCCCACAGACGGCAGATAAGTGAAATAGACAAGATCACCGTGCCTTGCATGATTTCGTCGCAACAGTGACATCCACCATCGAGGAGCTGAGTCTGATAGTTGCCCCGTCACTTGTCGGTGACAATGCGGTCCACGTCTGACGCCCACTGCCTCCATTTGTATGCCTCAAGAGTCGCGTAAACTCATGCATCTAGAAAACGAAATCCTCCACGCGCCACTTGCCAAACGCCTCGTCGGCCATCTTGTCCTGCTTGTACTGCCTGCGGCGGTTATCGGTGCCCGCCTCCTCCTTCTTTGCTGCATGTGCGCGCAATGTGGCATCGATTGGTGCCCGCAGACGGCGGTAGTCGGTCTGCGCAGCGATAACGGGAGCGATGGCCTCCGAAAGGCGCGTGAGCTCATCTTCCTTCTCGAGGAGGCTAGGGAGGTGAGCGTCAAGAAGAGCAGATGCGTGTGCGACAACGGCAGTGAGAGGGGGCAAGCTGGACTTGGGCTGCTTTTCAAGCCAGGAGCCAAGACCATCGTCACGCGTGGCGTGGGCTTCAGCCCAGGCGGTGAGCTGTACCAGCATGCGGCACGCAGCGTCCGCGTTGAGCTGCCGCTTCAGCTCGGCTCGGTATGACGGGTCAGGTGCGGGACCGGAAACGACGGATTCGAGCACCTTGTCGTCGACAACCAGAAGGGCCACAACCGAGCGCGCGGGTAGCGCAGGATTCTTGCGCAAGAGACGAGAGACGGCGAGCCGGTCGAGCGGAAGAAGAGCCGTGACGACGCCGCCTTCGCGCATGTCCTCATGCAGTTGACGCCTGTCAATGAGAGTATGGATGATTTTGCCGGCGTACGGCTTGTTAACGAGCACCATGTCGACGAGCCGCCGGGCAACGCTCTCCGGAATTACGAAGCGGCGGCCTGGAGCGCGCTTCTCCTCATCCTCGAGCCAGGTCGTGAATGTGTTCTCTGCGCGGGCCGCCTCACCCGCCTTGAGAGCGGATGAGACAGCATCCAGGAGTTTATCGGCACCACCCGAAGCCTGGTGACCCAGACGGAGGACGTCAGCCGTCGCAGTGGCACTCCCCAGAAGCTGGGCAAGGCCAAGACGTGGCGGAAGGGTTACGTCCATCGTATGAATGATGCTCCGCCCATTAGTCCCTGCGTGCGTTTGCACCGCGCCGAGAACGAGGGGGAAGGTTGATAACACGGCTAAGTTTGTCACTTGCGATCCGCCAGTCGAGAGATGACTCGTGGCCAGCGCAGCAGGCAAGTCCGCCGAGGCCGACACGATTGTGACCCCTGCACCATCGTGAGACGTCGTGAGGGCGGCAAGAGGCCTTTCGTAGGGAAGCGAAAGGACGCCCAGAGGTGTTGTGGGATTGGCGATGGCGATTCCAGGCGACTCATCTGCGTTCTCCAGAATTTCAGACAGCTTGCGTGCGTGAAGACGGTGATTGGAGTCGATGGCTGCGATGACTTCACCTGCGCTGGCTGCGAGGTAGGAGCTCGCAGCTGTCACCTCCGCAAGTAGACTTGCCGAGCCTGCCTCCAAGTCGAGTGCGTACACTGTAATTTTGCCACGGTCATCGACGATGACAGCGCGTGACCCTACCAGCGCACTGGAAAGTACCTTGCCAGCCTTCGGTTTGGGCGTAGTGAGTGCGGAGAGCTGTAGCTCAGCGTCGAGGAGAAACAGCGCGCCGGTGCCTCCCACAACGAGCAGTGGCCACATACACCCGTGGATCGCAACCACGCCAGCCTTGACGCTCCGCTTGTCCTCCTCCCCAACCCAGATCCAAATTGCCCCGCCTTCCTTCTCAGATGTAGCTCCAACCACTGTCACTCGCGCCTCGTCGTCGTCGCCTGGGATAAAGCTCAGAGGCGCGCTCGTGAATCCTGTCGACGGAGGAACGGTGTAAGTTGCCGTTGGTCGCAACGTCTTGATCTGTTGTTAGCATCTTCGGGGTATAACGCCTCACGTCGTAGGTCCACACTCCATCCGCGTTCACTGCGGCGACTGCCAGTCTTCCGCGACTCCCGTGGACTGGTGCGAGCTGGACATGGGGGAGGCGAGAAGAAGACGCCTGGGCGTTCTGGAAGGTCGCGAGCTGCGTTGGTGACGATATCGAGGCCATTGCGTCCAGGTTCAACGTCCGAGTGTCGATGGGGAACAATTGTCTTTGGGTCTTGACGATCTTGACTCTTCAGAAGTGAACTTCTGCGCTGGGCGGGATCAATTGAAAGTGGAGGCACGTGGCTTTCTTCGGATCGCGGCAACATGCAACATGCAATTGGGACTCCGCCCGTCTTGTGTCCAATCTGGTGGAGACAAAATCGGGACGGAGACGCTGGTGTGCTGTACGGAAGCGCAAGGGCTGCATCCCTTATCAACAATGAATGTGTTGACCAACCGCCCTCTTCGACAAGCACAATAGGCAAACTGCTACAGCTTACAGCATCGCATCAAACATGGGGCAAAAGCAAATGTGACTACGACGCCCTGGGGTCAGGGCGGTAGCCGACTTTGTGTATGACGCTTGTGTGGATTGAACACACGACCGAACGAATTGGGCTTCAAGAGCTTCACTCGCTCGCTCTCCCACTGAGCTAAAGCGTCGTATACAAAAGCCCTCATCGACTCTGCTTGCATCATCCCTCTGGTGCACCCATGCATACGTCTTGCTCTTTACCCTTTGCATGCTCCAGGCTGCGGCTCAATTGTCGAAGTAGCATCGAAAGCTCTCGCGCTCGCAAGCCCAATACGTTTGGTGGCATTCAAGAGATCTTATTCGGCCCCCGACTGTCGTTGATGACGTGGTAGTGGCGTCGTCTGAGCACATGTCACCATAGCACGGTTACACCTTCACATCATCCACAATGTCCGCACAGCAGCCTATGCCTCGTCTAGGCGACGCGCACAATGGCCCATCGCTGCTCGACCTGCCTCCCGAGGTTTTGCTGCAGGGCCTACTCCCGGTCCTCCCTTTGAAGGACCTCCTCAACATCTCGCTAGTGAACAGGGAGCTTCACGCGCTCGCAGTATGTATTTGGCACCTACAGACAGAGGCCTGTCTCGCGCTACCAGCTGATTCCAGAATGACCCTGGGCTCTGGCGGTCCATGATGCAGGCGGACTTCTCGTACTCTGCCGCCAACCTCGGCCTCGCTGCTCCACGGTCGGAGGACGGCCGCAATTCACGCGACGCGGGCTGGTTCAAGCGTGTCTATCTCGGTCTCACTCGACCGCACGTGTATCTCTGGGGCGAGGGAACACAGTCGCGTCTTACGTCGCTCGCGGACACTGGCATGAACCGGTATCGCTGGAACTTGCCCCGTCCGTACGACGTCGCACGCGCTTTTTCGCTTCCCGTCCCCACTACTCCTGGCGAGCGCGAGCCGGTCGGCGTCGTCGAACTCCAAGCCGGCGGGTGGAGCTTTGCAGCGCGCGACGCGGCCGGTAACGTGTGGGTGTGGGGCCAGCTAGAAGGAACGGGGTTCTCCCGTGGAGGTTGGGAGAACCGAAGGCACGAGGTCGAGAGGCCAGCCCGCATCCCGCTTCCCAATGCCGCTACATCTATCGCGCTCGGTCGCAGCCACCTCCTTGTTCTTGACGCCGACAACCTCGTGTGGGAGATGCGTGCTTGGGGTCGTGCCTTCCAGCACACCGCCCGAGCGCTCACGGCCCCAACTGCATCGGGAGCCGGCGCCCCGGGCCGCGCACCCCACATTGCCCAGATCGCAGCTGGTTGGGAGATGAGCGCACTCCTCACTGCCGCAGGAGATGTTTACGTCTGGTTCCCCTTCCGGGACGACTACAAGCCCGCAACAACACCAGAGGAGCAAATGGATGGCCCGGTGTGCATTGATGGCGTGAACTCGGCACGTGAGTTCAAGTGGGGCACTGTTAGCGGCGACATTGTGCAGGCTACCGACCCAATTCCGCCTCGCCCTGAGGTCAGCTCAAGCCTCACGGAAGAGCACGATGGGCTCTGGTCAAAAGACTATGACGAGAGAGGGCTGGCCGAGGCACATCGCGTTATCAAGATTGCCTGCGGCCGCGACTTTGTCGTTGCACTCCGCAAGAACGGCGAGGTGTGGGCCGCGCGCACTTCAGACGGTACCGTCGGGGCCTGGGAGTACATGCAGCACTTCTCATTACCGACCATCTCACATATCTCGGCCCAGTTCACGACGTTCGCGGCCTACTCCACGCCGTCTGATGGAGCCGCTGGCAAGGTGCTTTTGCAGCGCCTCGAATCGGTTTCGCGCAACTGCGGCCGCGAGGTACGCCCCATGGAAGTCCCAGGCCTTGCGAACCTACCCGTGGTTCAGGTCGCGGCGGGTGACTGGCACTGGGCTGCTCTCACATCGAAGGGTGAGATGTACACGTGGGGCCAAAACGGGCAAGGGCAACTCGGCGACGGGAGTGTCAATCCCCGCGAGGAGCCGACACGCGTTAAATTCCCTCCCGGTGAAGATGGGCGCGAAGCGTTTGCCTTCTCTATCACGGCTGCCGGGATGCAGACGGGTGCACTCGTGCTCGGGTACAAGCCCAAGAAGCTGCCGCAGCCACAAAATGCTCGACCAGCAGCAGGCGAAGATATGCCGCGCATAGACTTTCCGGGGCGTGGAATATTTGGGTTGCCCTTTCGGATCGGCTATGCTGGTCGTGGCGCTATGCGCGGTGGCAGCTTTTCAGGACGTGGGCGTGGGGGTATACCTCCTGGTCCTGGTGATAGTCATGGCGCGTAGAGTGGGAGATATACAACAGTAGTAGCATGGGGTTTGGTGCAACCAAGAAGTACGAATTACCGCAAACAGATGTACCGCTCAGAATTACCTCTCCGCGAAAACCCAGACATCGATAGCGGGCATGGATCCCGTGACGATGCCCTTTGCATCGTTCCAATGCCAGCTCGCGTTCCGGTCCAAGACATCATACGTCGTCACGCACTCATAACCGACCATCGCCATGCGCTGGAGGACAACGCACATAAGCTGCGGCATTGCGTGTTCGTATTTGCCACCTGTAGTCGGCCATGCCGTGTCACCATCGCCGAGGCGCTTCATGTTGATGGCAAAGGCGCCGTGCTCCCGCGAGTACAATGAACCTGCGCCTCCTGGCCACGTCTGAGCGTCAGTGACATCCCATCGGCAGATTGGGGCGCAATACACACCTCACAAGCCTGCACAAACGCCTCGCACACGCGCGGATCAGGAGCATCGAGCAGCGTGATCATGTGTGTTCCGAAGATGACGCTGAAGAATCGCCGCTGCCGCCGCTCGGTTGGCATGAAGAAGAACGTATCTCGCGCGTTATGCTTGCCTGGCATGCCCGCGGACAGAGCTAGACTCCATCCCTCCTTCGACAGTGAGAAGAGAATGAACTCGATGAGGCGGAACGATGCGAGTGGTGCGTCCGCCGACCCTACTGTCAATACTATGCCCCTAGTTCTCAAACCAAACTCGGGTTACTCACATGGCGACTTTGCAAGCTTCCACTCAAAGACGCCTGGCGCAGGATTCCTTTTGCCCTCCACCCCAGTCCACCCTTTGCTCAGCACATTTCTCAGGAGCTCCTGGCATGATTCGGGAAAGCCGGCGATGCGGATCTTGTCCTGGCCGAGCAGCATAAGGCTTGCAAAGACGACGGGCGGGGCCGGTGCGACAGGCTTACGCTCGGCCGCGAGTGGTGGGCTGTGATAGCTGGGAGGTGGATTGCGGCTGGGCACTGGGGACGGCAAAGGCACGGTCTTCGTCGGCATTGGCGGCGGCGGTGACCCCTTGCTGGGGAGGTATTGGTGATTAATGGAGAGTGCACGCGATCGTAACGACCCAGAGCGCGGCGTCGCCCCCGGGGTCGGGGTAGTGGGTGTAGTGTCACCATTTGTCGCGCCTTTGGCATGTCCGTTGGCACTGCTGGTAATACTAGTGACGGTGCCTCGTCGGCCCACGCTCATGGGAAGATAGTGGGCCGGCTCGCTGACGCCGCTGAGCGTTGACGTCGAGGGCGACAACTCGAGGTGGGAAATCTCGTCGCTCATGAGGTTGTGAGCGGTGGCCGCGCAGATGGACGTTTTACGGCGGTGTTGCCGATGTTGTGATGCTGGATGAGCAGCCTGGGTGCCTATGGTGGTCGTCATGCTGGTAGTCGGTTAGACCCACGGCGATGGTGAGAAGGCTAGTTGGGATGAAGGAGGGGGCAAAGAGGCCATCAACAAGCTCAGTCGTCACGAGTCTGGTTCCTGGTGCACGTTCTAGCAAAGAGGTCTGCGCGAAGCTCAGCGCGCGGTTGACCAGTACTCTCCGCGGTCTCCCCGCCAGCCCTAGGCTTTCTCTGTGCCTCGTCATGTATGTAAAAATCCAGTCCCGCCCGCTCCCTCTTCACCCCACCCCCGGGTATCAAGCGAGCCCGTCCCGCAGCCACCTAGGATCTTGAAAGAGGTGGGCACAATAGGCGGGGTGGAACCTACCGCCCCTCTCCCTTGCACGGCACATACAGCACATGGGTAGCATGGTATGATGTACCACCAGCATGCCGTCAAGACGTGTACGCGGAATTTGAAGAGTGGAGAGAACATTGACCGACTTCGGGAGGGGTCCAAGCGCCGAGGTAAGGGCGATCCTGAGATCCTGCATGCAGATCGCTACGATGTATGTGGCGCAGCCCGGCTCAGATGGCAAATCCGGATCAACCGGAACCAGCAGGGTCGCCCCGTCTTGAACTCTGTCTGATAACAGTACTTCTATTCATATTTCCAGGGCGACTCGGCATCTTGGTCTGTCTCTTGGCGGCAAGGTGAAACATTTGTGAGAACGAGACAGTCGCGACTGGGCGTGGAGGAGGGGACTTGATATGGGAGTTTCTCCTTTCCGGTATTTCTCGCCAGCATCCCAACGCAACGCGCTTAGGTTGGCACTAGCTGGATGCCACCCAAAATCAAGCCCGCAAAGAAGCCAGCATGAGGGCGCGCATGTATCGGCGCGAATATGGTGCTGAATGCGCAATCGGTCTGGCGCCGGGCGGCTTCGGCATACGTATCGATGGTCAGACCGACAACACACTGAGCCTTGACGGCTCAAGCCGCACTGTTCTGCAGTGCCCGTTCTTCTGCATGCGAGTCCTGGGAGCTCAGGCAGACTACCAATCTCCCTTTGACTACCAACCGCACCGGAGGCGATTGAGAAGGCTCTGGGTACTCCCAACGGAGGAGGGGCTGCAGTACAGAGGTCTGTTGTTTGTACAGAGAATTGTTATTGTACAGAGCGCAGGGGCCACAGAGGTCCCCACACCAGTCGCTTAGCTAGTCCATCCTTCCCAGCCTTGTGGTGTGGGTTGGCATCAATTGACCAGAGAACTCATTGGTGCATGTGATATTCGACTCGTGATATTGTTGTCGCTTACTTCTTCGGCGTCCAGTTCTCCAGTGCCCTCTCGGCCTGCGCCATGAGATCCGCGATGACCGTGTCAGCGCCCTCCAGGCCGGCGAGGGGCTCGGCAGCTGCTGTTAGATTTTGATACCATGTCCAGCTCACCCGCACGCATCTTCTCAAGTACCGCCTTCTTCGCATCAGATGCCTTGTCCCCGGCAGCGCCCACAACTGAAGCTGCCCTCGCCTCAAGGTCCGCGATGACCGAGTCAGCGCCCGGCAGGCCCGCGAGCGGCTCAGCGGCTGATGATCAGCCAGTGCCGTCACTAGCCAGGACAGGTTCTCGCCCCTCGCCCATTACCAAGCCCGACCTCTTCCCCAGCGCACAGACAGGTGCAAATCGTGGCGCTATGGCCTAGGCCATAAGAGTCACCTGCCGCTGCCACTCGGGCCCATGGCCTTCCAATACTATCCCAATGTTGACTCACCCTTGCGCAGCTTCTCGAGCGCCGCCTGCTTAGTGTCTTCAGCGGCGTCCTGGACACGCCCCGTCGCCGACGCAACCTTGGACTTGGCCGCAGCCACAGCATCCTCAGCCTTGCCCCGCGCCTGCGCTGCCGCATCCTGCACCTTACCGGCGGCATCCGCCGCATGGGCCTTTGCGGAATCAACAGCATCCGAGACCTTGCTCTTCACACTATCGGCCGTGTCGGCAGCCGCGGCCTTGGCGTCCTCGACCTTCTCAGCGGCGGCATCGGCCACGTCGTCGACGGCGTCCTGCACCTCCCCAGCGCCGTGGACGCGCGTGCGGCGCAGCTCAAACGCAGTGGTCGCGGCGGCCACGAGGGCCGCGCTCGCGGCGCCGAGCAGCAGAAGCGTCTTGCCGTGCTGCGCGCCTTGAGGGATGGGAAGGCGCGCCTGCGCCGAGTTGAAGCGCACCCGCGCGAGGCGCGGAGTTTGAGACAGAGGGCGGAGAGCGCGAGCGGTGAACATTTTGATGGTAGGATGAGCAGAGACAAAGGCCATTGAAGTTGTCCAGCGCCGTGCGTGCGACGTTGACCGAGGCGTCGAGAGTTGTGTGGGCACGATTGGCGGAGACGAGCCGGGATAATGACGACACGGTTGTGGGGACCCCGTCTGGCCAATCCCGACTGCAGGATGATAACCGCCCCTTCCGATGTCGGCCGATGGATAAGCCACCGAGTGCATTTCAGTTGCGTGCGGAACACATCAATGCGAGGCAGAGGTGCATAGAAGGTGTGGAACGATAATTGGAGGAAGCTGTCTGCGATACAGGGATAAAGAATTGCATGCAACAAAAGCGTATGATGACAAAAGGATTATCCAAGGTCACGACGGGGGTCGAACCCGCGATCTCCTGATGAGAACGATGCTAAATCGTAGTCAGACGCGATGCCATTTCGCCACGCGACCCTTGGTGATGGTCATGTTTCTGAATCATCTATCATTCGTCCCCTTAGCGATGGTATCGACCCTTGTGGCTTTAGCAGCTGAGAGTAAGGCAGCTAATAACCATAAAGGCCAAAGAGCGCTCATGAATTCATAACCATAGTGTACCATTGTCCGATAATTGTCCGTGGCCAGGCGGGTCTGCAGCCCCGCCCTCATGGCCGGCTTAATGCTGGTAGCGGTTTTCACGCTTGGCAGCAGCGCGCGTCACCGTAACAGTGACAGTGGACGGCGCGCACGAGGGAGGAACGGAGGTAGGGGGTACGGTAGTAGGGCCGGGACCACCACCGCCGACCGTCCAGTACTGATTGTTGTTGCCCGTGCCGCACTCCCACGTCTGCACGGGGTTGAGAGCAACAAGGTTGCCGTTGGTGAGGTCAAGACACTGGCCCTTGCCCTCAACCGCGATGCGACCATCGCCGGTGAGGTAGAACTGCTGGGCCGGGAGGCCATCGTAGCACTGCCAAACTTTCATCCTGATGCCGTTGCCCGGGCCTTAGGTCAGTCTTGGTGCTCAGCACTGAAGTAGAACGTACTGGAGCCCGCGTCGAGGCAGAAGTTTGAGCCGGCGACCTTGACCTTGGTGGAGCCTGGGGAAATGGTGAAGTCCTGGCCGCGGCTGCCATTGCAGGTGTTCACGGAGACGACATCGCCGTTCTTCGGGGCGTCCGTGGCCTGGAGGCAGAAGCGGGTGTCGCCACGGGGGTGGATCTGGGCGCCGAGCGTGGCGGTGGCAGCAAGAAGAGCGAAGAGGGCAGTGAGCATTGCTAGGTGTGTGGCGAGCGTCAGAGTGAGAGTGCGTGAGGAGGGCAGTCAGTGGCCACTGGAGGCCCCTTTATAGCGCTTCCCCAGTCGTCGGCTAACACCTTGCTCCGCGTCAACAGGAGCCGACTCAGCATGTGTGGAGCAACAGCAGTCGCTCAGACCGAGGTCAGCAGGTCAGAAGATGTCTCCTCTGTGCTGTGTGCTCTCACCGTGGTCTCTCCGCAAGGAACTCCGCCACCCTTCCGCGTCGTTGCCCGCCGATTCTCGATAATCAATCCTCGATCCTTTCAGAGGATGGTCATACCCAATGACCTTCCCTGCACGCCACCGAGCTTTTGACCTCCATGGTCCGCGCAGTATGGCCCGCGTCAGCACCATCGTCTTTGACCGCGAACAGGGCCCAGAATCTAACGGCGCTCAGCGGGGCGGTCGAAGTGAGCGGAGCGAATGAAAAGGGTCTTTAAGTTCCGCGAAGTGATATTACACACTTCGGCACGTCTATTGCAGCGGGTAGACCCAACGCGAATAATGAGGATTCCGCCTCGATGCTGCGCCCTCGGTTGTCATTATACTCTGTTTAGAGCAGGGTCAATCGTCATATCTAACGCAAATCTAGCGGATCTACCCCGGCACACCCGGCAATTCCTTGTTTCCTATACCGCGGGACCCAGGACCTGGAAGCTGTGCTAATAAACATCTCTGCTGGACGCAAGCATGCTTGGCGAAGAAGGCTTGCCCTAATCCTGGCAAGCATAGGTCGAACCTTCTCTTAGTCCGTATGTGCTTTTGGCTCCGATGGAATGGCACCGCCTTTCGGCAATGATCCACTGGCCGCTTGGTCAATTGGGGCGGTGAAGAATACGTCTGCTCACATGACTGTTAACCTCAGAGATGGCCGAAGCGACAAGTTTGGGCCATGCTGAGTCATGCGAGGTCTTGGTGGACCTGGAATGACCATTGCCTGTCGACACGTGTCCGCCCGATGCACCTGGGATGGCCGGCAACAACGTGAACTCCTAACGCCATGACGGCTGGGCAGCTTGACAGTCTGGCGATCTGGCGAGCCGCTGGAAGCTCCCCTTTGAAAGCGATGTCCAGGCCGCCCGTCCCATGCCTGAGCATGAATCGCCGAGCACCGATTGTGTGGCGCAATCCCTAACAGTCCACTGGATTGATAATGGGGCCAATCCTACTCAACATCGGTAGGGGTCAGCCTTTCAAAGCCTGCACAAATCTGTAAGGTGGTAAAGCCTGTTGGCGGCTGTCACTTCATACCACAGGACTAACTCTAAACAGCATTTCGCTTCATTTCTTTACTGACGACTCGGACATTCAATTTGTTCTTGCAGAGCGCCTGTTGTTACGGGGCGCCCTAATATCCCACCGATACTCATCTACTCCTTCGGGCCCTTCGGGGGCTCCTCTGACATTTCGGGGAGCGGCCTGGGCTCGAGCGCTTTACCCTCGATCGCCTCAGCGGCGCGCTTGGTAGTTTCAACGTCGAGTAGCACAGGGTGAGCAGCCTCGCTGAGGTCCTGCTTCTTTGGCTCGGGGCCGCCCTTGCGATCCTGCCGCCATCCTGGCATCAGGATTGTATGATGTTTACTCACCGCACCGCCCGCACCCCCAGATCTCCTTCTGCGGACCAACCGGCCACACCGGGACGACCCAGAATAGCGACAGCACACGCATCTGCGATGCACCTACGACCGAGGCTGGCGTTGGTGGTGTAGAGAGAGACCAACTTACGCTCCCCGCAACTCGGGCAGATCCGTCCGTACTGCTTGCCGGTCTGTTGCACAATCTGATGTCAGATCTGAATGTCACCAGACTTACGCGCTTGGGTGCAGCAAAGTCGACTGACGTCAGCTCGAGCCGAAGTAGAACCCACCAAAGTTTTTGCGCTCCCAACGCGGCAGCGCCGGCGCGGTCTCACCCGTCAATGCGTCTAATACCTCACTGTTGGCAGCGTTAGGGTTCTTGCCTCCGTTGAAGATGCCGAAGCTGGACATGATGTGGATGTGTTGTTTGATCAAGGATCATGAGAGCCGCATTATATATGCTTGGTTCCCTTGGGTTATGCTTGGTGGGAAGTCAGCTGAACACATGTGCCTTTGCGTCTCAGAGTGGGCAGATATGTACATCGCTTCTTCTTCTATGTGGTCACACGAATGTGGCCTCACGACCAGGAACACTGTGGAATGGGGAAAAAGTGCCACAACTCAACAGTTCTCGCAAGGTGGGCTTCGACAGGCTTTCATACCTGCCTGGCACATAATCCCATGAACAGAGTCCCAGGGAAGGTGCTCCACCGTGGCAGTCTTCTTGTCACTGTTGTGCAGCAGCGCCGTCTCATCGCCTTTTACTGGGTGTGCACAAGTGAGACCAACAAACATGGCACCATGCATCACGTCACGCGCCTGATTAGAGTTCCTGGTGGTAAGGTTAAGTAGCATGCCTCCGCTCCACTGGTCTCAGAGAATTCCGTCGGACTTCTAAGAGCATGCATGCCACTGCCCCCTCCCCCTTCCTCTTCAACCTTTGAATGGTACGTCACCACAACACGGAAGTCACACAATGTGCTGAAACTTCCGCACGAACAGAATCCCCAACAGAAGTGCATGAGGTCGGCTTGAGCCTCAGTTAACAGAGCTCCTGCCTGAGGACCTTGAGGACGTTTGTTGACGTTATTCGTAATTTCTACCGAACACCCAATGCCCCACCTTGACCGCGGGTCTGAGAAGCGCCACAGTTCCCAGACACCGGCGCGTTAACGAAACCGATAGTCACCTTAAGCCAGGAAACAGTAAGTATGTTACAACAAGCCTTCGCCACCATAGATGTCCAGGGCGGGCACAGAGATAGATAATTGATGAGAAATAACCCGCCGTAGTTTACTTAGTGCAGTATAGATTGCAGCCAAAACGGTCGATCATTGCGACAAAACGCTTGGCGTACGTAGCGCAGCCGGTCCCAACTCACACCATCTGACCTCCGCCATGCACAAGATGGTACTTCCCTTTTGTATTGAGCCCTGCTCTCCATTTGTTTTTCATTTTGTGGACGACGCAATCTCTCTATCACACCCCAAGCGTGCTGGGAAACCCACGGAGCACATTGACATGGTTGCACATTTTATTCCAATCCATATCACCCTGACCCTCGTAAAGGAGGCGAACGCTCAGGCCTCACGATCATGGCCCCCTCACCCCCGCTTCCGCTCACGACATGCCCGATTCCGCATATTCGTACACACGGACCATGTTTGGTCCCCAAGCCAAGCCATATCTGTAGATATAGCTTTGCCTCTTTTACTCTGGGCGGCCCCACAGTGCCTTCCCACAATCTCGAGCGGGCCGCGCACTGCTATAGCCGCCGCCATCCGGCTCGTCCTGTGGGCGATAGCCCCAGTTTGTTTCTTTGGCGTGCACATACCTGATCGGACCACTCACGCCAAGTGCGACGCGTATTCACCTGTCAACCATCACTTCAGCACACCTTTTAGCATTTGTACAGTTGTCTCGGCCACTCTTCTTGGGTCTCTTCCTTTTCCCCTGCGTGC